ATGAAGCGTAAGGCCCCGATAAGGCTGAAAGGATGCTCTAAAAAGGGATGCCTCATTATTACCGCATCAGGCCGCGAGATGGGTCTTTTAGGGATACCTTAAATTTTACGAAATAAGGCTTTGATAAAGAAAACTAATGAGGGCCTTGGAAAGATTTTTCAGAGATGCCTTAGGTTTTACGAAATAACGCTTTAACATGGAAAACTGACGTGGGTCTTAGAAGGATCTTTTAAGGATGCTTTAGATAAAATAATAATATAAAATCAAGTTTTGTTATAGAAAATTAACAAGATCTGAAGCGTGTGATAAAATTGTCATAGTTTAGTATTGTTTTAATAAGTACGCTCTCTCTATCTGGTTCTTTTAAAGATTTTTTGATTATACCATTATACAATTTTTACATTATTCAATTGTATAATTAAAAACAAATTTTACTAGTTTTATTAGTTGCCTTATTTATTAATCTCAAGGATTTTTCTAGTATTCCCTTCGCTTTGAAACGCAGCAAACTTTAATAAAAACAGTAGCAGGGTGTAAAGAATGCTACATTTTACTGTAAAGCATATTATATTTTTAAAATAAAAAATTCTTGTCGTATACCAACAAGGTTATAAAGAAATAAAGAAATTACAGTCTAAATTTCTTGGAATGAAAAGAACGAATATTTTTATTCAAGCAATAATAAAAATATTCCCTTATAAGGCCCTCATAATATTGCCTTATAAGGACCCGTTAAATCATTTGTTACACATCTTATACGGCCCTTGTCTTTCTATCCCTACTAAAAGGCTCGATTAATGTTATGGAAAAATAATCAGGCCCTTACCAGGGCCCTATTAATTTTTCTACTTGGGTACACCGGCAAGCGCGATACACGCCCGCAACCACGAAAATTGGACAATGTGCACACCAGAAATGGAAACGAGGTCGCGCATGTAATTTCATATAAACGCGAGACGCTCTCGAACGCTCTCAAAATGACGCGATTGGCCGCCTTACGCACCTGTACGCGAATTTATGTCTGACGAGATTTCGACGAGATTCTCTCCTTCTTCTTTTGATTTTTTCTTTTTAACGTGTCTCGTCTTAACATGAGAGAGAGAGAGAGAGAGAGAGAGAGAGAGAGAGAGAGAGAGAGAGAGAGAGAAAGAAGAAGAGAGACGAGAAATTCGCATCGTGTGCGAATAGATGAAATTCCTCTTTCGGCGACTCACTTGACTCACATGATTGTGACTGGTTCGCGTTGCGAAACCGGCGAATTTCTTGCGAAACGCAGAACCGCGATGGCGCATGAACGTGCTCGTTCGCAAATTAATCACATAGCTTTGCAGAATTACCTATCATAAACGGTTTCATCAATTAAAGCAATACGATCAGTAAATTTGCTTTGCATTCGTCTGCTTATCAGGCGCTGACAGCGCACTATCAGGGAGCCGCGCAAAAGTCTTTCGCACACGGAGAAGTCTTTCGCGAAAAGGCGCTTCGAGTTGCGTCTCGAAGGGCGAGCGGTCCTTTCTTTCGAATCGTTCGTCGCGATAAGGATGACAGGTTTGAGCGTTCGAGCGGCACCTCGAGTTCCCGACGATCCGATCGAATTTGCATATTTTCTGCTCTTATCTCGGTCGATCACGAGTCACCTCGCGTCAAGTGGCTCGTGATAATACGCGAGAAATGATTGTTCGGATAAAAAATAAAGCAACCGATTAGATCGCGCGGCGAGTTTACAATCGCCGCTGAGCGACATCAAACTTCGTCATAATCAGTCGACATCGACGACGACACGCGCTGGATCGATATTCTCTCTCGATAAGTTTGCGACATGTCACGTACGCGAGATACAATTTATGCCGTGCGCTATTTTAATAGGGGCGAGACTCGCGCGACGGCACGATTTATCGCATACCGCAACTTATTTGTTAGGACGCGATAACCGTGATACGACAAGGCTAATAACGCGACGCAGTCTACGTATTCCACGCAGCAATGGGCTGTGAGACACATAAAATTTTCCGCTAAGATGACTCATGTGTTGTGGTGTCTTTGATAAAAAGTAACGATTGAGCGGTGGAAGTTCTAAAACATTAAAAGCGACGGGCTTATCGCTAATGGCAGAGAGGATGTCATTCCTTCACTAATTTTTCTCCCTAATTTTTCCACTTGGATCTTTTCCGTCCGAAACTTTTCCGTCCGAATGGAACTATCTACAAGCGGGAGTTCGAGATCGTCTTTTTCGTTAACTGATGCTACGAAGAACGACACTATTGTGGAATAAACGTGAAATATTCCATGTTCGGAGCGACGTTGTCGTGAGATCATATCGTGAATCCGCGCGTAAAAATACATATAAAAATAATATACTTCGTACAGCACAGATAATTACAAGAACATTGCATAAACATTACGCTGTAACATTGTTGTGTTGCACCGAGGTTGCGAAATATTTCTGCAACATTCTTGCAAGATTGTGACGACGTTGAAATGTTCATCTTCAGAAACGATAAAACATTGCAACAATTAAAATGTGCATCCTCAGAAACGTTCGAATAAAACATTATATCGACATTACATCGACATTATATCGACGTTACAATGAAATATAGTAATTCCACATATCGCCACAATATAAGCATATCTTATACTATCCAACAAATACTATAACTATCATATATAGTATAACGTCAAGTAATATGTTATAATTTCTCATTCGATAATAAATAAATGCAATATAATACGTTTGTTATGTAACAGTTGCATTACATTGTTGGGAAAATTATAACATCGACGTAACGTTATTGTTAGTTGGAGTTTACTGGATAATTTTATTGGATAGAGATTCCAACGAATAAATATCACGAGTTACCTGGACACCACCTGGATAAAAAATGACTAGTGGCATATGGACTAATGATTATAAGGGTTACTTTTTATCTATAAAGCCTACATGTACTCGCGATATTTATTCATTAAAATCTGAAGTATTCGAGATTTAACATGTATGTGGGAATGTGTGAAATTATTATCTCCTTATAGTAAACACTAACCAACAATAGCACACATCGTGCAGCACAAGTTATTTGGTCGTCACAGATATAATATTGGCCCGATATTTTGCGCTGCTTGACATTACATCAGTGCTGTAATTTCTCATTCAACAATGCAATTGTTACACAACACACGCGTTACATCGCATTTACATTGTCGAGTGGGAAATTATAACACTGATGTTGTGTTGTACTGATGATAAATAGTGTTTACTGAGTTTTTCACTGTAATTATAATCATATATAATTATATATTTATACATAATTGTTACAAATTAGTTGAAAGTAGCTCAACACTTTCGTATTATGGATCTATGTTTACCTTAATTTCAATTGTTTACCTTTATGCATATATATCGTTGTGGAGTTTATTTGCAAAAGTCAAGAACATTCTGTATATTAAAAAAATACTATTATAAAATTCAAAATTCGGGATATAAATAAGAAAAGTAATTTAAAAAATATATATAAGTTGTCCCTAACATTTACGCTTATTTTAGATTTAATATTTTATTCTTGCAACGTGTTGCTGGATTATTTCGGCGAAATATTGCATGTCTATTTAATGTCTCTACAATATAATATTGTATCTTGCGATGTTGCAACATTCTTGCAATGTAAGTGGAAGTTTCTGTGCTATATGAGACAAAATACTCAAAAAACTCAAATCCGCATAAACCATTTTACTATGCAATAGTGAGCAAGATTTCTACATCTTGCTGAAAACTGTAATTCCGCTTTTTGGACAATGTTCCGTGCAATGTACTCTCGCTTTGAAACGAGACGGTATTATGTAACGCGTCAGATGTAGCAAACAACTAACTGCACGCGCGCACTTCTCTCTGCTCTGGAATTTAATTTAATTTTATATTTTAAAGCCGTACTATTTGGAGAACCGTGCCAAGATACGTATAATCTCGGAAAAGGATCCAAAATAGCTGAACGCACGCGCTGGCTGGTCAGTGACCAGCACGTTTTGCAGTTTCTGATAATACGCATAACCGCGTATTCCTTATGTATGTATACATGTACATATGTACACGCATAACGAATAGTTACATAATTATGCTCTTCTATGGGGATAAAAGAGCTTGTTGAATTGCATTCCAACAAAGGATATGATACGATAATAAATTAAATTAAATTAAAATAAATTTCCCTGTATGTTTCTCTCCCCCCTCCCTCACTCTTTCTCTACCATCGCGTTCATTGTCGTTCCGACTCGACTTTCGAAGTCGCTCGATTAGAGGCCGCAAATATTCACTGGCGAAAGTCTTACGATATAAAATTGCATTCGTTCTACCTATATATACAAAGTGAATGTTAAAAACGAATGTTACCAAACAGCGATCTGGTTACCGTGTCGAATCGGAGAACGTATCGTACCTAATTTATCATCGATTTCGACTAGCACGCTTTGAGACTTGCTCTGGCACACGCTCGTCTGGTTATGTAAAGCACAGGGACCTTGATCGACACATAGTACCTGTAGTTTGTTGTTATTTCTCTACAGTATTTCACGTCGTTTAGTTCTATTTTCCTGCCTCTTTCAGTGATCAAAAACATCCTTATGTAGGCGAGTTCGTCGAAATCGGATTTCATAAATCATCCAGCTTGGTCTTATCAGCAACAATGGATTTAATTCGAGATGCGAGATACATGTCGTATTTTCGACGTCAGCAAGGCCGATTTGTTCCATTCTCGTCGCAAATTTGCAGACATGGTATGTCGACAAATTTTCGCTGGTAAAATCCGAGTCGTGATGCAGTTTGCAATCGATGATGACAGTCTGAGGCAAGTCTGTTGCCAAGTTGCCAGCACGTTGCTAACTGCATTTGTATTTTTGGCGTTATTAAACTTTACGCACGGTCCGTGAGATAGATTAAGGATCCGGTAAGTGGTGGAATTCATTCGACAGAAGTAAATTTATGTAATGAACAATTACGCATGTAAATTTTCTTTGAATGTTCTTTTTTTCTTTTTTGAATATCAATCTCTTAATATGCCATATATCGCATGGAAAAGCTACAATTGAATAAGATAAATGCGTTGCCAAAGCATATAATGTACGAGGCACGTGCAAAATAAATTAATCAAACTTAAGTTAGCTTAAAGGCAAATGCACTTGGTATACGAGCGTCATTTATTCATTGGCAGCCAGCGCGACTACCGTGAAACGCACTTCCTCGGGATCACGCGCCATGTAATCCTTGCAAACACGAGCAGCGTCCTCTAGGAGTGTTTCCGGTGAAGTTGAGCCATGGTTGATTGGGCTAGGTTTCCGACCATCTACAAAATCATAAGATTTTCATTATAACGACTGAATTTCTTTTTGTATGAAATACATGTATATTGTATATACATACCTAGTTCGTAAAGGGAGCCGTCCTTATGTACAAATGCAATAAAGTGGTGATATACTTCCATATCTTCAGCAGGTGCCTGTAGAGAGAATAATTTTTTTCTAAATTAATTAAGCTTCTAAATCATGAATTCTAAAAAATAATTGTCAAATATAAAGTACCAAAATACCTCAGTCTGTCCTTCTTGGGCTGACTCCATGTGAATATCAATGATGCCTTGTGCATTTATTAATCGGTCTCCACGCTCAGCAGATGAGAGTCCTTTGGTCTCATCCAAAAATGTCTTGAGGAAACCATCATCTAATTGCAAGCTGCATTATTAAAGAAAAAATAAGAATAATTGTGTTGTATTTCTTGTACAATTATCAATATGTTGTAATCAGGATTTATTATTATGCACAATGATAAATACTTACACATCCAAATTATTGGCTACACTATGAACTAATGCAATTGTTCCGCAAGCATTCGAGATACATTGCTTCATATGATAAACAGAATCTGGAGTGTCACTTTTATCTTTAGCTACTTCTTCCTCTTCTTCGGTCTTTTCATTCTGAAAACAAAAATGATAAATATTATTTGCAATTGTATATTTACCAAATTCTCCGGTATTCAGCTGTAAAATATACATACTTTTATAGCAACAGGATAAAGCAAAATAACTGAAAGAACTGGCTTAGGGACGAGCGCCAATAATTCCGGGTCCAAACCATACACATCTATAACCGACCATTTTTTTGGAACACCTAGTTTGTGGAGAAACTATAAAAATACACATTAAACGTTAGATCTTTTCATACTGGAATTTTTGCGAAAAAATTTGCTCGTATAATTCTTATGTATTATTCTTCGTGAATATATCGTTAATCAATAGGTAATCGTGTACAACGGTGTAAATGTCGAGACAATGAGATTCGTTGATCGAACATTGTGACCACTCACCTTCGTCATAACCTGAAACAGAAACCATGATTCAATCGACGATCAAATGATACGTGTTGCGACTTAACAGGAAAATTGCTCACCTCTGGATTTGATTCTAAAGGTACCCAAGCCATGTTGAAATCGAATTATCCTTTGACAGTTCAAGATCCTACTTTTTCTCTTATATGCGTGGCTGTTAAGATCCTACTCGAAAACGCCGGTAAATGTCCGCCTAATAACGAGCAGTCTTCTATTCTTCCCTTATTTAAAATTCGTATGATCTTGTTTTTATGGTGACAAAAACCGAGTAACGAAGACGTGCGACTCTTATTTGAAATCGTTTTGAAATTTATCGAAGATACTCTGTAGCCAATAAAATGTTCTGATTTCGAATGAAGATGGATGTGGTTGGACATGCCATCTCTAACCTGGTGGAGGAACTACGTTTGCAAGGCCAACGTCCGCAAATTGAACACACCTTCATTTAAATCATCGATGTCGGCCGTCATTACAAAAATGCGCGGCATCGATTTAATCTAATCTAAAAACATAATGATTTGAACACACGAAAACAAGAGCCTCGTTGGCGGGGTTTGATGCAGCTGATGAGAATAAAAGATACATCCGACGGATATTGCTTTCAGTACAACTCTGTATCTGCATTCTGACAAAATGATACTGTTTGCACACATTTTGTGCATTGCGTTAATCTTCTGCGTGTCGGCGGATAATTCGTATCAAGTGATAACAAAAAATGATGAAAGCAATTTTCTGCTGTCTTCGACGAACGAGAAGTACTTGCCAACTTGGACTAGCCTAGATAGTCGACCACTACCACCTTGGTTCGATGAAGCAAAATTAGGAATTTTCATTCACTGGGGTGTGTTCAGTGTGCCTAGCTTTGGCTCTGAATGGTTTTGGAACAATTGGAAAGGTTGATTATTATTATAATTTTTATATTAAATATTAGATCAATAAATTAAATATCACATCAATAAGATGTAACTGCATGACATTGCAGAGGAGACTGGAACTACAAAGTATCGTGATTTTATGAAAGAAAGATATCCTCCAAACTTTACTTATCAAGACTTTGGACGTGACTTTACTGCCGAATTCTTCAATGCAACTCAGTGGAGTGAGATATTCCAAGCATCAGGTGCAAAGTATGTTGTATTAACTAGCAAACATCATGAAGGATATACCTTGTGGCCATCAAAGTATTCATTTAGTTGGAATGCTATGGATGTGGGGCCTCGAAGAGATCTTATTGGTAATACAGAAATACATATAATAATATTAAGCATAAAAATTATACATTTGTCTGAATGAATTTAGGTGAACTGGCAGGTGCTATTAGAAACAAAACTAGTATGACATTTGGCCTGTATCATTCCATGTATGAATGGTATAATCCTCTTTATCTGGCGGATAAGAAAAACCATTTTACGACAGATACATTTGTAACTCAAAAAATAATGCCAGAATTACATGAGTTAGTAGAAACATATAAACCTGAAATAGTGTGGTCAGATGGTGATTGGGAAGCATCAGATACCTATTGGAAATCAAAGGAGTTTCTAGCATGGTTGTACAATGAAAGTCCAGTGAAAGATACAGTTGTGGTAAATGACCGATGGGGCAGCAATATACCATGTCATCATGGTGGTTTCTTTACATGTACAGATCGTTTTAATCCTGGTAGGTAATGGAAAATTATTACCGCATGCAGTAGATATCATTAATAATAGATATAACTGAACATAGAAAATGGATATTGTTAATAAGTATAGATTTTTTAAGTCCTGCCTTTTAAATTAATAATTCTATGTTCTAGGAATCCTTCAAAAACACAAGTGGGAAAATTGTATGACTATCGATAGAAAGTCTTGGGGATTTCGTAGAAATGCAGTTCTAACAGAATATTTTACATTAGAGGAATTGATAAAAGAATTGGTAACCACAGTAAGTTGCGGTGGAAACTTACTGATGAATGTTGGGCCAACAAAAGATGGAATTATTTCACCAATATTTGAAGAAAGATTACGTGGAATGGGTACATACATATATAACATGCGCGCGCGCACATCACACACGCCCATATATATCTGCCATATCTTATATTTTTTATTAGATTAGTATAGATAATTTGATTTCTCGATAATGTTGATAATATATAGATAAACATGTTTTCAGGTGCTTGGTTAATGGTCAATGGAGAGGCTATTTATGATACTAAACCTTGGTCTGTGCAAAATGATACCTTAACGGAGGGCGTTTGGTATACACAAAGTAAAGATGAAAAACAACTTTATGCTTCGATTCTACAATGGCCAAATGATGACATATTGCATTTGGGCTCATTTAAAATATCAGAAAATTCTCAAATATTTTTACTTGGCTATCCGTCGGCAATTGATGTGAGTGTTTTGTTGCTCTTATCAAGTTATATGCCAAAGATTGTGAAGATAACTTCATATTTACATTTTTTTAGTGGAAACAAACTGATGGTATATTAACAATAGATTTACCTGCTAAAGCGCACAGAAATCAGCCAGCTTGGGTATTGAAGTTCGAAAAATAAATATATGTAAAAGATAATATTTTACATACACGAATCAGTTTTTAAAAGAATATTTGTCTACTTTACAAAAAAATATATTTCATATTTTACTTTTATGTAAATACATACATAAGTGTAAATTTTTCTTGTAATATTGTAATATTGAATATAAAATTGAGAATAAATCATATTCTGCTGTGAAAATATTTTATACTTACAAAAGCCTTCTTTGACTGGGATATTATATCACATATTATTCATATAAATATTGGGAAATTTTAAATGTTTAAAGGGAAATGAAAATGTCAAATAAAAATTGAAATGCAATGTTCACGTATAATTAATTATACACCATAAAATAAACATATGACAATAAGAAATCCAACATACCATAACATATCCGATATACCATATTACTTGAGCTTGGGATTAATGAATAACATTAACGAAGCATTATAATTGAGCTACCTCATACAGATAAGCTCCAAGCAATTTTGTCTGCAAATAATACCAAATTATATTACATAACGAAAACGATAGAATCAATCCATTTTTTAATGATTATATCAAAGGTATTATTTGTAACATTCTTGAATTTATACTTTATATAATTTAATACTTTAAATATAAATTAAATAAAAATTATACTTACTCCTTGGATATAGTTGTATACATTTAACTTTTCGTTTTGTGAATGTGCTCCGTCGTCGCCTGTACCAACTGGTAAGAGTAATACATTTTTGCCAGTAACTTCTTGGAATGTTAAAGTAACAGGAATCGAGCCACCTTCACGAGAAAGATCAGGCTCCACATGATAAACATGTTGAGTAGCTTTCCGTCCAGCCAGATAATGTGGGTGGTCAGGATTCTCAGACCAGGCTTTGCAGCCATGACACATACTCACATTCATGACATTTGGACTACCTCTAGCTTGCCATATCTTATTCATGTAGGCAACTACTTTTTCGACTGTTTCATCCGGAGTCATGTTGGGAACTATTCTAATCGAAAATTTACCAATAACCTTTTTTGGGATAACAGTTTTCTCTCCCGGCTCACTGAAAGCACCCTCGATCCCATGAAGAGACAAAGAGGGCTGTCGCCAGCGGTGGAGTAGAAGCTGAATCTATAAAGAAACAATACAAAGGAACAATTTAATACTGATATGTATTTCTAAAACAAAAAAAACAATAAGTTAAAGTAATTTCTCACAATAACTTTCTAGCTTTAAACTGAATTCTAAAAAAATATTACAATAGTTACATATGTACCTTATCTTCTTTATGAGCCAGTTTTTTAGTTCCAACAGTCTCTCTGAATTCATTTACATCAAAATCTATACTCTTGTAAGAGGTTAATTCAGTTTCAGTCAATTTGACTACATTGTCATAGATATCATCTACTAAAATATGCCCATTAACATCAACCAGGCTATTCATTAAGTAAATTAAATCAGCCATGGCTTCATGTACAGTTCCACCAAAAGTACCACTGTGCAAATCCTTTGCAGCACAAGTTACTTCTAGCTGGAAATAGCAGATACCTCGTAGGCCATAAGTAATGCAGGGCTTCTTAGTACCTAGCCAATAGTTGTCTGATATGCAGACATAGTCTATATCTTGTAAAAAGGTATCCTTTCTTGCCCAGAGTAGATTATCCAAACCTTCGCTTCCACTTTCTTCCATTCCCTCAAAAACAAACTACAATATTTCAATTTAATTAAAAAATGTTCAATGCTTTAGCACAAAAATATCATTATCTCATTAAAAGATACCTTAAGATTGACAGGAATATCTTCTCCAGTTGCTTTATAAGCTTCCAAGGTATGCATCCAACAAAGAACTGGTCCTTTGTCATCTGTACTACCTCGACCAAACAATTTTCCATCTTTCTCAACAAGGACAAAAGGATCAGTATCCCAGCCATCTTCCTTTAGTGCAGGTTGTACATCCAAATGTCCATATAAGAGAACAGTTTTCTTTTTTGGATCAGATATAAGAGTTCCCAATAGTACAGGTGGAAGTGGAATTTCAGTACCATCAGGCAGAGATTGTTTACCAATGTCAACCAATTCAGTAATTACTCCAAGATTCTTCAACTTTACTTCTGCCCATTTCATCATTTTTACTACTTCATTCCTATGATCTGACCATGCTGATACCGATTTAATAGCAATTGCTTCTCGCAAATTATTTATATATTCCTGTGCATGATCATCTATATACCTGTAAATATCCAATATAGAAGAAAAAAATTAAGCTAAAACGGTAAAAGATAAATATAAAGGTTATTTAGAAATATTTGTTCATTTAAGCATATCCATACTTCTATGAATATATATATATATATATATGTAAAATGATATAAAAATATATTGAAAAATGACAAAGAACATACTTGAATAAATTATCCAATGTTGATGGTAGTTGTGATGACATGGTTAATTATTAAACAATAACCAATTTGGAATTCTAACCACTGTATAGCTCACAATATACTCTTGCCTTTGTGCAGATAGATCTAGAAATGTCAGTATTACCAGCAGTTATCAACAAATTATCTTATCTTTCACATGACATATTGAACAACACATACTATAAGTTGCAATTTCAATATGCACTACCAATATTGAAAATATATAGCTGTATCACATATACTATTGTAAGGAATGACCTTGCGATTGTCAGTAAAAAGGATTGTTGAGCGGCTATGAAGAATTATGAATTCTGTTTACGATAACTATATGGATCTTCTCATCAGGATTCAATAAATCAAAGTCTTGATTAATACACACATGACACAGTTTCTATATTTCTGCTTCAAGCACCGAACCACTAACAGTATCTTAATGATTCGCTTTTCACAAGTATAACGGTGACAGTAAAGATAACCCGTATATCGTCTTGGATTCACAACGAATAAATTTCGATAATCTTGCTTCTCAAAGAAACACTACGGTAATATAAGAAATAATAGATTCTTACGACTGGCCTGATAATAACGTACCATCGAACCGGACGAAAAGCTCCGTTTTAACCACCGCAAGAATATTTCGCTTCCGACACAGTTTTGTATATAGCTAGGCAAGCTCACGCACGAGAAAAAAGCAGCAAAACGAAGAAGCAAAGCAAAGCCAAGCGAAGAGAGAAGAGAGAGCTTTGAATCGCCGCCCAGGAATAATATATACTCGTATAGGTGTCACTGTAGTAGATGAGGCGGATGTCTTTTTAGCACAATATAATTCCCATAGAGGTCGGAATCCGCGTCATATCTTACACTATAGATTTTCAATAATGCTGACAGAGAATATCGGAACGCAGCATTGAAGAAAATATTACATAAACTACACGTTCTGTAGTTAAAATGAAACTGTTCATTCGTAAATAATACGGAATGAAAAATGTGCTTCTTTAAAGCGTCTACAAGCAGTAAGCAGTAAAGGTCATTCTACAGCGTGGTCTACAATGGCAATAAGCAGTAAGGCCCAGTTCCACAAAATCAAGTTTAAACCGTGATTATCTGAACTGACGTTACATTTAACGGCATGATTAAACTTATATCGCGTTCCACATCATGTTTTTAACTGTAGCTTACTTAAACCTATAGTCTGTATGAAGAAACTGTCAAAGACTTCTCTTTCTTTTCAAACGTAGAGTATGATTGGTTGTTGCTAATAGTGAAAAGAGGGAAAATTGAAATAAGTTGGATGCTATGACATCTAGTAGAGAACAATATATCTGTTTCGTATGAAGTAAACACTAATCAACATTAACATTTGCTGTATTTGTATATAAGTATTAATTTATTAAAAGGTGGAAGTCCAGTGTTAATAATAATCAATTAGTTTATATTATTGATTTGATTGCATTTATCATATAATAATTGACTTTTATATATAGTTTTATACTCTGTTTTAGAATATAATCTATCGAAGCAAAAAACCCAATATTTTAAATTAAATTTATATATTTACTGTTCTTATGAAAAATTTATGAAAAATTTCATGCTCGATTTCTGCTAGAACTGCAATAACAGATTCTTTTGATAATCTAAATCGTGCATGAAAATCGACATTATCAAATTCTTCCAAATATGATGGTTGTCTTATTCTTATATTTCTTGTCCATCGATAAAGTAAGTTTTCAAAATCTTCATCTTTAGATGAAGATAATATGTATTCTAAAGCCATATCTCTTTGGTGTTCAAACGTTCAAAATATTTGTTAACTGAACTCCAAAACCGGGATAGTCATAAATTTTTTTCTCATATTGATGGTACTGCAGTGTTAAACTTCGTTTAAATTCATTAAACGCCCAAAGTTTTGGGTTTAACTTTAACTGTGAGAAATCAAAGTTAATCATGGTTTAAGGCAGTTGTGGAACGCAATTTTTCGTCTAAACTAAGGTTAACGAGTTAAACTTCGTTTACAGTAAGTTGTGGAACCGGGTCTAAAGGCCTATCCAGACAAACTTGCATAAGCGCATAACGCATATGCATAAGGAAATTGACTAATCGTATGTTTAATACAAAAAATATTTTTTTACTACACGGATCATAATTGGTCAATTTTTTTATGCATATGCGTTACGCGCTTATGCAAGTTTGTCTGGATAAGCCTTAAGAGCACAGACTTCTGCATAACGCATAATACACAACGCATAAGAGAATAAACCAATCAGAGTTCTTCATTTCTATCCTGAAAAGGGAAATGAAGAAAACTAATTGGTTTATTCTCTTATGTGTTATGTATTATGTGTTATGCAAAAGCCTGTGCTCTTGCGCAGAAGTCTGTGCTCTGGCCCAAAGCCTGTGCTCTTGCCCTATGTCTATAAAATTACGTAGTACCACCACAGCATTACCAGATCGTGAGATTTTTGGTCAGCTGATATTTAACAGCGCATGCGCCAGTACGTCACAATCCCCACATGGGCAGCTTGTCAGTGGGTCTGTTCTTTATAGTTGAACTACTGAATTAGTGCAATAAGTTAAAATGAGACAACATATTTTTTCTCATTCTAACTTATTGCAGTAGTTCAGCAGTGCAACTATAAAGAACAGATCAAGCATCGTCTTTAGATGCAGCAATAGGCGCTTATGTGGGGCCTATACGAAAACCTGAACAGCAAGTATTGCTTTTCCCTAGCGTGAACTAATAAAAAGTGAAAGACTTCTGTGAATCAGTGAAAAATGAAAAATTTTATATGAATTTTTGAAAATCGAAACATTTCACACGACAATTGAGTCGTTCAACATGGCAGTTGCGCGTTCTGGATAATTCAATGAATACCAAAGAAATCAAAATGATCAAAATAATAATGTCCGTGTAGTCCGAAGGATATTACGTAACACGCAAAACCCGTTTGATATAATATCCAAAGAAAATGTTTCAAAATATGTATATACAGGTAATATAAACCTTATGCACCGACGAGATATACTACAAAGACTGATGGCCTTATGGGATCTAGCGTACCAGAGAAATTTCCCTGCTGAGGCACCCGGGCGAAAGAGACCGTCTCTCATTTAGCGCAATAAAATTTAATGGGAACTAATACTTTTCAATCCTTTTCTTCGGATCAAAAAGATTCAGAATTCAGACATATTCAAAATGTCAATACTTTTTAATACGTTTCAATTCGACATTTTATACAGGGAAGCAGGACGAAGGGAATGGGATGCGGGCAACGATACATCATGCATCTCCAGACATGTCAAATCGTTTATTATAGAGGAGACTTTGATACGGCAACATGTATTTGAATATTTAATCGTCCCATGGACCACTTATATATAATAAAAAAAAATTAACGCGGATAAATGAACGATTTGTATCAATATTTCCTTTTCTTATGGAACAATGAAAGAGTAAATCAGTATCGAAAATCGAATACCGATTAATACCATAAATCAGTGTCAGAAAATTGTCCAATGACAATTTGTTCTCATTTTTCAGGTAGTTACCGCTGTAATTTACACAACAAATTAACTCGGTTAAACGAACGATTCGTACCAATTTCTCTTCTCTTATAAAGAAATGAGAGAATAAATCAGTACCGAAAACCGAAGACCGATCAATACCTAATTTTTTCATCAAATTAGCGCGGATAAATCAACGATTCGTATTAATTTTCTGTTTTCTTATAGAGAAATGAAAGAATAAATCAGTACCGAAAATCGAATATCGATTAATACCATAAATCAGTGTCAAAAAATTGCCCACGTGCAATGACAATTTGTTCTTATTTTTCAGGTACTTACCCCTCTAATCTTATTCAACAAATTAACTCGGATAAACGAACGATTCGTATCAATTTTTTTTGTCTTATAAAAAAGTGAGAAAATAAATCAGTATCGAAAACCAAAGACTGATCAATACCATAAATCAATGTCAAGAAAATTGTCCAAGTGCAATGACAAGTTGTTTTCATGTTGCAGGTATTTACCCCACTAATTTACTCAACAAATTAAGTCGGATAAAAGAACGATTCGTATCAATTTTTATTCTGTTATAAAGAAATTAAAGAATCAGTCAGTACCGAAAATTGAAGACCGATCAATATTTAATTTATTCATCAAATAAACGCGGATAAATGAACGATTAGTATGAATTTTTTTTCTTATTGAGAAATGAAAGAGTAAATCAGTACCAAAAATCGAATATCGATTAATACTATAAATCAGTGTCAAAAAATTGTCCAAGTGCAATGACAATTTGTTCTCATTTTTCAGGTATTACTGCAGGTATTACTACAATACTTACCCCTCTAATCTTATTCAACAAATTAACTCGGATAAACGAACAATTCGTATCAATTTTTTTTTGTCTTATAAAACAATGAGAAAATAAACGAACGTTTCGTATCGTATAATTTTTTTTGTCTTATAAAAAAATGAGAAAATAAATCAGTACCGAAAGATGAAGACTGATCAATACCATAAATCAATGTCAAGAAAATTGTCCAAGTGCAATGACAAGTTGTTTTCATCTTGTAGGTACTTACCCCACTAATTTATTCAACATATTAAGTCGGATAAAAGAAAGATTCGTATCAATTTTTATTCTCTTATAAAGAAATTAGAGAATCAGTCAGTACCGAAAATTGAAGACCGATCAGTATTTAATTTATTCATCAAATTAACGCGGATAAATGAACGATTCGTATGAATAATTTTTTCTTATTGAGAAATGAAAGAGTAAATCAGTACCGAAAATCGAATATCGATCAATACCGTAAATCAGTGTCAGAAAATTGTCCAAGTACAATGACAATTTGTTCTCATTTTTCAGGTATTTATCCCTCTAATTTACTCAACATATTAAGTCGGATAAAAGAACGATTCGTATCAAATTTTATTCTCTTATAAAGAAATTAGAAAATCAGTCAGTACCGAAAATTGAAGACCGATCAATATTTAATTTATTCATCAAATTAACGCGGATAAATGAACGATTCGTATGAATACTTTTTTCTTATTGAGAAATGAAAGAGTAAATCAGTACCGAAAATCGAATATCGATTAATACTATAAATCAGTGTCAGAAGATTGTCCAAGTGCAATGACAGTTCGTTCTCATTTTTCAGGTACTTACCCCTCTAATTTATTCAACAAATTAACTCGGATGTATAAACGAACGATTCGTATTAATTTTTTTCTCTCTTATAGAGAAATGAGAAAATAAATCAGTACCGGAAATCGAATATCGATTAATATCGTAAATCAAAATTTATATTGCTGTTTAACTCCATCGTCGCAAAAGATTTGACGTTTTCTCTATCCTAGTCCTAACTTATAGAAAATTTGGTACTCATCTCTATTTGACAAAAGTACGTCGGACTTTCTGTACTAACTAATATAAAAAACTTTTTCATTCTTATTTTTTCCACGTCTAATATTTTAATACCGAATCTGTCGAAATGAACCGGTCTGCAGAATTCCTGGCAAAACGTTTCTCTTTCTTTCTCGCTCTCCTCTCTCTTCGTCTCTGAATCGCCGCTAACGATCGAAAACCGCAAGCGGAAAGTAACGAAAATTTATTCATTCAACTAAAACGTTCTCCGTGTTATTTTTTAAACGTTGGATAAATACGGATCCGGCGTTTTGTCAAATATCTAACAAAAGTATCTCCGTTTTTTTCTTGCCGACATTCAAATCGATAGTTTTCTGCAAGTTAGGATTTGACAAAAAAAAGTCTTTCCCGAGTCGAAATATTAATTCTACATTGATCCTGCAAATTGCATCCAATTTGAAAAATCAATGCAGAATATCTAGATGCGCAATAGTGAACAAGCTTTGTCCTACCTGAACGTTACATCTGGCTACTCTCGCAGTCTCGCCCATGATGAATCTTCAACAGCGACGTATTCCGCAGTTATTTAATACTCTATCTCGATAATGTATATGTACTTAATCCCTATATTCTTAATTTAAATGAGCAATTTTTGTTGATGTTGATTATATATTCGCTTAACAGCGCAAGAAAGAGACCAAAGATAAAAACGTAAATAGAACTGCCTTTGTTAGAACTGCGCGTGAGATAAATATATAAGGATTAAATAATCATATAAGAATTAGAGGAAATGGGAGATGAAAAACACTTTTTATTCTCATCATTCTTAAAGTTCTTTTTTCCTTTTTTCTTCTCTTTTTTTTCTTTTCTTTTTTCTAATGAGAATGATGAGAATTGTAGCTCTCAAAAGAGCTGAAACTGCAAAGGCAAAGACAACGGTTATGTCTAATAATGCTGTTTCACTAATAGAGATTTTAATTCAGATTCGGTATATATACAATAAGAAAGATAAACAAGAATGAGAAACGGACATTCTAGCAGATTCTAAACGAAAACAGCAATCTGAGCATTATTAGACGAATAAAAATCAACACTTGTAAAATTTATATCAGATTCTAAGATCATTATTCATAGTTTTCTAAATTATGTGCAACTTTTTATTGAGAACATAATTAAAAATTTGTATTCATAAACCTTAGCTTGCCTCAGCAACCTTGCTTAAATAGACATTCATATTTTATGAGAAAAGAAAAGTAGAACTCATGTTACGTGAAATTAGGTTACCGAATAATCAAATCTCAAGCTATTTTATCATTTTTCAGATGATAAACTATGAATGCTGATCTAATTTCGACTCGGGTATGTCCTTACTTCGAGTAAGGTCCGTTAAAATCAGAAAAATCCTGCGTAATAATAATGACTCGAATACCATACCTCGAATACCATACATGATGTATTGCTGTCCACGTCTTTCGGTGCGCCCCAAGTCCTCTCTCCATCCTGACTTCTCGATCCGACGTCCTCCTTCTGGTTACTCCGTCGCAGCACCCCCGGATACTCCGTCGTAGCACTGGCGACGACACTGATTCTAGCTTTAACACTCGCGCAAGTAAGATTCGGACAAAGAAACGCGTATTAACCGATACGACTACCGACACTCGTACTACTCTATGTCGCGGTATGCGCGTCGTTCGTCGAGGCGCAAATGTCCTTTCCGCAATCATGGAGTCATATATAAGCGTACGAAACCAAACAATCGGGAAAGCACGGTTACTCCCCATCTTGCCGATCAGTGTTGATGCCTGCGTCGTCCGTTAGCTGAAAATGAAAACAACTCTTGTTTTCAAAGCATGCCTGTGAGAGACTCGCTTCAAACTTCACAATACTTATTTACGTCTGTTCCAAGAATCATATTACACCGAATTCAAACTGTCCCTATTGACATGACATACACGAGATCTGCGATCGCATCATTGATCTTTCTTTGGACAAGAAAATCCTGAGAGGAACGCTGTTCGAGAATATCACATTTTATATTTCAGGTGCCTTGCAAATTATCGAATCTGATGTAACAGATCAGGGAAAGTATGAATGCGTCGCTATGAATAACACGTGTGGGCACGGAGTACTCCAAGTCAATACGTATATTTAATATTATATAAAACTTACCTTTTTAAACAAAAAGGTAAAAAAAAGACGCCAAGTACAAGCGTAATGTGTTATTTTTAGAAGTATCAACCTCAAATTATTTTTTTTATTGTATATATATGTACATAAGTTTTTACAAGTAAAACTTATAACTATAATAAAACTCTGCAACACTTTTCTATTGCACAAAAGAAGTGATATATTAGAACAGTAGCGCCAACTGAGAAACCTAATATATATATATGATTATTGTATATTTAACTTAATATTTTTAGAAATCTCAAATTCAAATTATTTTCTTTTTTAAGATATATATTATGTACATAACATAAATTTTTATAATATATGTACATAAACTTTTAAAAGTAAAAATTATATCGTGTTATAAAAATTTAACACGTTTGTTAATAGTGTCCAATATTTTAAAAAAATATATTTTTAAATATTATGTACATAACATAAGATTTTATAAGTAAAACTTATCAAATTATTTTTTTTGTAAGATATATATGTATATAAACTTTTAAAAGTAAAAATTATATCGTGTTACAAAAATTTAACACGTTTGTTAATAGTGTCCAATATTTAAAAAAAATATATCTTTTTAAAGGTTATGTTATTCAAAATATTCAAGAAAACCTAGCTACAAAAAATGTCCATAATATAAATTTTTACAAGTAAAATTTATCATTATTTATTAGAACACTGAGTTATATGGTTATTTTACTTGTTATTGTAACAAATTAATTATTATAACAATGCAATAAAAATATTAAATATAAAAAATCTTGGCGCGGCTGCACCAAAAACTATATCGAACTAAAACTTATTTGATACATATATGACAGCATTTTTATTATAATATATTCTATAATGAAGGTTTATAATTTATTTATTGTAATACTATATAAACTTAAATAAAACATTATACCGTATATATATAAAGAGAATTTACAAGAACATTTTATTATAATAAAAATGCTGTCATGTATGTATTAACCAAATTTTAGTTCGATATAGTTTCTTAAAGTCAAATTAGATATCATTGACATTTCGTCAATTATAATAAGAATAACATCTCTGAATAAAAAAATATCAAAATATGTAGAATATATATACATTCGATATGTATATTCTACAGTACAATAATTCTTCTACTTTTAATCTAATATTCAATGATAATAAATAACATTTAATTGCATTCGTTTGGTTTTTTTATTTCGAAAATAAAAAAATATATATCAGGGTGAGATTTCACCCATGACAACATTAACGTGATTTTCTTTGATGCTTTATTTAAAAGTTCAAATATTTCGTCGACTCGCGGGATATTTATAATCGGAGTCTCGTCGCGTTAATTAACATGTGCTCCTCCGAGTGGATCGAATGCTCACCGACAGCCACTGTCAGTGCCACGAGCGAATGTCCGGAGCGGACGGGATGCTGAATTGAGAAGCAGGACGAAGGGAACGGGACGCGGGCAACGATACATTATGCGTCTCCAGACGTATCAAATCGTTTATTATACAGGAGACTTTGATACGGCAACATGTATGTAGAGGATTTATTATTTAATATATACTTTTATTTTTCTTGCTCCCCCCTCCCGCTCTTTTTAGACTTTCGGGCATAGTCTGGCACAAAGATAGTAACTATGGTTGTAGCATGGACATACACCGTCTGAAAGTGGATGTAGCACGGACTTCCACCACATGCAGATTTTACTACCAAGACCTAAAAGTGGATGTAACATCGTAGTTCTCCTCTCAAAATGGATGCAGATGGCGCCCATTTCCAGTGCGAAAAATCGGTATCGCCGAAAACGCCGTGTTGACCGCTCTCAGCTTCCTCTCTGATATTATCATATTATATATTAAAACAAGAAACACTTACAAATGATACACAAGCATTGTAATATCAATAGTCGATTTTTAAAGGTCTTCATCATCGCTGAACGTAAAACTATTATTTATTATATGGTAATGAAGTAAAATAGTTTGTATTGTAACTAGACAGCACGAACTTAAAAAACGATGCATAAGAAACCTGTAATAAGGTTTTTTTATATACTTTTGTTATACATCTTTCATTATCCTATACTCATTTTTCAATATATCTCATTCTTTTCTTCGAAGCCTTAGCGATACCTTATATTCCAGCGAAATACGTACGCGACTGGGACTGAGCGGAGTTGCGCTTATTACGCATGTGCGAAAAAATCTTACGATCTGGTAACGCTGGTGGACAGCGGCGGCGCCAAGGGCGTGTCTGGGTGGGCGCTGGCTCACCTAAAAATAGTCTGGTTCGCCCTTTGGCCCATCCTAAGAAGACTGTAGAAAATTTTAGTATAATTATGCTGTCCTATTCTGTCCAAGTTTTCAGGCTTATCATGACACACCCATATAAACGCTGGCCCATCTATAGCCCACCCGCATGAATCGTTCTGGCGCCGCCTATGGCAGTAGATTTCGGGACGCAGCCGTAGATAATAGTCGTTAAGCAGTTTCTGCTGAACGCGGCCACTGACACCCAGGATAGTAGCAGCAGCATCGAGTGTCAACGTGGTAAACAGTGGTTCATAACATCCGTTCATAACGGTTATCACGAATGAATGCCGTATACCGAAAAACATATCGACGAAAAATTAATAGATGCATTGAGAGCTTGGAAAGTGGTACGTAGAACGCATTTCTTTTACGCCTTCTCCGTTTTTTCTTGCATGTGCGTAGCGTCACTCATGATAAAATTAATAATTTCGCCAAGGAACAATATTGACCATTAATATCGATTCGAGGATAAATCTCTGAGCAATAGATGCGTATATACAAATAATTTATGAGATGATGTGTGAAGAATGTACACACAAATACTCCAACGAGGATCGATCGTGCTGTAGGGTACACAACATGCAGGGAGAGCTCAAGGTCACTCTGATCCTCTTTTGCGCCATTCTGTTGAGATGCTGCGTTACTTTCCACCCTCACAGTGGAGAAGGCAAGCCACCGATGTACGGGGATTATGAGGCGCAGCGGCACTGGCAAGAGATCGCACTGAATCTGCCCGTGAACCAATGGTACATCAATACCACCGATAATGACCTGCAGTACTGGGGATTAGATTATCCGCCGTTGACGGCATACCACAGCCTACTCTTAGGTCACATTGCGAATACCATCGACCCCTCCTTTGTGAGACTGCATGAATCCAGGGGAATTGAGACTGTGACGCATAAGCATTTTATGAGACTGACAGTCTTGATCGCAGATGTTTTGACTTTCATACCAGCAGTTGCTTACTTTGTGATGAAGCTGTGCTTATGCGAGTGTTCTCAAATAAAAAAGTTGAATATATGTGGCAAGTCAAAACTAAGGTATTTCCTCCTCATGACGGCGCTGATATATCCAGGACTGATAATGATAGACCACGGGCACTTTCAGTACAACTGCGTGTCGTTGGGTCTCTTCATTGCCGCTGTAGCCGCTATAACTCGTGACTGGTTCGCACTCAGCTCAGTCTTGTTTGTTTTGGCGTTGAACTACAAGCAAATGGAATTGTACCACGCTCTGCCGTTTTTCTTCTACACGCTCGGTAGCTATAAAGGAAGGTCTTGGAATTCTCACAGTCTAATGAAACTGATGGGTGTTTCGTTCACGGTACTGGCAACGTTCTACATCATCTGGATGCCATTTCTACAAAGTAGAGATCTACTTGTCAACGTGGTGCTCAGATTATTCCCATTCGCCAGGGGTGTATTCGAGGACAAGGTCGCTAACGTTTGGTGCGCGATCAATGTCGTGTACAAGTTGCGCAAGACCTTCACGAACACGACTTTAGCCAAAATCTGCCTGGTGGTGACGACGTGCGGAGTCGCGCCGAGCTGTGTGCATTTATATCGCTCGCCTGGGAGAAACGCGTTTGTAGTTTCGTTGATCAATTCCGCGCTGGCATTCTTCCTATTCTCGTTCCAAGTTCACGAAAAGTCGATTCTCCTGGCCGCGGTGCCAGTCCTGCTGCACTTCCATAATGATCCGCTTCCTTGTTTCTGGTTCTTGGTCATCTCGTGTTTTAGTATGTTGCCGTTGCTCATTAAAGACGGACTATACTTGGTATACATCCTTACCATGGCTATTTATTTCATAACTATTTCTTGGATGTGGCCTGGCATGTTTCATGACGATAAAGCAAATGACCGCTCGAGCAGACGCGAATCTTCTAATTCGAAGCGGAGACTCCTGGCGCGAAAGAAGGAACATGGATTTTCCTCGTACTTGGGTTACAACAAGAAGACTTGCTTCCTCGTTACATTTTACCTATCCCTCTCGGGAGTGTTGCTTCTCTCTGTCGCCAGCAAGTACGTGAAGCCACCCGAGAGGTATCCCGATCTGTTTCCGCTTTTGGTATCGGTGTACTCGTGCGGTCATTTTCTCCTCTTCTTTGTGTATTTCAATTATGCCCAATTCACCGCGTCAAGGGGGAACTGCGGAAAGTGTGTGAAGTATGAATAGAAAGGCTGTGCCATGCGTTAACACATTGAAGTGTTGAGGATGAAGAATAATTAAAATAGAATTAAAGAAAGCCATTGTAAATAAAACAAGAATGTGTACGAAACAATACGTGTCGCCTGCTATTTTATAACGTTACAAAAAACGTATCATGCCCTACAGCACGTTATCGAAAGCCTATTTTTACCACCGTTGTATACGCAGATAGACATGTTGGCAATAATATACATATATTTATTGTATATTTTATGATACCATTGAAGTAGCATAACATGTTTGTAATATACTCGCTGTAAGAAATACGTTTTTATAATTCCACTTTGCAACAAAATATCAGTTTGCATTGCTGATTAATTGCGTCCTCTTGCCCACACAATACATGACATGTGGCGCAATTTTCATGACATCAGATTGCTTCTTTTACATGCTGCTACAATGCTTCTTGTATAAAGACGGATCTTTATGTACTTATGCTACTATTTTAATTCTCGAATTCAGTCTCTATGCAGACAATGGGTCTGTTCCTTATAGCTACACTGCTGAACTAGCGCAATAAGTTTTTAACTTATTGCACTGGTTCAGCAGTGCAGCTACAAAGAACAGACCAATACGCCGAAATTTGTCTATCTGGGTATACGCATGTTTGTATTAAAAAAAGAGAAAGAAAAAAAACGCATTCGCGTCGGGACCTTGAACTATGCTCCGGAGCTTCGCGTCTCTCATCCGAATTTGCATCAGTGATATAACTGCTCACGTGACTTTACGTTTTCCAGTCGAGCGTCATTTTATGTCGCCTTTCTGACATATCTTCCAAATACAGACAGCATCGTTTGCATTGCATTGCAGGAAACGCTAGGTCACCCCAGTGGTAGCGGCTCAGGTATGCGTAGTGACGAGTTGGAAGATAGCCTTGGATTAATGTAACAGGTAACATTGTGTATAGCAGACGATATTTTCCCTCTGGAAGTTTCAGCATGAATCTTCTAAATAGTTGAATATCATGTAATTCAGCCTGGTGCATGCGGCCCAGAAGGAAGAGCTAGTGGAGACCACTAAAGCTTTCGCGAGGCACACAGTAAAGCCGCAACAGCGGGAAGAAGGGGCGAGAGACAGCCAAGAAGTGCTGATAAGTAGCCACATTGAGAGAAATTCGACTGGTTGCGTGAATCTCATATAACATTGATTCTTCCGTCAAGTAGATAGACGCGGCGGTTTGCGAAGGATTCGCTCGACGGAATCTCATTAGCCGTGATGAGGATACATCAGTTCAAAGTGTCGGCGCCGGGCAAGGTGATCTTGTTTGGTGAACACGCGGTAGTGTATAATAAACTCGCAGTGGCAGCTAGCTTGGACCAACGCATGACACTTGAGTTTGCCGAACTGCCTGACGAGGTAGCGGAGTCGAGGCAAATGGTAGAAATATCATTGCCAAATATCGACTTGTATCTAAGCGTGCATATTAAGAAAATCAAAGACTTCATCTCTCTTGATCAGTACCACGAGCCATATGATTACGACAATCTGTACCGTTTGGTGCGAGAGTTCGTCCCCACGATAATCAATCGCGCCACGACTGAGCAGATTCAGAGCTTGGAGGCGTTTTTCTTTACGATGGTCTTTGTCAACCGGAATCGGACGGTCTTGAAGCCCTTTCGTGTGCACTTGGATACGGAGTTTCCTATCGGCTCAGGCCTTGGTAGCTCGGCATCGTTCGTAGTGTGCTTCGTGACGTGTTTCTATTACTGGTGGAAGTTGCGGAAAGGTGAGGCCAGGAAATTCATCCCATACGACTTGAGACACATCGCAGATATGTCCCAGATGTGTGAGAAGGTCATGCACGGCAATCCGTCCGGCATCGACACGAGCGTCTGCACGTTCGGCTCGATAGTGAAATTCAGGAGCAACCCGTATATTATGGAGCCGATGGCGAAAGCACCGAAGCTGAAGATCCTGCTGGTCGATACGCAAGTCCAACGTAGCACGAAGACGATGGTGCAGAAGGTAAAGGAGCTGCAGGCCAAGCATCCTACGATCTACGAACCCTTCATAGCGTCCATCGACGGGATATCTGACGCTGCCTTCCAAGCTCTCGTCCCGATTTTCCGTCTCTCGGACAATTGTGAAATTCTCTTGAAATACAAAGAATTGATGGTAAGTTTCGACAGTGAGTGTGACATATCTCGAAAGAAGAAGTACCTCGATGCACGTTCCTTCGCTTCTCTTGTCAGAAGAAGCGCACAAGTTTACGAATTTGAATTACTTCGTGAATCCTTCTAGGATTCGGAAATCTTTAGAGAGAACATGAGCAGCGTAAATGTTGCCTTTTGAGAGCTCGAAGGTTTTCTTATCAGTGAAAACTCTGAACAAGTTTCTTCTTTTTCGAGATACAGACTTGTGTCGCCTCTTGCCTTTTTCCTCCGAGACTCACGTTGTGCGCGCGTTCTCTTGCAGAAACTCATCAACATGAACCAGAACATACTGTCTATGCTGGAAGTGTCGCACCCGGCATTGGACAAGATTTGTGACGAGGCCCAGAAACACGGACTTGCGGCGAAACTGACCGGCGCTGGCGGGGGTGGACACGCGTACGTCTTGATTCCGCCGGACACCTCGGACGAAACCATCTCGAATCTCTCGCAAAAACTGACAGCGGAGGGCTTCAAGGTCACGCCAGCTGAACTAGGCGGCAACGGAGTGAGGGTCGAAGACGTGTAAGGCGATATTTTTCTTAAATCGTCAGTTTTTGCGCATCGGGGGAAAATGGAAGAAAACCGATGGTACTATACAACGTATATTCTATAAATTATAATATATATATATATATATGACTAACATTACATTCCATAAATTAACGACGGTAAAATATAAAGTACATTTTCTGTTAAATAAATACGTAGAATATATCACATTGCAGATGGGAAGTTAACGATAAAACAATCTCTTGCTAGTAAAATACGCAACGACGTTAGATATGTCGATTACGGTATAAATAACACTGGCGCAGGAATACGCGTGATATGCCGAGTCGACTCGAGGGAGGTGAGGATTTCCGCCCGATTTCTCGTCACGTCTTCCGAATCTCGCAAAGTGAGAGGAAACTGCCGTTTGCAAAGAGAACTGACGAGTGAGAGCGAAATCCCAAACTGGCTGAGAAACCGCGCTTCCGTCGAACCGACCGATATTTTGATATGCCTCGATCGAATGCCTAAAGTAAAGCCGCTCCTAAATCCACGACCTAAAACGAACTTTCTACGGGGTTAAGTTTTATCGTCAAAATCATATAAAATGCATGAGATGCAGCGCGCGCTTCGATACACTATCGTAATCGCATAGTGTTCAACTGTGTACGCGTTAGGCTAACGTTAATATCTGCCGCAGTGCAGCTGTTACACTTGGAAGTCGACGTGTGATATCGCGTGATATCAGCGAGATTAATATTGCTATCTCGCAAGACGAGATTTTCCTTTTTACTACAATTGGACGCAAGCTAATTTACAGTATAAAATATGCAAAGAAAATTACCGGTACTACTTGGATCAAAAACCTGAAGACTATTAGCTATCGCGCGCTCTGTGGGTCATTTAAGAGTACTGTGTCATCGCTAAAAAAGAGAGAGAGAGAGAGAGAGATCAGCCACCTAATGTGTGGTGCATCGATTTTTCCGCTAATTCTCAAGATCTATATACATTATTGTAATAACATCAACTGTAATAATGTATATAATTTTAAATAATTAATATCTAAATGAACCGCGCTCACATATACCGTGCGACAAATGCATCGTCACAGATGCATTCGTGTTCGTCCGTTATAATGCTCAAGCGACGATTATAAATTAAATTTACAATCTAAATTACGTGTGTCGGTATTAGTATCTTTACCGTGTAGATATATTATTACTTGCTTGATGCCGCAAGTTGCCGTTCAACATTAGATGATCGGTGTCGGTGATATCGTCGCCGCATCCGTCTTCGGCGGTGCCGCGCGTCACGTCGGATACGAGTTGCCTCTCCTCCAGCTTCGCCTCCGCCAGCCACTTGTTTATCTCCTGCGTGTACATCTTCCGCTGCAGGACCTCCCGCGTTCGCGGTCGCGAGCCCACAAACATGGTGCTACCGCCAACGACCAAAGTGCTGCGCAAACTCTCCAAAGTCTGGAAGTCCTCGATTATACACTGCAGCTCGTCCCACTTCAGTTCCACTTCCTCGTGAAGCATCTTTTCCTCTGAAAAGGGATCATGATAGAGTGCATATATAGGCGCGTCGCGAGAAATCACCAACACTAAGCGCGCTTACCGTCGTGTTTCGAAGTCGACTTCTTATACTGTATCCTGAATCGGAAGCCTTCCAAGAAGCTGGACACCACGATGGTCAGCACGATCATGGTTACCAAGTAAAATATCATGAAGTATATCCGCGTGTACATCCCCGTGGTAAACGCATACGCGTTCATCAGTATGAACCAATTGTTAACGACCGTCAATTCGAACAGCGTCATACCGCTGGCTATGAGATTGTCGAACGTATTGAGATAGTAATATCCCAATGCCGTGCTGCCGTTAGCTGAGTACTCATAGAAGTCTTCAACGGTCGTGTTTCTGTCGGGGGCAAGAAAGGAGGAAGCATTTTAAAGCATATCGGCTGTCATTTTCAACAATTGAATCGAGTTCGTTCAAACGAACAAACGCCGCCATGAACAAAAGCCACTTACGCGGGATCTCGCGAGCTCGAGGCTTAAAACTTACTTGCAGCAATTGCGCATATCGTATCCCGCGAACATCTCCATACCGATAATCGCGAAGAAATAATATAGCACTAGCATGACAATCGCCGTCGAGCACATCTGAGGCGACAAAATGACGAGGGTACCGAAGACGTCTCGGTAGCGTTTCTTTATCTTGAACAGTCTCAGCGTTCTGAGAGGTCGGAACAGAACCAGAAACGTGGCTGACGGGAACAAATTGAGAGCGCACGCGGCGACGACCATCATCACCGTCGTGCCCAAGTCGAAGAGATTCCAGCCGGAGCTCAAGTAATGTCTCACACCGAGAGCCAGTATCTTCGACAATGCCTCGGCTATGAATACTGCAAATGGCATACATTTTAGCACACTTGGCAACGTGGAAGAGACACGACGTGTATTCCACTACCTGGCTGGGAACGTTTAAGCCTTATGCTCTTTACTTTCTGTTTCCTTCTTTTTATCTCTTTTTGACATAAACCTTATAACTGAAGAAAGAAAAAGATAAAGAATATAGGAAACAGGAAGCAAGAGCATATTGTAGATCGGGCTTTACTCACTTGCACCGAATAACAGAGTGTCCCAACAAGCGGCGAACCCGTGAGACGACTCCTCGAGGCTATCGCTCGGCTCTATTATCCTTGCAATCATGGCGATACAGTTGCCGATAATGATCACATCTGCGAGAGATCACAGGCGATGAGACACACATCGGGCTTGCGATAAATTCACGCGTGCGTCACGCGTATACTTACACACTAGCGTCTCGAAGTACGGCCACTTAATAGCGGTGTGGGCGCCCATGCATAACACTTGCAGAGGCCACCAGGCGTTGCGATACCACGGTATATTGGAGTACTGCAGCTCCCACTGGAGTGTCGTGGTGTCGTAAATCGACAGGAATTCCTCGCAACTCAAAGCGCCACTGCCCGACACGTTCATGTGACAAAATATTAATACAATGTCTCTCGTGGCTGTAACATGCATACACAGTCGTTGCAGACATTCGACTGCTATAGTGTCATCGTAAAGTTACATCACTTGTTTCCGTCCGCGTAACGTCGAACCCGGCTTTCACTTGTTAAATGTATCACGCCGTATCGTGTGAGAATCGGCCGCATGAACGTCCTTATAGCACATGTTCGACGAAACGCGAGCTATTGTATATTCTACTGGAAGAATGGACAGTGGTAATCCTAAGTATACACACATTTGTTCGGCGCGTAGTACCGCATCAGACCTTCGAACTGACGGAATCGCATCTTGTCGGGATTCTGCCGGGAAACCAGGAGCTTGAAAGCATGCTGACACGCTTTCCTCTTGTGCAAGAACAGCTTCTTGAATTTGTCACGTTCGCGGAATGTGAATGTTTCGTTCACCACGGCCAGCATCAGGTTCATCATCACGTACAGCATGGTACACAAATAAGAGACGAAGTATATAGCGTACCATTTATTGCGCGAATACGACGGCATCATCACGTCTGGGAAGCTACGGGGTTGCGAAGACATTAGCGACAAAATTCGTATCGGCGATGAAGATTGCCCTCGCGTATCAGGACCATACTCACTTGGCAGTGGTGAGCAGAACGAATAGACTCACGAAGCTATCTTGCAACGTGGAGAAGTTTCTGTTCATTTCACTGAACATGAAGTAGCCCAAGACCGTGTACACGGTGATCAAGAAGAACAGAAGGCCTAGCATGTCCAAGATGGGCGGTAGCGTGAGAAGTATCTGCCTCACGAATCTCCTCACACCTCCGCAGTACTTGGTGTCTATCAGAAAAATGGGTCTTAGCGCGCGCGTCACGCGGAAATGCGAGGATTGCCGCACCAGGACAGTCAAGGCTTCGAGAAACATGATAGCCAGTGTGACGCACTGAAACAAAGTGAAATTCGCGCACGTGTGGACATATATGAAATACCTTAGGAAATCAATCAAATCCGATTGACGTCGGGCCCGTGTTAGTTCCCCTTTCTCGCACGTCAAAATCGTGTATTATCTTCTTTCTATTCGTCCGAATTGAATTCACGATGAGTTTTCACATCGCGATGCGTCTGACATTGTATTCGTAACTCTCTATAGCTTATTATATAAGTAAGCTAATAAGTCATTGCATATTCATTGCAGTACTCATTACTCATCTCGATGATGCGGTCGTTGATCGGTAATGAATGGGTGATTACTGTCTGATACTCTTGTACCGTTGTGTAATAAGCGTGAATAATTATCGGTGACAACTGTCGGGACGAGCAACAATTCGGATCTGATCATGCAAATATTCTGTTTCTCGCTCAACAATAAATATTTCCAGCTGAGATCACTGTGTTCTGCTTCCTCGGCAGTATAGTAGCACCTAAATAAACATTCCTCTTACTTTTAGCGTTGTACGTTTGTGTTTTAACAGCGTTGCCCAGCCAGTCCATCTCAGCTTCAAAGCCAGTTGCACACCGATGATAATCAAGGTGAGCAATTCTATCGAACCGTGCATCCACACTGGCACCTAAGACGCGTACAAACGACGAAATCTTAATGAATGAAGGCACGTATGACATATATTTTACATTACAAATGAACAACATGTACTCTAAATAATGGTAAAGCAGGTGCTTCAACGAATGCCAGAGACAGAAGGATCAATGAAGTCAGTAAATCCAATCCATTGTACCATCTGTTGTGAACTAAGAGGTATGCTGGCAAATCCTCGGGATGCCTTGGATGAGAATCGAATTTCTCATTATTCCTGCCTTCCTGAAAGGGTTTGCAAGTGCTCCATTAGTATTATAACATTAGAGAGTATTACAATTCAATTAAAATTGTTTATTAAGCTTATTGTAAGTTAAGGTCTTACACAACACAATATTATTTGATAGTTTGATATTTGTTCAGTGTGTAGAGAAACATGAGGCAACTCTCTGTATATTATGTAACACGTATTACATATATATCCAGCAGTGGGGAACATAATAAACATCCTTGAAGGAATAACGCGATGAATTGAATGCAATCTTTTATTCATACATATGCACATGTTTCTGTATACTAATGACTAAGTGCTATCGATTGAAACATGTTTGATATATATAGTCAATACACAAATTACCTCTAGGAATATCGCAGCTTCATGATAATTCATTTCCCAGTGCATATCTATGTCCACGGACATATCACGTGCGGTAAACATTATATTCTCAGTCATACTTCCGGTTCCTGTATCTGTCCTTTCATATTTATTATTCAGCTCATTAGTATTGTTAGCGGTGTCAAACGACGACCTGACATGACTTTCAGTGGAAGGTGAAGACAGCATTGAGCCGTATTCTGCAAGAAAATATGAAGCTTCGTATCCCTCCAATATATCAATAAATCCTCATAAACATATTTCTGTAGAAAGTAATACATTTAAATATACCAAATGTACAAATACAAAAATATACATGAATGGATATTTCTACAAATCAATAATCTCTCCTTGTAAATATTCTGGATGCAATTTGAAGCATTTTCCGACTGAACAACTATTTCGCACAATTCATCAACTCGATTCGCGCACGTCGGCTCGAGAAGCCGCGAATGACAATTAGCCACGGACTGGCAACGCTAGAAAAAAAGAGCGCGTTTACTACAATTATATTCCTCTCGTTAGAATACACGTCGCTCCAGTCGCGAGAGGCCGTGTTTCGTAATCTCGCGTTATCAGAGTTGGTCCAGAGGGTTCAGGTCAGTAGGTGGAACCGAGACAACAATCTCGGATAGGATCCAGCAGGCAACGATCCAGAGACCCATCTGAAGCTACAAACATTTCGGAGCGCTTAATGAAAAACTGTAGTCTGCAGGACGCTTCAAAACATTCGCAGCATCAGTCGGCTTCTAGACGAGGACTATCGAGACCGGGGAACTCACGTCGGCTTGAGCCGTTGGTAATCTCCTGTTCGAGCGGTAGGCTCGTGTCATTGTCGAATCGCTGGTAATCGTGCTCGCCGGGCCGCGACGACGAGGACATTGGGGAGCGCGTGGTAGCGTCGTGACGCGCGTCACACTGGATCACAGCAACAGCAACAGCAGCAGGGCACAACACACACACACACACACCCGACCCGCGTGACAGTCCAGCGTAACGATAGTCAACGGACTATCACTACGTCATCGGCGCAGTGTCCTGTCAGATATCCTCTCGCTCCCTCAGCACGCCGAAAGACGACTCCACCGCGACGACGGCTGACTGAACGACGCGACGCGTGCGGGGGCGTATATACGCAAGTGCGGGCGCATGATGTGCGCGTTGTACTCGCACTGACACCCGCGCGACATGCCAGGCTGCAACAATGCGACGTGACGCGACGCGATGCTTCTCACCGCCAGGTACCGGGGACCGCGATACTTTCTGTACCGTGCGACAACGGATAACGGAACACGGCTGGTTCCACTGCACTCCTCGTGCACTTTGCTGCACTCTCCGTCGTTGAATGGAGCGCGCGCTTCCCCGCGCGCATGCGTAGACTCCAAGTGCCCTCGCGGCTAATCACGGTCGCCACCTCTCCGGTTTTTGCCCGGAGTAAAAAAAAAATATATGTTTAAAATTATACGTTTAATTTAAATATAATCTTATGTTAATATATTAAAATATTTTATTGGATAAATTTTTTCGTAACATTTTTTTTATAACGATGTGATACTAGTGCAATATGCGTATGTTCGTAAAAATATAAATAATGTTTAATTTTATAATGATTATTAGTATCGCACGATGTTTAATTTGAACTTAATATGTTAATGTATTCGAATATTTAATATTTTTTATTTTTGACGTATTCTTATTTGTTCCTGCCTTCCCCACCCCGTCCCACTCTTTTTAGATCTCCGAGCAAAGCTTGGCATAGAGGGTCTGTGCTTTATAACTGCACTGTTGAACTAGTGCAATAAGTTAGAGTGAGAAAAAAAATAGGTGTCTCATTTTAATTTATTGCACTAGTTCAGCAGTGCAGCAATAAAGAACAGACCCACAGGTGGCAACCGTGGTCACGGCACTGGTTCATTCGCCGCGCGTATCGGTGTTGACGTATGAATTACGAGCTCTTTTTTAAATCATGATAATTACAGATTCTCAGCGAAATAGATTCCTATCTGTTATTGTATTGAGCCAGTATGTGCGATGACTATTTCTACGCGATCGAGAGTCTCGTATATTATAATGTGATTTTTATAACGGAAGATTAATGGAAAATCTAGTTAAGAAGGACAAAATCGGCGGTGATTCACACGAAGCACCTTATGGATCTGAGTAAATATAGCTGTCCCAGAAGAATCGAGACTCGAATTAAAAATCGACTCTCCGAGCCGTTACATTAATGTGTTGACAAGTGAAAGGAAGCTCGGGCGATCATTTCGACGAACAAGAAGAAAGAGTCATCACGGTCAATTAGGGCGTCGTAATTGCGAAAAGCCGACAACAGTCGTTAATCTTTCCCTCTGGACAAGAAGCACGCGGTGAGCACAGAGGGTTCAGTGTTTCTCGCGGCGCAATGAGAACTACAAAAGCCGCGAACTTTCGACTCCTAACATGATGAAAGATACAGAAATCGCTGCATTCCGCACGGAAACTTACGTGTACGATTACGCGCAATCGTGCACTCATTGCGTCTTATCGGCGCCCGCACCGGCTGGTACCGCGGGTAATTAGAAACAATGCTCCTTATCAGGGAATCCTGTATATCTGCACTTATTGACACCATTTGTACACTATTAGATATCATCACCGTCTCGAACACTCTGCGAGAACTCGAGCATCTCGAGTTGCTCTGAGCTTTCGGGTGTATCGAAAAGCCTCAACGGATTACGATCTCTGCAAGATCGTATCTTCAATGCGAACGAGACCAAAGTCAAAAGCTCTTACCGCTCGTTCTCTTTTTGTATTCTTTTCCTCCTCCCCCCTCTCTCTCTTTTAAGAGAACGCGTCGTTTAAATCAAACGAATGTGAAATTATCGGGCAGGTCAGATAGTTGTAGGAATATACCAGGATTGGGAAAGTTATTTCGTAAAAGTATCTAATTAGTTTTTTTTACTGAAAAAGTAACTAGTTACAGTTACAGGTTATTGACCTTTAAAAATAACATGTTACAGTTATAGTTATTTAGAAAGTAACGAGTTGTTACTTTTCAGTTACTTTTTTTACAATAATTGTGCTATTGTTTTAAATTTTGCAATTATGTAAATTCCTTCAATTTTATATAAAAGTAGTTCGTTGATTATATTATTTTTATATTTATATATTCCTCATATTGTATATAATTTTTGCAAATTAGATTCATTAATTTAAATGAGCAATTCATATTTATTCTTTAAGACTATTAATAACAATTTTAAGAAAGTGATTAAATTTGGTGAGGATAATAAATACTAAAAAGTAATCTTAATGTCAAAAATTAGATTTTTTCACTAAAAAATATATTGATATTTCATAAATAAAGACTTACACTCATATGTTTTCTTAAATTTCTAATTGAAGTTCTACTTGCGAAAATAACTTTTTTGCCAGTGCAAATTTTGCAGAGAAATGCCCAGTTGCTCACGTTTCCAAATTTTTGCTGTAGCTCGAATATTTCTACATATGCTGGCCATGGCATTTTACAATCCTTCTCCGAAGATTGAAATGTTTTATCCATTGCTTGAATTTTTTATATAACTGAAACCACGCAACACACTTCACGCTGAACACAGATCATATTAACAAATTAGGACTGGCGACGCGCGACAAAAATGTCCAATAGGCGTACAATTTTTTGAAAGAAATACAGGTTACGTTCGAAGAGGAGACTATCAGCGCTATTGTGTCATTTTATCCTTGTTTTATACTTAATGAACGATAAAGATAAAGACAACGTAATAGCGCGTTTTCCAAATGCAGCCTGAATAACTGTATGCTGCATTGGATATCAAGCGTCATGTTATCGTACTGGTCTGCCAGAAACTTAAGTTTGAGATATATAAAGTAACTATTAAAGTAACTATTAAATTAGTTACTAGTTATCAAACAAATGTAACTAAGTTAAGTTACAGTTATAAACTACGTTTACACGGCAAGGTTAATCCGGGTTAGTAACAACTGTAGTTAGTGAATTCTTTGATTCGATTGGTATATTCTTTTAGATCTAAAAATATACTCTAATCGGATTCGAGACTGCACTAACTACGGTAATTACTAAGTCGAAGTTAGAAGCTGTGTAAACGTAGTCAAAGATGGAAAAAACGGAACGAAGTTAAGCTATCAAAAGATATCAAAAGCTATCAAAAGAAGTTATGTTATAAAAAAAAAAAAAAAAAACTAACTGTAACTTCGTTACAAGTAACGAGTTACTTCCCAACCCTGGAATACACACAAAGTGTGTAACAGACGATTGAAAAGAATCTCAAGACTGTCTTAGGTCTCCGTTTAATCGAGAAAGTACGTGTGGACCCCTATATAATTCGTATGCGTATCGCAATTGAAAATTTACGGAAGTCTACGTTTATCGCGACGCGATGCATGAGAGACCGCGTCATCGATAAGACCTTGCGCGTCGCTTATCAGTGAACAAGCCTCGCTTTCTTCGGCCGGGCGATATCTAGTCGGGTATTTCTCGCTTATCGCGATACCATTGTCCGCATTTTCATCCAGTCTGCCGTTGCGCAGGATGTTATGCCCAAGGTGATGATTCAGCTCGTTTCCTACGAGCGGCGCGAGTTCGGCCGGAACTGTGTGTTTCCTGTATTTTCTCTGCCGGCGCGCTGTTAATCGCCGAAACTAGTCGAGGTTGCGCGCTTACGTAACATCTCGACGTAGCGACTGCGACGCGTTCGATTCACCTCGAACCTGCCTCGTCTATAAAAGACAAACCGCATATTGTTATTCCGCGAGCTTCTCTCCGCCTTCGGGCTTGTGTTCATCGTCGCGTCGTTCATTTGCATAGGTGCGCATGGTGCGTCCGGACTGCGGTGACCCGGCTTGATCTGCGAACTTTGCTCGTACAAAGCGACGTTCAGCGCATAGATTGCGTCGACGGCGATCACTTCATAGGCGTAACATTGAACGGCCAAATAATCGATGTTAACGATAGCTACGATGCGGAGGACGGATGGCGGGAAGTCCGGACGGATCGTGACAAGGTGCTCTACTATGTGCTCAGCCAGGTCGTTTACCCGGACATGGACGCGCCTCGTCCGGAAAGATTCGAGTCGCTATATGCCTTGGCGGGTGAGCTTGACGTCATGTTGCTCAGATGGCAAGAGGGCAAGGCCGTTGGGTTCTACACCGTCAAGTTCGCAGGTGATCTTGAATGTCAGAAGCAGTCTGAATGATTGAAAAACAAGTGGAAAGCTTTTATATCTTCTGACGATGATATCGATTCCTTCAGGTGCAGAAGTACCCTCGATGAGGGAGAGATATAGAATGCCCGTAGTGGACACGGCGTATGTTCGATCGGAATACAGAAACCGAGGCTTCGGCACGGAGATCTTGTCCGACGTGATCGCGCGCTTCCCCAACGAAGACATCGGTTTCTCCAAACCAATCTCGAACGGCATGTTGAGAAGTGGGTATTCCTGATTCCAGCTATTGTCTCCTACATCTAATAATAGTAACATCTGCGCGGTTTCTTTGCCCTAGTCTTGAAGAGATTCCTGACGAGTCGGAGGGAGTACCGTCTACATTTCTGGGAGATATCGGACTGCGTAGATATCGTCGGGTCGCAGCAACTGATATGGTGCCGTGTCAAGAAAGCAGTCTTATGACGAAGAAAATAGCTAGAATTCATTATAGAAGCATGAAACGAGAGAGAGAGAGAGAGAGAGAGAGAGAGAGAAAGAAAGAAAGAGAGAGAGAGAGAGAGAGAGAGAGACAGAGAGAGAGAGAGAGAGAGAGAGAGAGAGAGAGAGAGAGAGAGAGAGAGACAGAGAGAGAGAGAGAGAGAGAGAGAGAGAGAGAGAGAGAGAGAGAGAGAGAGAGAGAGAGAGAGAGAGAGAGAGACAGAGAGAGAGAGAAAGAGAGAGAGAGAGAGAGAGAGAGAGAGAGAGAGAGAGAGAGTGTAACAGGATATTTATATATTATCAATTTTACATAATTCGCTTACATGTGTACGCACATGTGTATGTACGCGCGCACACTCTTACTCGGAATGATATATATATATATATATATATTTCTTCCGATTGTATTATGCACGAGTGCGTAGAAATGTTAAATGCGGTGTATGTCTGCGAGTTTACCTTTCGCGCGACGAAGAAAGAGAGAGTATTCGAACTTTTTCGCGTGTTGTAAGCGCCACGACGCACGCGCGCTTTCTGTATCACACTAATTCCACAAGTGGTACACGTTATCCGCTTCACTTCAAGTGACTTTTCAGTTCATTCAATAAGATCGATCCTATCACCATTTTTTCACAGTTCACGCAGATTTCCAGCTGCTGTTCGGCTTCGATGAATCTTATCGTCACCAGCACCAACGACTTCGACGCCAAGGTGTGAGCGGCGAACCTGTGAATATGCACAATAACTTAGCTTCTCACGAGAAATTAACTTTCTCTCAAATTGCTCGGCTAGAAGACGCACTAATGAGATGTGCGATTATGTGAGATTTACGATTACATCGTAATGTACGCGTGTGTGCGCTTACCGTATGACCTCGTTCTCGTTGGCTATCCTCGCGACGTTCGCAGCCTCGAAGACTTTTTGGGGGAGAGCGCTTTTGTCCCCGGAATACGGTACTTTCGCCATGTGCTCGTTCATGCCCTTCAATTTGCCTTTCTCCGCGTTGAACATGCCCTCAGGCAAGACTACGGATCTTATTATCTCCCCGATCGGCGCCTTGATGCTGACCGGACACGAGTACCTCTCGTCGTTGATCGCGAAGTCGATGTTGAAGTTCGCCGGTTGCGTAGAATCGTTGAAATTGACACCTAACGTAGAAGACAGCGTGGCGTTCGCGTCTAGCGACGGTATCTGCGTAAAATCTTGAATGAACATTCCCTTCTGCAGGTTCTGTGGAAAAGTGAAAAATACGAAATATCATCTCGTCGGTCAATAATGATCACGAATGTCGCAAGTAAAAATGCTGGAATCGCGCGTATACCTTGCTCCCCGCCTGAATCTCTTTGATGACGTTGTTACTCTCGTTCAGGAATGTCAATTCGATACTGACCAGATTCGAGCTAACTAAATGCTGCGATCTCGTGAATCTATATTCAACTTTTAAGCCGTGCCCGGTGATACTGTTCAACAGAGTGGTATTCTTCAACGGAACGTAGGATGTTGACACCTCACGCGCATTGTCCGTGATTGTTGGATTGATCGGAGTGAGGAAACCACCCAAGCTAGGCGTCATCACTGGAGTCATTGGAACGACTGGGCATTGAAAAAGACACATGCTTTAATGAGAATTTGCTTAGACTATTCCTCTTCTTCTTCTTCTTCCTCAATTAACCATTAAACTAACCGTCATCCAAATCCAACAGCAAGTCAAAGTTGCTTTTCGGCTTCTCCCTCACTTCCTCATTTTTCTCGACCTTCGGCTTTTCCTCTTCGCTCTCCTGAGTATCGCTCTCCTCTTCCGAGTCCGACTCCTCGCTGCTCGACGACTCGCTCTCGGATTCGTCGGACTTGGTTTCGTTCTTCTTCGCGCTGCCCGTCTCAGACTTGTCCGATTCGCTCGAATATTCCGAGGAATCACTGTCTTCGTCCGACGACTCACTGGACGACGAGTCTGACGATTGATTTTCTGATTCTGAAAGATAAAGACGGAACGTTGAAGAGTGTATATACGGATTCAAGCATTATAGAACAGTACCTTCAGCAGGAGTGCTCTCCTCGTCGCTGTAGAATGGTTTCTCCTTCTCTTTACTCTTCTTCTCCTTCTTCTCCTTCCTACCGTATCTTTCTTCTCTATTGTGCTCTTGCACGATCGCTGGCGCGACGTCTCGCACGGACGGGTCTTGCGTGACCTCTGGGAAAGGCGGCAGCGGACGGTAGCCAGCGCACGGCATGTCCAGGTAATGGGATAGAGTGCCTAGTTGATACTCCGAGTCCTTGAACCGGGACGTCAAAGTCGGCGCTGGTTTCGGAGCGAGGAAGATCCTCTTGGCAAACTGCGGTAGTTTCTTCGTGCCGGTCTCGTCGTCGAAGATAAAGTGCCGTAGAAAACGCGCGCGGTCTCTGATGTCGTAGTTCTGATCATACTTGGCGAGCTGGAAGACGTATTGGCAGAACGGTTTCGTCTGCGCGGGGTTATTCAGGCACAGTTTCACCGCCAGATTCAGAGTCTGCAGTTTCACTATGTCCTGCTCGTTCACGAAGCTCTTGGCCATCTTCCGCAGCACATCAGGCGCTATTTTGGGAACCCTGTCGGAGTATTCGCCCAAGAGCCACAGGATGGAGGCTCTGGCCTGCGGCACCGTGATGAAATCCATCAACTTGGCCATGTGAGCAATTATGTCCTTGTGCTCGTTCGGCTGTGTTTGCAGAAGCTTCTTTATCACCACTACACTCTCCGCTACAATGGCCTCTGTATGGATTAAGGAGCGTGTTGTGTTTAATACAGTAGATCGTGTAGCATCAAATGTGGATTTACAAGGCCGTAAGTCCGTAATGACGACCTATACAAGTTATCTCAACGTAATTTCGAGGCCATGTTTGATTGGATTGATTGGATTGACATGCAAGGAGAGTAGGACGTGGAAAGAAATTATAAAAGAGGTGCAAAAACATAAGAGATATGAATAATGGAAACGGCAGAGAAATGTAAATTGAAGGTAATCCAAACCCGAGGGTTAAGAATAAATAAAAAGTAATAGATATATAAATTATGTAACGGACGTTTACCGTCTCTATTGCTCAATAATGAAACCAATCCATTGAGACACGTGTCAGTTACTTCCTTGATGTTACTCGCGCATCTGCCAATGGCCTGTATACTGGCGCCCACGAATTCCTTGTCGCTGCTCGAGATGTACGTCTGAAATTCTCGGAGTATCACGCTGATGCTGGTCTCGGTCGCCAGATTCGTCAGTATGTCGAGTTTCAGGAGTTTGATGTGCGTTGGGTCGGAGGTACGCACGAAGAACGATTTCAGGAAGGGCTCGAACATACCCTGTTGAACGTACGCGAGCGAGAAATGTGAGCGAGTCAGGGGTATGATGTTCGTCATGTGAGATCGATTACCACAGGCCCATTCGTATTGCGTTTTAGCGCCATACTTACATTACCTTTCTCGTAATTGAAATGCTAGCGATACAGTGCAGTACAACGCTTTGCACTTCTCTGTGTCCTCTCAGCAACCTGATGAGTGCCTTTGCAGCAGTCATAACTTCGCTTCTAGGCGCTGCGTGGTGATACAATTGAGAAACCGCCATTACGACAGACGCATTACGGCTTTGCAACAAGGGTTTGGTGTTTCTCAATAGCAAACGATGATCGGGATCTAATGTGAACTTTGGTTTCTTGGTGTTAGAAGAATCGGAATCGGAGTCGTAAAACGGCCGGTTCTCGTCATCATCTAAATTCTGTAAAGTCATCCCTTTTCTTCTTAATCATTACTCCTATTAATTAGAAGAGTGCTTTTATCGCCTTTATCGAAAACGATTCGCGGGGACGACTTACATCTGTATTTGGATTGATGAATTGCGTTCTGGCATATCGGGTGAGCATGTTGACGATAACTACTTGACCCCATTCGTCAACGTCCACCAATAAATTACACAATTTCCTGTAATTTTTGTGTATGAGGTCTATCCTTTCTGGGCATACTTCTTCAAAGGCCATCACCGCCGAACCAACAACGAGAGTAGTTTTATCAGATAGCAGTTTCTCCAACACACTTATTAATTCTTCCTTCTGCTCAGGTTCTAACGAGTACAACTTAGGAATCGCATGAGCAGCAGTCTTGCGGACATATGGAGACATGTCGCTAGCTGAGTCTTTAATGGCAAGCATCACAATGGGTACTATCATAGGGACTCGTATACTAGATAATACTCTTAAAGCACTTGCTCTTATCAGTTGATTAGGATCCTTCAAAGCTCTTTGAAACGTCGATATGGAAAGAAGAGCTAGATCTTGCTGACCTTCTGCATAACGAACTAGATAAACATATACTAGCTTCTTTACTTCAATGTTCTTGGATACTACATTTTTTACAACAGCTGGAAACAGTTCTGATGCATCTCTTCCTTTAGCCACCATCTAAAAAAAAGAACGAATTACCACTATGTAGCATTACTAATGATAGCATTGAAAACATACACAATTACCCCAATTATACGTTTCATAGCTTCCAATTTGAGCCCATCTTTGTTACTGTCTAACATCTCTTTTAGGTCTTCGTGTCTAAAACGTGCAATATATTTCTATTAGTTTATCCATCTTAAACTGTTACATCAATTCTGGCTGCATTCGTAAAAGATAATAAAGAATAAAAATCTCATTGTCAAAATGTGTGTTTGCAGTAGAGAAAGTTCAACGTATTCAGAATTATTATTTCATGTTTTTGTGAGTCGTCTACCATATCATCGCCGATAAACAAAGATTAATTACTTCTTATAATCAGAATGGAAAAATCCACCGGAGGCGGGATCCGTTGCGAGATCTGCGTCACCCGCACTCGACGGTCTCTCATTACTGTAGGAGCCATTATTCGATAAAGTATTCGCAGCCGCCGTCAGCATCTTTCTCCTCGATCTTCTACGGAACAGTCAGTTAGCTTTTTTACGAGGATACTTGAATATCCTATCGTTATCCGCACGCCACGATACTCGATATCCGAACTTTTGACAGCTGTCTTCAGCGAGCAGCCATGCCGTTTTGGATACTTCCATTGTGACGGAATTTTAAAGCTTAGGGCTAGAGCACAGACTTCTGCATAACGCATAAGAGAATCAACCAATCAGAGTTCTTCATTTCTATCTTGAGGAGGGAAATGAAGAAAACTATGGCCCAGTTCCACAACTTGCTTTAAATAGTATATGCGCATATACTATTGCTTTTAACCATCGGTTTAGCTTTAAACACCGTTTAAAGCAAGTTGTGGAACTGGGCCTAATTGATTTAAGGTCATTCTACAATACGTGTCGTAAGTTGTAAGCCGTAAGAACTGACTAATTATAGCCGATTATTTTTGTAATAATCGACTGTGATTCGCCAATTCTTACGGCTTACAATTTACGATACGTATTGTAGAATGACCTTTAATTCTCTTATGTGTTATGTATTATGTGTTATGTAAAAGCCTGTGCTCTTGCCCTATCCATATGGATAGTGCAAACGCATACGCATGAATAAGTCCACCAATCACGCGTCTGAACAGAATGCAGCCAAATTTTTTACTCCGGTTTTTTGCAATTACAGCTTCATACGGGTTCTGTCGTTCATTCTTTTTGTTTGAATTTTATATGTGTTATACTTGCAACAATAACCATGTGAAAATACGATTGAAAATTTAAAAAATTAAAAATCTGTTTTACCAATTGCGTCAATCGACAGATTTGTCAATAAATAACATTCGATGGCGCCACAATCGTTCCTAAGCGACGAGACACGGATCATGTTGGAGGTAAAAGGTCTGATATCAAGAATATTTCTCTCCCACTCGACTCTCTCTCTTACCCGGTCATTCCTTTGCCGTTAAAGTACGACGTACGTTCTGAGCAGTACAGAGTAACCTCCATCATCATACATATATTTGCAACGGCTGCACCTTCTTACACTTTCTGCGGCCGAAATATCAGAGGTGCAAAAGGTGCAATGGAATAAAGCGCGAAATAAGACACACCGTGATTTTGGATCAAAACAAAACTTGCAATTTAACAGGGCGAGAAAAACGGAGTCGAGCGTGTCGCGTCGACTATACTGACGAATATTGCAACGTATCTTGGACTGCGTCGATACATCGATATATCTAGAATCATCTATCCAGCTAATATGAAGGGCTATGTTAAACGTGACGAAGAAGGCAAAATACTTATTGATAGCAATGGCTTTATTACAATAACATGTGAAGGTAATCACCAACAATATGTAATATGTCATGATACTATGTCCTACTATTCTGCTGTACTCATTGCTCTTCTAATTAATGTACTGATAAGTTAAGAATAATGCGGTATTAACAATCAAAAGCAAATATATATATATATATTTGTAGATGAAAGTATAGCGTTCCAACTACATCTCTCGGAAATAGATGAAAAGGCAGAACAAATGTGTTTCAATGTCAATGGCAAGGATATATATATTGATATATATCCAGGATGGGAAACAAGTGAAATCGATCCTATCGTTGAAACTGAAAATGATAATGATAATGAAAATGAGAATGACAATTATAAAGCTAATACACCATCTACAAGTAAAAGTGGAAATGCAGTATTTCCTTGGTGCGATGCCTCAACAAAAATCTTCTTAAGAGAATACAAACTTAAGAAAGAACTTGTGAAGAATCGTAAACTAAAGAACATGAAACTGGCATATCAAGAAATATCCAAAAATTTACAAGAAAATGGTTTCAATGTAACTCCTTTGCAAGTAGAAAACAGATTTAAAACACTCAAACGGGCTTATAAGAATATGATAATAAGTAACAGACGAACTGGAAGAGGAAGATATATTTGCAGTTATGAACAGTAAGTTTTTGTTGAAAAAATTCTTACAAGGTAATTTAGTTGATTAATATAATTATTTTTATAGGGATCTAGATGAAATTTTCTCTGCCAGACATCTTGTGCCTGAGATGCATGGATCGGATGTAGAAGCCAATGGAGAAGACAATGCAGAAGGCACAGAGTAAGTTCCTTCCCTTATATTTTCAGAATTATACAAAGATCTTATAAAATGATCACAAATATCTTCTCAAGGATATTCAAAGAAAAATTTAAGAGGCTTTTATTAAAAATTATATACTAATTATTAAATCCTTGTATTATTTCAGCAAACTTGGTATTACTGAGAGTGTCAGATTAGAAGCTCAGTTTAAAAGAATGATTGATAATCTACAGAATTGTCAGCGTGCATTAAAAACTTTAACCTCCAAAATGGAAAACAGAACCAAGAACTCCAATGATATGCAACACAAACTCTTGAATGTATTCATAGAGATGCGAGATATGCATAAAGAAGTTTATGCACGAGTAGAAGAGGATAGATTGCAAGCTAATCAACAGAGAGAAGAAACAAATAGATTACTTGGACAAATTATAAAACTGCTACAAATTAAAAAAGAAGCATAATACAGTCAATGTCAGATAAGCATGCAGAATGTTTTGTTCTTACCTTAAATAGTTATAAGGTTGCAAAACTTATTTATTTTGTTACATATATATTATATATATATATTGATACCTCTATTCTATATCCGACATTGAAATATAAAATTTCAACAGCAATTATCGTATATAATTTTCAAATAAAACTAATTAACATTCATTTGCCCTATATTTTTAAGAAAAATAAAGATATATATGTTGATATAAAAAATAATTAGAAACTTATCCATTATCCCATAATTCAAAGGTGCTAGAAAGAAATGGGAAATTTTTAATTATATTCAAAGAAGTAAAAAAGACTTACAATAATTTGCATATGTGAGCCACTAGGTAATTTTACTTCAATTAAAAATTAATCTATTTTTCTCACACACGCTGTTCTATATATGATTTTAGAATATTGTCATAAGCTCTGTATATATATATATATATATATATAAGCTATATATCATTAATATTCTAATATCTTCAACTTTATACATCACTTTAAACAATTTTAACTTTACACTACTTCTAGATAGGTTATTTCAATTATTTTAAGCTTCCATATTTATACTTATACGCTATATCAAGATGCACAACACATGCTGCTGTACGATTTTCTTCTTTATATAGATGTAAGAAAAATGAATGTAGAATCTTGCAACCTCCCCTCCTATTTAGGTTCTGATTTCTTCGATCGTGTAAAAACGTACGTTGTACCGCATTCGATTGGCGTTTGTTACACGTGCGATATGACGTAAAATATTTTAACGCACACGTGGAAAGCGGGCTTTACGTCCATGAGCGTTTCGCTTCCTGTCGCTCACATGTCTCGCGGTTGTGCGCTAACATATTTTCGTATTTATTATCATATTTATTAATTTATTGATAATAATGATTGTTTCAACGAACCAGGGCAATCCTAATGCGTTAAAGTTAATTATCGCGGCAAAGTTAGCCCAAGAGACTGTCACCATTAAAATCGTGAAGCCTAAAGGTGAGTTTATTAACCTTTTCCTCTTCATCCAGTAGCTCGTATAATCGAGTAAACTTTTGATAGAATCAGGAAAGATACTTTCCACAGTTGTATAAAGACAGATTACGTGTATTTTTCTTTTGAATATTATTATCGGTTAAGTTAAACGATGTATATGTTTTTGATAATTTCCTTACATGAGTATCATGCAATACTAATGTATGTTACATGATATGTAGATGCTTTCCTGGGACGCTTGCCGATGTTAATTACGCCTTCCGGATTGTCCTTATTCAGTGTTTCCTCAGCATTGCGCTTCTTATTACCTATAGCTGCAGAATTGGAAATTCTCAATAATAGGTGGTTGGAATGGGAAATTTCTCAATTACAGGTATAATATTACCGATATCTAATACAGGAAGTACCTAAAACATCTTAAAGCAGATAATATGTTTTTTACAGCCAGCAATATTGAGTCTTGCAAGTGGGAAAATTTCTTCCAAGGACTTACTGTCTTTACTCCAAGATCTCAATAGTGAATTAAAAGATAAACAGTACTTAATTGAAGTAAATGATAATTAATATTTTGACAAATATATTTTCATCATCTTTTTTTTCATCCATCTCTATTCAAATTTTTTATTTTCAGACAAATAATTATTTATCTCCAGCAGATATTTCAATTTGGGTTAGTCTATGGAGTACTCTATTACTTGCAGAATGCAAAGATATTTCTGCACACTTGCCAAATATCATTAACTGGTTAACTAATATGGAACAGCAGCCAGTTATTCAGGTAAAGTGTCATCATACTGTTATTATGATATAAATATATGTTATAAGATTTTTACATAAGTAATATGTATGAAATATATAGGAGTCCATCAAAGAGTTTAATTCGGTGAGAGGTCCAAAGGCAATTGCAAGTATAGAAGCTACTTCTTGGTTCCCTGTCAATACAGTCTTAAACACTCATGCTCACGAGTCAGTATCAAATGATGTAAGTGTATCTTGAATATAAATCTATTATTTTTTATTATTTATTATTTTTGTATTTCTCATTTCATGTATAAACAAATGTTTTATTCCAGATTAGCCCGACCAGGGAAAAGGAAGTGGAAGCTGTTAGTCAAGAAGAACTCCGTAATGTGACAAATAGTTGGTTCACTGGACAATATCTAGAAGTCAAGGAAGGTTCATACCCAATGTAAGTTGAACATCTTAAACATATTTATGTGAGCATAAATAGATCAAATAAAGCTCATCTTACTTTTTCAGATTACCTAAAAAAGGTGAGAGGAATGTATTGATAACATCAGCTCTTCCTTACGTAAATAATGTCCCACATTTGGGAAATATTATCGGATGTGTTCTCTCAGCCGACATCTTTGCAAGGTTCGTATGGATATACATATATATCTCACATTATTTCTAACTTAAACATAAAGTATCGATTTGCTGTTTTGCGCAGATATTGCAGACAAAGGAATTACAACACTCTCTACATATGGTAATCAATCTCACTTCTTTAAAAGCATATAAAAATATATAAAATCCTATAATGAAAATAATTCTGATTTTCAGCGGCACCGACGAATACGGCACTGCGACCGAAGCGAAAGCTTTGCAAGAGAAAACGACTCCCCAAGCTATCTGCGACAAGTTTTTCGACATACACAACGATGTTTATCGCTGGTTTGGTATCGGGTTCGACTATTTCGGTCGCACTACTACACCCGAGCAGACAGAGTAAGAACATTCTCGAGCTATTTTATTCTCATCTTTTGACTTCCATCGTATATCGTCACGATTTCTTTCAGAATTGTCCAATCGTTTTTCCTGAAGATCAAATCGCAAGGTTACATATTGAACGAGACCGTAGAGCAGCTGCATTGCGAGCTCTGTGATCGCTTTCTCGCCGATAGATTCGTGGAAGGCACGTGTCCCGGATGTAAATACGAGGACGCGCGCGGTGATCAGTGTGACGGCTGTGGTCATCTGATGAACGCGGTCGAACTGGTTGAACCACGATGCAAGATATGTAACACTAAGCCCGTCGTTAAGAATTCGGTACAGTTCTTTCTGGATTTACCCAAGGTAATTGTTGCTATCTCCCTTCCATTTTGTTTCTCGATCATTCAAATATTGGCCAATTGATATGCATAACTGTCTCGTGTTACAGATAGAAGATAGATTGAAACAATGGTCCGATACCGTGAGCAAAGGGTGGTCCAGCGTTGCGAAAGTCGTCTCAAAGTCGTGGTTACGCGACGGTCTTAAGCCACGTTGCATAACCAGAGACTTGAAGTGGGGTATACCGGTGCCCGTAAACGGGTTTGAAAATAAAGTGTTTTACGTCTGGTTTGACGCCCCTTTTGGATATATCAGTATTACAAAGAGGTATACGAAAGAATATGAGAAATGGTGGAAACCTCAGGATACGAAAGTCGATTTGTGCCAATTTATGGCGAAGGATAACGTTCCATTCCACGCGATAATGTTCCCCGCTTGCTTGCTAGCGGCTAATCAAAATAATACGTTGATCAAGTATTTAATGGCAACTGGTACGATATCTGCGAAGAGTCTGTTGAACGCATTTATTTTATAACTCTGCATTTCTCTTCTATAACTCTACATACTTTTCTCTTTCTCTGTATTTTATCTAACACTTTGTTCTCTCTTATGTGAGTTTGTCTCATACAGCAGAAATGTTCAAAATGCATCACAGAGATATTCTAAGAATATCACATCTTCAGAATATCCCCGTGATATATTTTGAATATTTCTACTGTGTGGGGTATATTTTGCTTTTATCTTTCTTTATGCTTGGTTTATTATTCGCGTCGTTCTCGAAAGATAACTTTCTTACCACCGGTTTGATGTTTGCCCTGTATTTCAGAATATCTAAACTATGAGGATAAAAAATTCTCTAAGTCTAGGAGTGTTGGGGTATTCGGAACCGATGCCAGAGACACTGGTATCCCAGCAGACGTGTGGCGATTTTATTTAGCCTACATTAGGCCGGAAACTCAAGATTCCAATTTCAATTGGATAGATTTAGCCACGAAAAATAATAGCGAGTTACTGAATAATCTTGGCAATTTCGTCAATAGGTTTGTATCCTTCCCGTTCTTCCTTCTCTGTTAATCATGAATAACTGACACCGCGATAATCTGTTACATCTTATTATGATACCAGAGCTCTAATGTTTTCCGAGAAATTCTTCGACTGCAATGTACCGCCGACGAAACTGGAAGAGGCCGATTGGACCGTGTTAGCGTTGGCACAGCGCGAACTAACGTCTTACATAAACGCTATGGAGCAAGCCAAGTTGAGAGATGGTCTGAAGCACATACTGGCGATCTCGAAGCACGGCAATCAGTACATGCAATTCCAGCAACCGTGGGTGAAAATCAAGGGGACCGACGACGATAAGTAATGATTGTTAATTCCTCTTCGACATTTTCCAGTCAACACCACCTCAAAAGTTTCTTCCTACTTTTCTAACGAGAGATACTTTTGTTTAAAATCGGTAGGAATAGAGCTGGTACCGTTGTCGCGATTTGCTGTAATCTAGCCTGCCTCCTGTCGGCTCTTCTGGCACCTTTTATGCCCGCCACAGCTAAACAACTGCGATCTCAATTGGGTTTGAGTAACAAGAATTATGGTTACATTCCTGAGATGATAACCAACATGTTGCCCACTTGGCACAAAATTGGCAAACCCAGCCCGTTGTTCACGAAAATCAAGGATCAGCAAGTGGAGGCATTGCGGAAGAAGTATGCAGGACAGCAAGAGATCAATGGCCACGCGCCGGCGCACATTGGGGCGAACACCTCTTTTTCCGGTCATTGATGTAAAATTAATAAAACAATTCGGTCATTGTAGTACGACTACTCATTTCCAATGTATTTTTGTCTATTGAACATGAATTTATTGTCCAAATTTGGTTATAACGTGATAATTAAAAAAAAATAGAATAATAATGATTACTGTGTGTGCATACCATATTTTACCTGAGTTTTTTTTTATTGTGAAAGATGTGATAATAAATTTGATTAACAGATTTATGTTGAGCAGCAAAAATAGAAAGAGAAGGGGAGAGAGTATTATCTTACACATATATATATATATATATATTTCTTATATTACACACATATATTATGTACAATGTACTGATTCAAACAGATTCTTCTCCTCATCGCACATTTCTTTCTTCTCGTGTGTAATTCTTTGCATCGAACTGGAAACAATAGCATCTGAAGCGATTAACAAATTTCTGAATGTCTTCATTGTTAGATTTTCAGGATATTCTTCTAGAATAATTTTCCCTGTATTTTCGAAAATACTTATCATTAGCTTCTCGAGCATCTTCCGGCCTATTGATACAATAGCATATTTTATTATTGTACTTCCGTGAATCAATAACGCTGGCATATAATACTAAGGATATAAAGAAACGTAGCTTTCATTGCTGTTCTGTGTGAAGTCATCCAAATAACATGTAAGAAGGTCATCGCTGCTCAACTCTTCGTAGATGAGCTTGATGGCGTTAAAAACTGTTTGTGGAAGAGCTTGCTTGTGTGAATAAGTATTTAAAGTAGAGCTGGCCATGATCTGCACATTTCGGACGAAATTCAGTAGGTGACGCCTACTGTCCCCCTTGCACCGCTCCGCGCTCAACTTACGCCTCTTGTGTGCGTGTGTGTGTAAACGGCAAGAAAATAACTAATGTAAGGGGAAGGAGAAGAAGAATGGTGGTGTCGGTGCCCTATTCGCAATAGTTTATATATAATAATAAATAATAGTAATAATAATAATAGTTTATATCTTTTTATATACTTATGGATACATTCGGATTATTCGTTATCACATCTGCGGGAAAATTGCAGCGCTGGCTGAAAGAACAGTCGTGAACTATTTTTCTGCTCTGCTTTATCATATTTATCGGAAAACCTAACCGCATATATTAAAATTTTTCTGCAAAGTTTTCGTATTGTTTTAGGTCTCCTACCTAAATTTTAAATTATTAGAAATGATTTGTAAATTTTTCCTTATTGGAGCATCCAGAGTTTCGGTACATACAAGCTGCAAAACTTTTGTATTAGATAAATATTACGCTGTCAGTTCGAAATTTTACTTTAAAAATTTTTTATCGCTTTCGTCATATATTGAGTGATGTTCCAATTAATTTTTGTACGTATTTTCGTCGTGTAAAAGTATATTTAATTCTGAAGCATTTAAGACGGATGCAAGCTGGAATGTTTGCGAAACGTCGACACAAAGCTGAATTATAACGCGGTATCCATCCGGAAGAACATACCTTGATTGCATCAATGGCTGCGAAAGTCTAAAAATTAGTATTTAAATCAATGTTTGAAAAAAAATCGGCATCTCTACCATTAACCTCAACCCAGCAGGGTATATCGGCGCCGCCCTCACAACTCAGCAGAGTGTATAGTGCGGTAGTTCGAATCTATACTACACGCTAGGAATGCCGATTTTAAATCAATTTAATCGAAGATCGATTAATCAGAGCCTAAAAGATCGATTTCAAATCGATTTTCTGGAACTGAATCGATTCAAGGATCGATCTGTAAATCTTGAAAATCGCCAACACGATTTTTCAGTTTCTACTAGTAATATAGCTTTTTTTTAATTCTTTTTAGTTATAATATTTGAACTCACTTAATGGCTGTACGATGCACATTACGTTGCCTTTAGGCCGATGTCCCGTGGGCGAAAATTTTCAGCGGAACGGAACGCGCCAATCACAGCCACTCCATATAATAGTATATATTATATACATATGTATATACATATAATAGTAAACGTAATTTCTTATTTAATAACGTTTAAAAACCCTTGATTGATGTTTAATCAAACTAATTAAATCCTTAGCATAAAGATTTAAAGATCTTTTTCTATCTTGTGACCACACACAACACAACCAAAAGAGTACCATCTGTTTAATTTCTTTAATTCATATTAAACTATATGAATTACACGAGGTCTACTTTAGAGTGTAAAAATTTGACAGATAGTATACTTTAATGAGTGATTCACTTTACATGCATACCGATTCAAATCGATTTTCTGAAATCGATTCTTTAAAGATCGATTTTTTTTTCGTGATTCAAATCGATCCTTAAATCGATCTGTTTGAAAAAAAAATCCCTACTACACGCCAAAACTGCACTAAGAAAGCCTAGAGCAGGTCGATAAAGATAGGCGCTACAAATCGCACAGACCAAACACCAGAGATTGCCACAATCGGCGTTGGATCATGCGAAGGCACGCGCTCGCTGTCGCGCTCGGTTATATCACCCGGACAGCCGAATCTTAGCTGCAGAATCGGTGAGCGCGCTGCGCAGCGGTCGCGATCGGCATTAGTAGCTACGCGCGGAGCGTCGGCGGGAGCACCGCGTGCTCACCTGCGAGAAACCGACGGGAACCAGGCCGTCCGCCACGCAGCACCGGCTCGACGATTATAATAATATGCATGTAGTATCACATTCACGTTGATGCTACAAGATATATCAAGTTATTATAGAATAATTCGAGATCTAATTATTCCTGAATTTATGCGGATAAATCTGTTCATAATAGAGAGTAGAAAACATATTACGAAACCACAGATTATGTGAACTAATGTGATTGAATGTCGTTGCTTGCACATTTCCGAACATTAATAATTTTCTCTGTACCTGCCTATCATGCCATCTATCTATCCTGAGACTCATCGTTTCATTGTCAGCACGTTTTTGGGGAGAGTATTTTTCTTTGGGAGAGCCATGGTGACGTTTTTCTTAGACGGTGCTTTACTTTTCATTGGTGGCTTGTCTCTCTTGAGAGCCATAACGCTTGGCGCTTTACTTTTCGGTAGTAATTTGCTTCGCTTAAGAGGTAGAATGCCTGTTTGTTTCGAGTGCATCAAGCGAAACATGAGGTTCTCGATACCGAATACAATCAGCGCGAGTGTCATACCGATGAGTAAGAGGATCAGCATCGGTGCCACCTCGTAGATCGTCACGCTGGAGACAAAGATCTCTTCGCTCGGGCAGTAGGGTTTCCTGGCCTGTCGCCGACGTACCTCTCGTCGCTGAATTCCCGAGGTGGACATTCTGATCAACCTGTCGAGATATATTTATTAATATACGGAAAAAACACCCTCTGATATATATAGATAAACAGAAATAGATGTCTACAGAAATCTGATTGAATAAATTAAATTATAAAATCACCTAATGATGCGTGTATAAATTTAAATAATGACAAGAAGTAATCAAGAGCAGACTGCGCCTAAATGCATCTGACTTGATTCATTTCTAGTTCATACGGTAAAAAAATCGCCGCTTCCGACACCACCAATCGTCACCATCACTTACGCTAGTTTGGAGATCTCGTGGAGGTGGCTATGGAGATTACTCCATATACCCAACTCGGACGGCTGTAACAAGTGGACTTCCGTGAGTTGGCAGATCATCTGCTTGTCAAACTCCACGTCGATGGACGGATAGATATCGTCCGGATCGGCGTGGTAGGCGAAGCCACCCTTCATCATCTTCTGTACGCCCTCCTCGATAGGAATAAACTTTTTCGAATTCGGTAGGCTGTTCCAGTAGTTCTTGAAGTACTGCACATCCGGTCTGGTATTCTAGCAAGATTGATGAGAGTTTCATTAAAACAAGAGAAATACAGCATCCTCGCTTCTGTGTCGGTGGTGCACGCCATTACCCGCAACAGAAAGTTGAAGAAAACGTTCTGCTCGGCTCCGAGCGTCATCTTGTTATGCACCAATGAATATAACGAGTCGTTCATCTTCTGGAGAGGCTCGTTCAACCTAGCCGACACTATCGCCGCCGAATAATAGTTGTATACCAGTAAACCGAACACCGTGATCTGGATCAAAGCGACACGACTGGCTGATTGTTCCGAGAGAGAAGGAAAACCTGACATCGAAATCAAGCAAATACACATTGGCTTAATATTATCGTTAATACGATAAAGGAATCATATACTTTACTGAGACGTACCTTGCTGGCACAAGGCGGCAATGGCGACCAATACCGAGATGCTGTAACTATAATCGCCGGCGCGTTCCAACTTCAATATGAAGGACAATACGAACACGATGATCACCACGAGCGCGAGGATCGTGCACCAGGTGTCCACAGCGAACGGTTTCAATATTACCCAGGGCTTCATCTTCATCGCCGGGATGGTGCGAAACATGAAGCAAGTCCTGAGATGAAAAACCAGAAAAGAAAGAATAAATTGCCCGCGTAATTGAACAAGCTTTCTTCTTTCACTCTGTGTACGTTTACCGTGTTGGCCATTGCTGAACAATCACACGCGCGTATCCGTATCGTTCTATCGTCAAGATCGACGGATAATAGCCCAGGTCGGCCTCTCCCCTCTTAAAAGCTTCCATTAAAGGACCGACGGTGTCATTCTTTTGCCAATGGTCGATTTCGATGAGATCTATGCTATAAAAACACGGCCCCGATAAGCCATCGATATGCAACATAGACAGAGAATGATACTGAGATAATATTAACAAGATATTATCGCAACAATACCTGAAATTAAATATTTCAGAAATGTATGAGACGAGGGTATATCCGAATTTCGGCCAGTTATCCATGATCTCGAGTTTATCTCTCTCCAGGTACTCCAACAGACTCACTGTTTCCGGTCTGTGCAGCACCTACGGATATGATAGACCAGGGGTTCCCAGTCGGGGGTGCGGAAAAATATTCTTGAGAATGCGAGGAAAAGTGATTGTAATTAATAATGATTAAGATGAATTTTGAAATAATCCGGCATTTTTACCATCAAATTAAAAAAAAATATTATTGAAATTATATATTTTTTACGCATCTGTACGTATATATTCATTACGTATCACTATGCGAAGCTTGATACCATGGATAATAATTTTATAATATTAAAATGATAGTTAATTTCTATAAAACAATACCATGTAATAATAAATTATTATAAATTAACTTCTTACGTTAAAACACTAACAACTAATTTTTACCATAAAACATACGAGTAATTTTCTTTTGTAGGGGGTACGAAGGTACATTAATAACCCTGTGACAGACAGTCGCAAACAAGCGAGTCCAATAGACTACCAGAGAGCACCGTTGCTCTACCGACGTCTTTCGGACTTGCATGCTTTCGCGCGTTTCGACGAAGAAGAAGAGCTTACAATCCCGGCCGCCTTGATTCGTATCCCGTGGAAATTTCGTCTTCTGATGATTTTCGACTCGGTCAAGATAATACTCAGACCGTCCTTCTCGTTCCAAGTACCGAGTCTCGTGATGTTCAGCAATCCGCCGCGCAGCTTGAAGTGGTTGTACACGTCGTAGAGAACATAATCAGACTCCCCGTCCGGCACCAATATTACGAAGTCTGTAATGATGCTGAAGCCGCTATCGTTCAAGCTCTGCACACTGTAACTTAAGTTGGTCCCCAGGATCAACCAGTTGTACGAGTGGTCGAAAAGACGATGTTCCAAGCCCTGCGAGGAGATATAATCTTTTTATCTGACTTATGCCAGTTTCTACCGACGTCGTTTAAACCTTAATTTAAATTAAACTTTATTCGGATAAAGATTCAAACTTGGATTAAGATTCAAACGGCATTGGTAGGAACGTGAAAATTGCAAAACGCCACACTGTAATGTAATTTTTTCGATTTATTCGTATTTTTTTTTCCCAGTCAGCAGAAATCTTCCTGATGTGCGAAGGAGACGCTTACTTTATCGTAAATGCCGCTGATATTCTGACCCGGACATCGTATATCCAGGAATACGCCTAAAGTGTAATCAGATTCGAGATACCGGAGAACATCGAGTTGGAATCCAGCTGGTTTGATGGCGGCGGAGACTCCGACGGCGTTCAGCAACTTCATCGTGAGCAGGTCATCTGTGAAAAGGGAATCACGATGTGAAGATCGAACACCAACAAGAGCCGCGACCTGCCACTCACCTTCCACATCTCCGCAGGAGAAGCCCACGACCCTGGTTACATTCTTGTGGACGAAGTAGTCTCGGATGATGAAACTGCTCTGAGCCCACACGGCGACAATGAACGTGTGAAGCGAACAGACCAAGCCCGACAAAGACCGCATTCCTTGTTTAGTTGTGCATGAACTATGAGAAGCTATGACAACGGTGCAACGTGCTGTGCTGGAGACTAAGCCTGCGTGATTTCGCTTTCGTTCGGAACGAAACGACAGGACAATCTCGGAGAAGATGGCAGAAGCAATTTCAGAAACATCACGAGGTTCGGCTTCGTCCATAACTCGACGTGACAGCATAATCACGGCGGCTACTACGATTCGTAAGCATACAAGGTGTCCTGACACTCTCTTCTTAGTATGCCGTCAGATTCTTCGTCCAAATAATCTCTCGTTAACGAGACATTGTTCGAGACATTTTTTCAGTCGGTGACTCCGAGTTTCACCTGATGCATTGTTACGTCTATGCGATTTACGTTACAGTCAGCGGCTGAAAAATCTCACGGTAGCTCGGGGACACCCTGTATACCGATACGACGTTCAGCTCTGTTGCTACTTTATCCCTCTTCCTTATCAATTACCCCGAAGTCGAATCCATTACGATCGATTTGCCTTCTTGTCCGGCTGTTACCCCTGAGAAAGTATTTATAAGAAAGTTCGCCGGCGAGCCAGCTGTCATGCAAAGCGATCCTCGCTTTTATTCGAACGATTACAGTGACTGAGGAAAATTACAGCTATTATACGCGCTTGTCCAACGTGCGACAACGAGATATTAACGAATTCATGATTTGTAACACACGACGGACGCGTGGAGGTTTCACTTCCTCGAGGTATCTCATTTGGACGTCCTGTGCTCGCTCGTACTAGCCACCTTCTCCACATCGTCGCTGCTCGCTTGCCCTCGCCTCTTCCTCCTGCGAACAAAATCGAAAGTTTCGGCCGAACTACTCGCTCAAATACGCGAAAGCTTATTATACCTCATGGATCGATTGTAGACAATGTTCTCGATGACGCACATTACACACGCGACGAACATACCAGAGACTAGCAGAATCAAAGCCGGGGCGGTCTCGTATATGCTTATGCTTCTCGTGGACAATGTGTCGAGCTGGCACTGAGGTTTCCTACTCGACCAAAATTTTATCTGACGGTCGCGCAATCCAGTATTAAACATCTTAGACAATCTGGAAGGAGAAATTTGTCAGGGCTCTTATGACAGACAAGAATCAAGCCGAAAAAAAGAGAGAAGGAAGAGAGAAGGAAGAGAGACAGAGAGAGAGAGGGGGAGAGAGAGAGAGAGAGAGAGAGAGAGAGAGAGAGAGAGAGAGAGAGAGAGAGAGAGAGAGAGAGAGAGAGAGAGAGAGAGAGAAAGAAACAAAGAGAGAAAAAAGAAGAGCTCACTTACCCGATCTTTGCTATCTCGGTGAACTGACCGTTGCGACTGGCGTACATACCCATGACGGACTGCTTGAACAGATGGATCTCCGTCAGTGCGCAAATCTTGTTCGCGTCGAACATCTTCTCGATGTATGGATACGCTGTATTGGGGTCCGTGTGATACGCCAAAGTGCCTTCGCTCACCTGCTTCATTCCCTCCTCTAACGGCAAATACCTTTTCGACTCTGGCAGAGGGTCCCAGCGTTTCTTCCTGAAGTAATTCGACTCCCAGTTGAGTTTCTGTAAATTCGACGCGGATATAAGGTACGGTATAACAACCTGACACGTTGTCGTCGTTGCTTCTCATGCATAATCTTGATACGTCCAAGAATATACATACGTATAAGAAGTAGTTCAGGTATGGCACAGCCTCCGCAGCGATCTTCAGGTCGCTGTCCGCGAGCACCGTCACGGAGTCTTCCATCATGTCGAGCGGTTCGCTCAGACGAGCCGATACTATGCTGCCCGAATAGTAGTTGAACATGATCCAGTTGAACACGAGGATCTGCAGGAGAGCGATGCGGCTCGCAGTGCGCACGGGAGAGAAGTCCGCACCTGCGATTCGGACGAGCGACGGCCGTCAGACTGTCGAAGCGATCACGATTCGCGTGTGCGTGATTCACTCAAGCTGTATTTCGCTGTCGTGTATCTCACCCTGCTGAGCGACTACGCCGATGGTAAGAACCATTGCGCCGGAATACTTCTCGCTCCTGCTCGCTTCCTCGCGTCTCATTATTATCCTCATTATGAAGATGCAGAATACGATGAACACGCTGTTCACATACCAGACCTCTCGCGAGAAAGGTTTCAAGAAGATTTCGAGCTTGATCTTGTTTCCCGTGGTGGACAACAGCATGAAACAGGGTCTGCACGACAAAAGAGGGGAAAAAAGAAATTATTCATTGAACGATTGGTCTCTCTCTCTCTCTCTCTCTCTCTCTCTCTCTCTCTCTCGACGGTTATTCGCTGATACCGAATTGGCCATGCCGCACCGATGAGAGTGGCATAATCTAATCTCTCGGATACCATAATCCTGGGGTTACTGCCGAAGTCGATGTAATTCGCATTCAAGATCTCGAATATCAAGCCGTGCACGCTGTGACGATCCCAGTAAATGATCTCCGAGGCATGTACACTTGAAATAAAAATTTTACGAGACTTTATTGTTTGTCTCACACATTCGGTTGAGCACCCGTAAAGATACAATTATATGTGTGAATTTTGTCTCTGTATGAACATATATATAATTTATGTTATTATAACATAATTATATATATAATATATATTATAATTATATACATAATAAACATAAACATAATTATATACATAATATATATTATAATTATGAATGATTATATATAATTATATACAATTAGGGTTGGGTAATAACTAAATTTATCAGTTAAAAGTTAAATTGAAAGGATAAAAAATTAATGACTTTTAATTCAACTAGATTAATTATATAGGTCCTTAACTTCAAACTTAACTTGGTTTTAGAAAAATATATCAACTTACCCAACTTTCTGTATATAATTATACAGGGTGTTCGGGATCTTTTGGAAACGAGAAATTATGAAGATTAATCAGATCAAACTGAGAAGAAAAGTTAAGTACCATTTTGTAAAAATCGTAATAGTTATTAAGTTATTAATGATTGACACACACATCTAGAAGCTTTTTTAATTAATAACGAAGATCTGCGCACTTAGTTGCAAAAATGGTTAAGGACTTTTTTGTTCAGAATAACTTAATCTACAATTATATAACGGCTATTGTGCCTAGCGACAGGTTCAAGATTCAGGGTTCAAAGTTCAATATATTTATATTTATCGCTAGACACAATAGCCGTCATATAATTGTAGATTAGGTCATTCTGAACAATAAAGTCATTTACCATATTGCAAATAAGTATGCAAATTTTCAAGTTATCGATTAAAAGAGCCTCTAGATATGGTCATTTTCAATCATTATTAACTTAATAACTATTGCAATTCTTTTCTTTTTAGTTTAATCTAATTAATCTTTACAATTTTTCGTTTCCAAAAGATACTCCAGATATTCTGTATATAACACTTTTTGCTCAGGCATATAAATTTGTCGAAAAGAAAATTAAAAGCACCTGAAGTTGAAGAGGTCAGCGGTGTGAGATATCATCGCGTACACAAACTTGTGCATGCTGTCTAAAGATCTAGTGTTGATGTCGTACATGTAATCCTCCAGTCGCATATTCTTCGGTCTATATTGTATCTATGGCGGTTAACACATGTCAGTAATACGAAAAAGTTAAAGATATTTTACTTTTCTTTATAGTCATACAGACGGCGATATATACCACACCGGATATCTTCAGCATCATGCCATGCATATTGGCCCTCCTCTGGACCAAAGGTTGAGTCAGAGTGATGATGAGGCCGATTCCGAGCCGCCAGAAACCCAGCCTCGTCACGTTTAGAATACCTCCTCGATACTTGCAGTGATTGAAGACATCGTAGAGATCATAATTGCTGCCGTTCGTGATCGCGAGCGCGAGATCGGTGGTCATGCTGTATGCGCTGTCGTTCAGAAGCGACACGCTCTTGTTCAGCTTCGATCCCAGGACCAGCCAGTTATATGAGTAATCGTACATGCGATACCTCGAGCTCTGACGAAAGCGAAATGTATTAGTCTTCAGATTTCTTTTGGTTCAGTTTTCTCCGCATAAACGCGATAGAATCAAACGGCTTGTCGACCGTGCAAGTTTCCTCACCTCGGAGAAAATAGCCACGGTGCTGTTGTTCTCGTAGCATCGTAGATCCACGATGACGCCCAAGGTCCAAGTCTCCGTGTTGAGGAAGCGCCGTATGTTGAGTCTCGCGTCGGGATTCCGGACGATCGTGAATATGCCGGCGCGGCTTAATTTCTTCATGAGATGAAAATCGCCTGCGATGAGGGGAAACAAGGAAAGATAGAGAAAAGTTACGAAAGACATGTGCAGAACTCGAAGGAAAAAAAGTAGTGGAAGACATGTGTGCGTGTGAATCTTCTAATCTAGAAAGCGGACGCTGGACGACGGAAAGTCCCCCGACGTCTCGGCCACCGGCTCGGACGTACTTGTGGAGTTTCCACAGGAGAATCCGACGACACTCCGCACCGCCTTGTGCACGAAGTAGTCGCGGATGAAGTCGCTGTCATCCGCGTCGGCGTTAGAAGCGAATCGTAGTAGCGCGAAAAGCGCCACTGCGTACGTCCTGGCGTGTTTCACTCTCAGATTATGCATATCGACTAGCGGCGAAGAATTAAACGATAAACAACGATATTTCGCGCAGCGTCGAGACGCTGCAGCGAAGCACGAGTGGATACGAGTGAACGGAACAGGTAACGGAGACGGAGTACGGCTGGCGATTAATAATGCAGTGGCCGGAGTAATATTAATTCAACGTGACATCGGATCGTCGTGGTGTCTCATCGTTTATTCACGTTACTGAATAAATGAATAATTTCATGCTACTGCGACACTGAGTCCTGCCAAGAAATGGGAACTAGGTAACATGTCACTGTCGGATACATTGTTACGCCGCAATTAATTATTTGCGCGCGTGATTTCCGACGAGCGAACAACAAATTGGCGATAATGCTTTATCGGGGCGTGCTGTATCCGCGAAAAATTCGGCTTGTATAACAACAATTTATCGTTGGGGCGGAGAGGTACTTCACCCCGCGCGACGGATATACGGCCGATCAGTCTCGAAAGGTGCTGATTTTTCGGCGTTGACGAGTCACTCCTCGCTGGCGGGTGTTGATAATCTGCGAAAAACGGCGAGAATTATCGCTCTGTGCCCCCGCGCTCCTTCTCGCGCTTTAATCGCGTGTTACCGCATAGGTCGCATCCAGTAAACGAAGTTCTCCGTGATGCAGATTACGATGGCGAACGCGGCGGAGGTGCTGAGAAACGCAAAAACGGGCGCGGCTTCGTGAATCGACAGCGGCTCGGCGATTAGCATGTTCTTCGGGCAGAAGGGCTTCCTCGGCACCCAGCGCTTTAATTGACGCTTCCGTATGCCGATCTCGTAAATCTTGATGAGACTGCGACAATCGCCATGTTATTTCAACAGCCGTTGACCTTAACCCTCAGTATACCGTCTTTCTCATGATATTGACTTAATTAAATGTTTACTCTGTTCGAAGAAAGTAAATGTTCTTCTTGTTCTTTGGAACATTTTGAAGAAAATATCGGAAAAAGCTCTGAAATATCTCTGATAAAAATCTAATGAGACATAAATCTTACGAGCAGTTGCAACCGTTCAAAACTTGATTTTGGGTTCAATGATATATCATGGATTGATCGTGGCAAAAATTTCGCCTACCCCACTTTAAACAGCGGTGTGAATGGGCTCCTGTGGCTGCTCCAGAGAGCCAACATCGCGCGAAAAAGATGGACCTCCGTCAGCTCGCATATCATCCGCGGCTCAAAATTCCGCTCGATGTACGGGTACGCAGAATCGATGTTTGTGTGAAAGGCGATGCCGCCTTTGGCCACGTTACTCAGACCCTCCGTTAGAGACATGTATCGCTTGGATTCCGGTACTCTGTCCCATCGTTTCTCCATGAAATACTGCACCTCCTTCTCCGACGACTTGTACGTGATGACGATGAGAAATTGATAATTAATAATGAATCTTCGTCTCAAAAATATCATTAGTAGTAGTAAACACGATGGAGCGCGGAGAGATATGGATTACCTGCAGAAAAGTACGAAGATAAGGGACAGGCTCAGCCGCTATTCTCAGATTACTGTTTGCCAGATTGATCAACGAGTCGTTCATCTTCTGCGCTCTGTTCCTCATTCGATCCGACACGACGCTCGCGGAATAGTAGTTTAGAATCAGCAGGCTAAACAGCATAATCTGCAGGAACGCTATACGACCGGCGTAATGATAAGGAACCACTACGGCACCTGCGCGGAAAGGTTCAATCCATCTATCAAGAATCCTTAATTCATCGTTATGTGAACAGCCGATGAGTATTTAATCGGAGAGATTGATGCACACCTTGCTGAGACAGAGCGCCTATAATGAGGAGGATGGAGATGTCATAGCCTTCCTTCACGTTGTAAATGCCTTCTCGCCTCAACAATATCGCCAGGATCAACGCGCTGACCACTACTGTGCAGAGTATCAGGTACCATACTTTGATATTCAACGGCCGCAGGAATTGCTTCGTCTTCAAGTTTGCCGAGGATATCGTGCGAAATAGAAAGCATGTTCTGCAACGTGGAATATGACGAGTCGTGAAGCGGATTTAACGCGTTATAGCAGGTCGCAGAATCATTCACCTCATCGGCCACACTGGTCCAATGATGTCTCCCATCCTTAATTTTTCCTTCTTCATCACGATCGGGCTGGCAGAGATGTCTATCGTTTTTTTTTGAAAGGCGGCGAATATCGGCGCTGTATTGTCTTGCCGCTTCTTTGAATTCACTTCCACGATGTCTATTCTGAAAAAGAAAAGATATGTAGAAAACGGCCGGAGAGAATTTCATTGGAAGCCCCCATAAGCCCTAATAAGCAGCAAGCAGTGGTTTACATTACATCGATGGTTACAGTTTCTCACTCAGCAATGCAAGCGCAACATGTTGCATAAAATACTTAGATTGTTGAGTAGAAAATTGTAACATCGACATAATGTTACCATTCGTTGCTGTTTATTGGGAACAGACCCTTACGTGAAGTTAAAGAGATCGGCCATGTACGACAAGAGCGTGAAGAGAAACTGAGACCGGCCGTACTTCACCTTCAAGTTGTGATCCAATATGATATCTTCCACCGACAAATTGTGGGCTTTGTATGACACCTGCTGAATATGCCCGCCCGATATGAATCACATTATTCAAACCTCAGCGATCTACGTGAAATTTGCTGAGCAATCGATTGCTTACCAGGATTCCGACTTTGAGCCTCATACCGTGCAGATTGGAACGCCTCACGAACTTGGACTGCTTCAGCTTGATCACTACGCCGGATTTCTCGGTCCAATAACCCAAAACGGTCACGTTCAAGGAGCCACCGCGTTCTTTGCAGGGGTTGTAAACTTCGTACAGGTCGTAACCGGTGAGGGACGGTATAGCGATCGTGACGTCGGTCATCACGCTGAAGGTGTCGTCGTTCAGCAAATTCACGGTGTCTTTCAAGTTGTTTCCCATTATCAGCCACTTGTGTGTCTCGTCGTAAAACAGGTACTTCGTCGCCTTAAATCGAAGCAGTGCATCACGAGAATTCAATATACACTTTTGTAGACTGAACACACTCCTAACTCCGTTTCCTCCCTTCTGATTTTTCCTCGCTTTATCTATCTGCTTTCTCAAGACACGTCGCGTGTACCGCTCCCTCGTTCTTAATTAAGATCCTGAGAGTGATCTGCCTTACCTCGGAGTAGACTATCGTGTAATTATAACCGTTGCATCGTGTGTCCACGTAAACGCCTAAATTGTGGTAGTTGCCGTACAAAAGCCTCCTCAAGGCGCGCGACGACAGTTTATTCACGGAGTCGAGATTCCACATTGACGAGAGCGTGTAGATCTTGTTGAACGTCCTTGCGAATTTCGCGGTGTCTACATCAAGAGAAACGGCCCAGCCTTTGTAGCAACAAAAGATACACGTGTCGTTCGTCGGTCAGATACTTTTTTACATACGCTCGATAGAGCCGCAAGTGAAGCCCACGACGCTGGATACGCCTTTATTCGTGAAGTAGTCCCGCACCATAATGTTGTCGCTGACGCAACAGACATATAGCAAACGTGACAGCAACAACAACACCCAACCGCTGCGACACATTTTTCAGATTGCAGGGACGTGAAGATCGTCGAACACGCTGATACGAGGAGTTTAAAGAAGCACAAAGGCAGGGAAAAGCCTTTGAGCTGCGTTCGCCAGCATATTGTCGAATATTTAACGCTCGAATCTCCTCATAAATGTTTCATTCCGAGCATTCTCGCGGTATGAAACTATAATCCCCCCGTCTATCCGTCTACCCACGTCTTCATAGCATATTAATGCGTGGTCTCTTCTATAATTCATAGTTATTGCGCTTTTTACCTCCCCTCGCTCTTCAGCATCACTGTTTCTCAGGTTTATCTCGCTGATGGGAAATTGGGAGTGGCGGTAGTGCGCTCAGGGATTTTCTTTCTCGCTGGAAAAGTCAAGGAATGTGTGACAAGATGGAAGAAAAAGTGAGCGTTATGCGCGTTAGAAAAAAAATATCGATCTGAGATTGCAGGCTTAGTTAATGTAATTTGTACTTTTTCTAAGTATATAGCATTATACGTGTAAGGATACATTCTGATGCGGCACATGCGTGCCTTCGATATGTCCTCGGAGAAACGAGTTTCATAAATAAAGTAATTTACGAATGACTAGTACGGATTTTTTGTTACGCGATCGTCGCTAGTAATTGTTGTGTAGCTCGCAAGTTCTCTTAAGTCGACATCCATCGAGATCGAATATCCAGGTCGCGCATCACTTCAACGCGAACGGCGGTGCGTCGTTGGTCGTCAGGTAGAACTTGCCGCGTAACCTGAACGAGACAGATACAATTTGCAGTCGGACGCTCACAGAGCGACGGTGTACAGTGAGAAATACGAAGTGGTCTTACGATGTAGAGGCGTACTCGCCCATCAAAACGATAGGATTGTAATTGCAGTGTCCTTTTTTGTACTTCTCCCAGCTGTCGCACATCCTCGCCTTGAAGCCCACCGTGCTGCCGATGCTCTCAGTCATGAGCTGATGCGCCCGTGAGTGGCTGCAATAAGCTGTAACACAAAGTAGAAGCGCCCAGTCAAAACCATAACGTTGATTCGACGTTAATTTGACGTTGGAATGGTCGATGAAACGTTGAATCAACGTTAATTCAACCCTCATCGACGTCGAATCAACGTTGTGATTCTGATTGGGCGACGTTGACATAAACAATGTGCACCGCATCTCCTTGCGATACCTGACGACACGTACTTATCGTCGGCATGTAGGAACACCCGGGTTGAGGGAACTTTCCGTTGTTGGGGTAAAAATCCGCGTGGCCCAACGGCGCTAAGAAGCCGAATGCCGGCCCGCTCGTGTGGATCACATCTACGAATTGAGCGTCGGTCGGGTCCAGTCGGTATTCCGGATCGACGATGCCGGAGATCGTTTCGAATAAAGGACTTGCCGGATCCAGACCTTGAGGAATATTGCTGATATTAACGGCCACTCTTTGACAGAAGCGTTCTCTTTGGATGGGACGCGATCGCGACCTGTACCTGTTATTCTACCGATGCGGCCGTCGAGATACGCCCCGGCGAAGCCGGCCACGTAGGAGCCCAGACTATGACCGCTGATGTGGACGTCCTTGTACTCCAGGTTCGATTCTCGGTTTAAGAACTCCAAGAAGTGGGCCAAGAACTCACCGACGACGCGCGTGTTCTTGGCCGCCGCCGGGTACACGTCGGCCGCCAGGATGCCCCAACTGACGACTATCACGTTCACATCCTCGTAGAGCAGATACGCTGAAAACGCATTTAGACGTTATCCCTGTTCCACCCCCGTTGGATTATTCGCTAGTTTGCGCTGAGAAACGAGCCGCGGCGCTGGAGGACGAAAGAGTCGTCGCTTTCGCGCATATCGCGAAAGCGACATAAAAAGTAGCGGGACTCTCTTCCGAAGTTTATTTCTGACTGCGCGAGCGAGAGCAAAAACTCGCCGACGATTAATTAAGCCGCTATCGCGACGACCCTTGAACCGACAAGCGACATCGATTCCGTGTTTACCGAAATGCTAAGGCCGAGCCTGATTGTCCTTACGTTTTTCTCGCGCCTCGCTTGCCAAGCGCTGCACAAGTACGCGCAACCGAGCCGCATGTAATATGTCTAATACCACCCACCGTCTATCAGGCCCCGCACCCAAGCCTCTTTTCCGGTATCGCTGAATCCGTGCACGATAAACTTGGTCGGCCTGCTCTCGTTGAAGTGCGACGCGTACAACACCTCGGTATCATTCAGAAACAACTGTTCCTCGCCGAATGGGTTCTCCCTGCGCAAAGTGATTCAGATAACTATCAATTTGGACTGAGTATGCACACGGCAGAGGTGAAACAAAGTTGGAAGCAAACTTAGCCTTGGGAGAATCCAACAAAAATTGTGATCAACTTTTGACTAAATATTAGAAATTATATAATAAATAAATATATATATATATATAATAAAAAATATATAATAAAATAAATATATATATATATAACTATAATAAAAATAATATAATAAATATTACTGACTCTGGAGATATTTAAATAAACAAATTAATTTACAAGACTACAAAAGGGATGAATCATTTAGCATAGCTTCCAGCTAAGGAAAAGGAAAAAGATCAAAATCGCCACAACGCAAATATCCAGAAACTACTATTGAGAGAAGGAAGAAGGACATTACAATAGAATCGGATTTGCGTCAAGAAGTCGGCGCAATCGCCTATTGCGGATTAGAGCGAGCGAAAAAAAAGTTGCCAATCCGTCCGTGTCAAATGTCATGACATTTTCTATCGCGGACGCGTGTTGTGAAATTTTTTCGCTTCCCTCGGGAAGAAAGAATTAAGACGTCAACGTCCAAAAGGCGTCCCCTCCACGGCCGGCTCCGTCCGTCCGTCAGAAAGAGAAGAAAAGAGACGTATAAGGAGGGGGCTGGGGGGGCCGGTCAATCCGGGGGCGCGATATTCACGCGTCAACGCGACGCGACAAGGCGCGCGGCACGGCGCCTCGATGCTCGATAAAATCGATCGAAGAACGTCAGCGCTGAGAATAGAATGTGCTGGCTGATTGCACGTATCATTAAAAAACTGATGCATCCTCCGCTGCGGGGCAAACCGTGATAACGGTCACGATGCTTGGGAATTAGCGCCGACGTGCGTGACTGATTCCCGATCGGCGCTAAGATACTCAACTAATTGCGATTGTAATGCAATCGACCAACTAATACGGTAAATGCTAACACCGACACGCAAAATTCGCACATTGACCGACACCGGTTTGGATTCGATTTGCGAGGCCGTCTCGGTCAATCGACGCAGAGAACGATTCTTTGCTATCCTCGTCCGCCGCGCCTCCAAATTCACTTCTTCCTACGATCCTGAGCATCCTGTCGTGTCTCGAAAGTATTGCATCTCTGCTTTATATATTCTACCTAACGTACCTCGCTTCTCATCACCTCTCCGAATATTGAAGAAATCGTCAACGCACCTGGTGTACAATTTGAACGTCGCTGGCTCGCGTTGCAGCATAGACTCGATGATCAACGTCTGCGCTTCGTCGTTCAGCAGCGTACTTTCCGAATACGCACACGCTGGAATCCCAAGCGTACAATCAGTAAGGATCGACCGACTCGCTCAATCGAGTGCATATGTGGGAAAGACGAAAAAATGAAAGAAAAAAAAAAAGAAAAAAATGTACAAATTGCGTTTAATCGCTCGATCAAATGATCTAAGAATCTACAGCTGGTGATTACCTGACCAGGCGAGGAGGATGGCCGGGAATACGAGAAGATCGATGAGTGACATGTCTCCTGAGGATGCTTTGCGACACCAGTCGCCTCTGCGAGATGCACCGGATTACTACTTTAACTTAACTCGTCGGCTTAACGTCGGCCAGTCCGTCATTCATCTCGCGCGCTTTCTTTTTGCTCCTCGAACTTCTCTCTTTCTCTCTCTCTCTCTCTCTCTCTCTCTCTCTCTCTCTCTCTCTCTCTCTTGATTGCTCTCTCGAGCTACGATAAGAGCGCCTAATGATCGTTGCTATATTTCGTTAACATGTTCGTTACCATTGTGGAACTTAAACATCCGTCACGCGATTATTCTTGTCATAAGATAAAAACAAGTATCGTAAAATCTCATAGATCTTCCTCAGGTAATTGGAAGTACTGAAAGACACATCTTAATTCTATTCTTTCAGACGTCTTTTAGATATTTTTTAAGTATCCTTAAGATGTCTTTAAGATATCTCTTAAAAGTGCCTTTCATACTTTTGATTGAATATAAAAATCCAGAATAATCCCTTCCTTCTCGTTTCTTTCCCCTTTTCTTACCTAATCAGACCCTCTTCACTAATTAACTATCCAGTCAGAACCACAATATTGATTCGACGTCGATGAGGGTTGAATTAACGTCGATTCAACGGTTTATCGACCACTTCAACGTCAAATCAACGTCGAATCAATGTTACGGTTCTGATTGGTTATCCGATACGTATACTTAATTGTCCTTAAAAACGTCTATATAAAGGGAATCTCTCCACAGGATCAGAATTTCTGGTCGTTCTTTTTCTTGAAGAAATGAACTGGAATGTTCACGAAACGTCGGAAACAAAATCGTGACGAACCGACGACAACCCGGAAGCCAAATCAAGCACATCTTTTACGAGTTTTTGCTGAGTCCTCAATAAACGCTGCACTTTTTTTGCATTTAGAGGTTTGGTTGACTTTGCGAGAGAACCGAGTCTCTCCCCGAATATCCCTGAAAGAAATAGTTCTTGATTCAAACATTAAAACTAGGAAAAAAACACGTACCGCTGTATTTTCCTCGCAAAGGGCAAGCCGGGATATGATATGTTTTCCGACGTTTAAAGCCAGTCAGTTGATGCCAATACTTTTCCTCCTTCAAGTTCTCTCACGGAAATTTATGAGGAACCATTGAAGAACATTGGAATAGTGTGCTCTATATGAAGTTAAGAGGACTTACTTTGCGAAGTGCGCTGTCGACAGAGGAAGGTTCCTTCTTTATCTCGAGGGGAATCGATAACTAACTTTATGTCATTCCAAGCAAGTGCATCGTTTGTTGCTGCAGTTATCGACCGGATGGAGCTGGATCAGCTGGAGTCGTAGAAGAGGCTGGGATGACCTGACGATCGGTGTCGAGTTGTTAAACATTAGTCTTGCGTAGTCGATTTCGAGTTTATTTGCTGCACGTCCTAGGAGATGCTCTGTTTTGCACCGTTAGTATCGAAGTAATGTTATGTGTTCAGTTTCCCCGCAATCGAACATACATGTCCGTTATTGCAAAATTAAAAGTAACATCAAGGTTAGGATGATACCTGGAGATTTACTTTTGTAGCTGCTCTAGCATTTCTCTATAACCTTCCTTTCTCTATTTTTCTTCCCAATAACCTTGACATTCATTTTGTACCTTTATATAAGAAAAACAGACTTTTGCATTAGTGTTGGAGTGTTGGTGTAAGTTCCTGTTGATTACAGTTAATCAGATTTATCGATGCACCATGTCGCCTGAACCCACGCAAGAACCCATTCAGGAGAGTCTAACGGCTTCCAATGTACCCCTGGATGCAAGAGTAGCCAATGACTCTGATAGTGAGGACGAGGATATGGGAATGACAGGATACATTCCACTGTCTCAAGTGTCTACTGATGCTGATCCTATATTAGATGAGGACGAGGTAAGGTGAAAAATGAAATAATATTTACTTTTACATAGTGTAAGTTACATCGAAGAAAACCAGAAGCAAACTATAACTGCAGCTGAATGTTTTTTTCATTTCTCTTTTACTCTCAGAACGATGAGTGGCTGTCTGAAATTGGTGAATCAAATCAAACAGCACCAACCACCCCAACAGTTGAGGCTCATCAGGTAAGCATTATTCAAATGTAATATTTTAATTGTGATCGTTTAAGCATAATGTCAATGTACCATAATAATAATAATAATAATAATAGTTGAACCACGATTATATGATTGTATTATCTGCTGCACGTTTCAGAGCTGCGCCTCGGAGGTGCTAGAAGTCTGGTCGTGTCCGTACAATCGCTCCAACATCGATTTGGACGCGGCCAAAATCAAGCAGGTGAAGTCCGTGATGGCGTCTATCACGCTTCCCGAGACTTCCATCCCGCAGTGGGCGAGCACGATCTCTGAAGATCAGTGGAAGGAACAGCTGCTCGTCCGTATTAAAGAGATGCAGAGCAAAGATCCGTAGAGCTTAAGTCGCGACGTAGTCGCCGGTCGCAGCCGAGGTTTGATATTTTAGCAGCTGCGCGTAGCGTATTCCGCGTTATTGGAGATAATTTACTACGACGTCGAATAAAAAGAAAGAAGAGGAACATGCGAGAACGTTGTGACCGAGAGGTCGCGCATCGCCAAGTGTACACATACGTGCATATACATTTTGTCTAACACGTTCGACACATGAAACGATGGCGCTTGATTTTTATATTAGGCTAAGGGGCTTTCGAATAGAATTTTAGCATTACCTCGTTAGCATGGTACGCGCGCGACTGCAACGATCGAGGGCAAATAGCGGGAGGGAAATCTAAAGGAAAGACTGGCCGAACTAGGTAACTCGTAAATATTATTATTGCGAAGCGTATTATTATTGTTTTTGTTTCCCTTTTTATACGATATGTTCGAAGGCGGATTATAAGAGGTATATGATATATTAGTTTAATTAATAAACGTCGCTCGATGTTACGCCGAAGTGACTGAGACAAACGCGATGTACCTTATCTCTCTCGGTCTCTACTCGAGAGCGAAACCTGATTTACTTCCAATCCGCATTTGCATCCCCCAATTGCGCCCTGATCCCCACGTTCTCACGTTTCTCACGGGCGCTCTGCGGAGCCCTCCGTCGTGAATTCGTCAATCGCGCGACCCGCATCCTCGCATACGCGACCGTAAGTAAGGCGTATGCGAGTCTATAGTTCGAACTCGGCGTTGATGGCAGCAGCTTTGGATGGATTGAGTTTCTTCCGCAGTGCGGCTACGTCGTCGTCTATCTTGATCAACTTCCGGTATTTCTGGGGAGACATACCGAGGGTCAGTCGTCAAGCCCTGCACTTTGATCTTAAGTGCACATCTTACATACCTCTGAGGTAGTTCCCGGTGTAACGTACCAGATGTAAATCATGTAGCCTGGAATGCACATCATCGAGGAGAGACCCGCGATCCAACCCAATAAGTGACTCCACCACGGAAATTCATAAGAGAGGTATTTCACGGGGACGAACTTGATGATGTTGAAGATAAAGACGCCCTGCGAAGAACGCGAGCAGACGTTCACGAAAAGAGAGAAAAAGGAACATCGTCCACGCGAAATCATTAACGAGAACCAGTCATCGGCGACCTTACCACGCAGATGGCGGGTGTGGTGATCGTCCAACAGATCTTCCACCAGAAGCATGGGTAGTAGCCTATCATGTCTCGTATGCCGTCGTAAAACCGGTTCACACCGAACGCCCACGACACGGAAATGCACTCGAAGAACATCAAGAAGAGCAGGCAGAACCCGCTGACGGCGTATGTATCCAACAATTGAAACACGTACATCCCGCCCTGGAAATTTATTCGTTAGTTCGGATTACTCGTCTTGATCAAGCGTGAACCTCCACGTGCGCACTTACCTCCGTGACACACAGCAGCCCGATCAGGTAAGAGATGAAGCATACAATTGCGATGAAAAGTTCCTTCCGCTTGCGGAGCAGTCGCGGCCACTCGTCCACGGCAGCAGTGACGAAGCCTTCCATCGTGCAGAACTGAAACGCGCGACTTGCTGTTAAATTAATCTAATCCGCCGGTGTAATTTCAGGACGATAGACGTTGGCGGTGCGTTTACCTGACTGTCCAAGCCTATGAGAAGAAGCATGAAGAAGAAGAGACAGGACCAAATCGAAGCTCCGGGCAACTGCAACACCGCTGAGGGATAAACTAAGAAGGCCAGGCCGGGTCCTAGTTGGTGCGACAATCGACGCGATAATTAGGTATCTTAGTGTCATCCACGCTATGAATCCAGCAGGAATGATCATGCTAACGATAAAACGCGTGCAAATTACCAGAAGCAGCTACGTCGGCTACCGGCTTCTGTTGCTCGTGTGCCATGAAACCGACCACGGAGAAGATGACGACGCCGCTCAGTAGGCTGGTGCAAGTGTTGACTCCGCATACGATGAGAGCGTCTCTGGAAGGCGACATTCGCGCGTGAGGATATCGTGATTGCGCACGAAGAGAAAAGCAGGAAAATATACGGATGTGAGGTGTGAGATGATACTCACTTGTAAACGTTATTGTTGAACTTATTGTAACTGCCTAGTGCTACCAGCGCGCCTAGACCGAGAGCGTAAGTAAAGAATATCTGCGTCACCGCGTCTATCCACACCTGCATGCACAATATGATGATGTTACGTTTTAGTTCCCTCGAACTGCACAACTGCGAGAAACTAATAATCAATCAAGCGTGGAAGGATCCAACCTGACAGCCTGAATCTGAATAGCGTCAAGTTTCAAGGGCCTTGTTCCGGATGTATGGTGAACGTCAAGTATGTTCAAGTTCTCTTAATTACAAGTTCCATGTCTCTCGGATGAGCGTCATGCCACATAACGTTGTTCCAGCTTGGAAATTTAGCGTCCAAAATAGATTCTGGGATTTATTCTGGACGCACATCGAACGCTAAATACACCGGATTCTTAAGAAATACGGAACTTGAAATTAAGGAAACATGTTTGACGTTTATTTAGTGACTATTTATTGTCCATACAGACGATGATTCAAGCTTTCATTGGCCTCTTCCACGGTTGATCGAGAATGTACACAAGAGCCTTTACTATCTGTTGGTGATGAGAAACCGACATTTGTTTCCAAGATAGTTCTTTTTACCTCAGGATCGCCGAGTTTCGAGAGATTCGGCGTAGCGTAATACTTCAAGCCTTCCGAGGCGCCGGGAAGTGTCAGGCCCCGCACCAGTAACACCGCCAGCAGCGCATACGGGAAGAGCGATGTGAAGTAGACGACCTGTACATGGCGCATTGAGTGCGGAATGAAGTAGGAGGATTCGATTTAAGGTGGCCGTTTACCTTGCCAGTCCACTTGACGCCTTTCCAGATGCAGAAGTAACACATGATCCACACGGCCGCCAGTGTCCCGGCCAATTCCCACCTTATGGTACCCACCACTTCAACGCCCGCGGAGATCTGCAGGGTTCGCCTCCTTTTCATGGCAGAGGAGAAGTAAATTCGCGGTGTTCCACGAGGTTGCTAGTCCTAATCTGTTACAACACATGCCATCGACGCAATCCGCGTTAACTTACTCCCAAAACTCCTTGACCGGGTCTTTCAGCAACGTGGTGCTCAAGTTCCCGATGGACGTGGCACACACGGTGTCGCCTGTGAACTCGTCCGGCCAGCACACCGCGCTTAGAAGTTCCTCCGCTGTGATGCAGTAGCGCGTGTTCCACGAGTTGTCGCAGCCTCGCCAAGGTACGTCTGCGTAAATAAGATCTCATTGTGACGACTTCCCTTCTCACTACTTGACGATTTCCCCCGTGTTCGTCTTTCAGCAATCGGATAATACGTCTCATATAACAACGAAATGAATCATTGACGCATAAGCTCACCGGCTCGCAAGGAAACGAGGAAGTAGAAGAGAGCCCAAGCGAGGATGATGATATAGTACACGTTGGTCCAGCAAGAGAGCACGCAGGTGGCGTATCCGATGCCTGTGGGAAGAAAAAAACGCGTTATCATCGACATGTAGCCCATCGCGAGATGAGAGCCTCAACGAGACTCAGGCAAGAGAATAAGATCGAGTGTAACACGTTACCTTTGAAGAGCGGCGCTATCTGGAAGACACCAAGGCCGCCAATCGTCATCATCTGTCCCAGGGACAGCTCCATCAGGAACATGGGTATACCCGCCAGGCCGAGAGCGATGAAGTAAGGCACCATGAAAGCGCCGCCGCCGTTCTTGTAGCAGAGGTAAGGAAACCGCCATAGGTTTCCCAGGCCTATGGCCAGTCCCACGACGGACAGGATAAACTCGATCTTCGAAAAAGAGAGAGAGAGAGAGAGAGAGAGAGAGAGAGAGAGAGAGAGAGAGAGAGAGAGAGAGAGAGAGAGAGAGAGAGAGAGAGAGAGAGAGGGAGAGGGAGAGAGATCACGAGAACGGTGATTATCGGCGATCAGACGATCGTCCGGCTGTTCTTCTAGACGACCGTTGTCTTACCTTGCTGCTCCAATTTCCTCGTTCCGGCAGCTGTTTTCTGGGCCTCTTCATGACGGACGATCGTAGGCACTGTATGGCTTCGAATCGGAAGTCCGACTCCTTCTCGCCCCCATTGGAGATGGTGGTGGTGGTGGTGGCGGCGACAGCTACGGCGGCGACGGCGGTGGCTGTGGCGGTGGCGGTCTTCGCCGTCGGCTCGGCGAGGAGAGCCTTCAGCTCCTGCACCGGATTCACAGGGACCGTCTGTGGTTTACGTGACAGAGGGCTGGTGGATCTGTCTACCTTGGGACGGCCGGTCGTTCCCCTCGAAGGCATTATTCGTTTGCGGGACGAGAGCGGGACTTCAGGAACTCATCTCATCCTACCAATCGGCCGACTGACGGAGAGCCGAGGGGAAGCTACGCCAACCGGCTGGCGTGCCAGCGCGACGCACGCTCTGCTTTTCGACTAGAACGCTGGAACCGCGACACCGCGTACTTGTACCACCGAGTGGATCATCATGAATCGGCAGAGAAGAGGAAAGAGCGCGCGCAGGATGGCTAAGCGAAGGGCTGATTGACAATTGCCGTCTATAAAAAGCGGCTTGCGCAACACGCGCGTTTCTCGTTCTCTATCGGACCTTAACAGGAAGCCCTTCGAGCGAGCGGACGAGTGAGCGGCGGTACGTCGGAACGTCCGGAACACCGAAGGGAGGCAGTGTATGTATATATGTGTGTGTGTATGTATGTGTATATATATATGTATATGTATATATATATACACCACAATATAATGTGAGTCCCTAATATAAAGAATAAATAATATATCCGTATTCTCGCTGGAGGAGATTATCCGTCATCGCACTGTTGTCATCATCGTCACCGCTCACGAGCGCGCTAGGTGCGCGTGCAAGATATCGCATGTAGTCGACGTAAAAGGGTCTTGATGATGACGGACGACGGACAACGAGCCACTTCCGGGAATCGCAGCGTTCGTCAAACGCGTTCTCATCGGGCTCAACCTTGTCCTATTTTAGATTATTTAACTTACATGGTGGATGCTGTGCGCATCGTGTCGTTCGTTAACTTCACCGTCGTGCGTGCGCCATCGTGCGTTGCGACAATGATTAACGGTAATTAAGCATTAATGATTAACGATAATTGACCGGTAGCGGCTACCGACGATCGTAATCGCACGACGATAACCGTCAACATAACACCAACGAACGGTGATAACGCGTTCGCGCGAACGGTATTGTTCTAAATATTTCTTTTTTATCGTAGAAACGCAGAACTTCCTCTTCGGCGGAGGCTGAAGATGAGAGCGCATGAGAGAACGACGGACACGATCGTTCAGGGCAATCGCAAGCAATACATACGCAAATATCGCGGTCCAGCGTGCGTCTCTCCCACAACCAGTGGAAAGATCCTCGGTATCCTCCTCTCGATATCCCTGCGTCGTCCTTACCTCCGCATCGTCGATGCGCCGCAAACTGAATGATCGTGCTCTCCTTCTGCGATATCGTTATTTGCTGTTTCAGCTCACACAATTCCGTGATCCTCTCGGGAAATTCGGGAGATGAATCCTTCCCCGCCACCCCCGGCTCGAGAACGCGTGCCAGCCGGAGAACGTTTGACCAAACCGTTTTGAGCGGAGCACGACTTCGAAGGAGGGAGCCGTGAGGCGCGTTCGCGCGGATGCAAAGATTTCTGCCGCCGTGCCCCGTCGTGATTTACCCCACAATGACTGACGTGCGGTCCCCCTCGAGCATGAACGCACCTATCTTTCCATTCAACAAATTAATGCCACAGTGTCACTCTATATTTAGGCTGCTTGCGGCAACGGAGAGATCGAGCGTACTTGCGCGAATCGCGCCGGCCGAGGACGCAATGCAATATTTTCTTTCTTCTTTCGTTGCTCATCGGCTGCGGTGGCGTCTCATTGCTTTCCCGAGGGAACAATGCAATTTGGAAAACGATGACGGACGGATGATCGAGGTTGCGATTAAAGGCGAGGTAGCGAAACCGGAAACACTAAGCGTCGCTAAAAGAATATATTATAAAGTTGTTGATTTTTGTCTCTCTCTCTCTCTCTCTCTCTCTCTCTCTCTCTCTCTCTCTCTCTCTCTCTCTCTTTTCTCTCTCTTCTCTCTTCTCTCTCCTTCTCTCTCTCTCTCTCTCTCTCTCTCTCTCTCTCTCTCTCTCTCTCTCTCTCTCTCTCACGATCAAATCGGGTGTAAAATTAAAAATAAAACTCGTTAATCTTACGGGAACGAAGGTGCGCTAATAAATGATAAAAACTGTTCATCTACAAAAGAATATAAGTTCGTAGATTCACTTAAAAGTAAGAATATCTTATGCTTTCCAAACGTAATTAACATTCCGTTCTTGTTCATATTTTCATAGTTTATTTTGCAGTTAAAAAAAAACGCGTAATATTTTACTCTCAAACGTTACGTTATGATATCACATCCTACTAATTTGTAATATTCTATTTGCTATTACACCCGCGTTTATTATCACGCGTCGATCAGCACATTGCACCAAACGCCCAATGTCAGTGCCTACGTGGCACGTGCGTTAATCGTCAAAAGTTCCCTGCCTACCTTCTATATTCGGCTTGAAATGGACTATTTATGTTAATAACATAGTAATTAAGCATCGGATAACAAGAAAAAAAAATCTTTCAATTTGTTCAAGAATATAATATATTAAAGACAAGAAATTGTTCCTGTATATAAAACCACCCTGTGACGCACCAACCTGTATATAAAAAGTCTATTGAAACATCATATTTGTATCATTTTCGATAATCAAAAGATATTTGAACTCATAGACGTTATGTATATTTACCAAATTATTTTCCAGCCTTTACGGAAAAAATACTCAAATATTGAGTATCTACACTCAATTATTCGAATTCTCTAAAATGTAAGTGTATACACTCAAATTTGAGTGTATATACCCACACAGCACCAAGTCGACTATTAGTTGACTGTCAGTCGGCAGAAGAAGTTTAAAGTCGACTTTAAAGTCACACTGAATGTCAACTTGTAGTTGACTAACAGTCAATAAATGACTCGACTATAATCGGCCATAAGTCCAATAAGTCAACCGTATAAAACCAATAAGTCGACTTTTAGGTGACTATAAATCAACTTTCAGACAATGTTATGACGATTATAAGTTGACATTTAGTCAATTTGACGTCATCTATATTACTAAATTTTAATTTTAATTGTGATATTTCTCAAGACTATCAATTTAATTCTATTACACCTTAATTGCATATATTGTTATATATATAATGTAATTAAAGAATAATAAAATTAAATTAAGTCTTTTGAAATATCATTTAATAACATTTAATTTGAATAATAATTATAAGGGGTAATTATATATATAATAATAAAACAATTTACAGGATACAGTATATTTATTTTTTTAATAAAGCTCTTATCCTGTCACCAGACCGTCGCAACCATTCTTGTATGCATATTTCTACATCGTTGATTGTTGTATTATGCATCATTAAAATAACAGCTACAAAGATAATAATATAGTCTATATACAAACATTTTATGACATGAAATTGCTCATCTACATCTAAATTAATAGCAGAAAACGTAGAATAAGTTTACACGGCAGCCTAAAGCCGGTTTAGTAACAACCGTAGTTAATGAATTTTTGCATTTAATTGGAAAATATTTTTAGATCTAAAAAAATATACCAATTAGATAGAAAATTTGCAAATTACGATTGTTACTAAACCAGTTTTAAGTTGTTGTGTAAACGTACTCGTAGTTCCCAAAACAATCTGAATATATTGTAAAAAAATTCATCTTTCTCCTATAATATTTTGATATTATATACATTCAGTACATTACATACATATGTTACATACATAGATTTGTTCTTTATAGCTAAACTAGTAATTTGTTACATTGAAATGAAACAGAGATATATTTGAAATTTATTTAAAGAAAATTTTATAAAATGCTTATCAAAATTTTATAAAACCCCATAAAAATTTATAGATTTTGCAGGTATTTCCTCTTTTTATTTACAAAAGAGTTCGAGCATTCATTACACATTTTCAAAAAATATCACTAGAGCGGACTCTGTCATTTAAGAGCAACAGTCCTAGCACCCTCTGATGCAGCCAGGGTAGACTGAATTTTCAAAAGAAAATCTCTTAAGCGTGGTCTACAATGGCCGTAAACAGTAAGAAGTAAGCGTGAACAGTAAGAAATGGACCAACTACAGTTGATTATTTTTGTCACAATCGACTGTAATTGGTTTATTTCTTACCGCTTACGCTTACTTCTTACTGTTTACTGTCATTGTAGACTACGTTTTAGAAATTCAGCTTCCTACATTTTTGAAGGTAGTAAATGTCCTGTTCTAGTGGCTCCTGCCTACAAAGACGTGGCAACGCTTGCCGCGCGGAAATTCGTGTGATAGCCACTCAACGTGCCGCTTTTCCGTAAGAGCTAGAAAGTTATTACGGAAAGTAGCACATTGTTTGGCTATCGCACGAACTTCCGCCGCGCGGCAAGTGTTGCCGCGTCCTGTGAGCAGGAGTCATTAATACAGTTCTACGACAAAGAACATAATGGCAAAAAATTCCAGACAGCACAATGTCTGAAACTGGGACATAAGACGCCTTTAATGTCCCGCTTTTGGACATTGGTGCTGTCTGGTAATATTGAGCAATATTTAATACCAATTATTGACTCCGAAAATTTTGATTTTTTTAAAGATAACTTTTTTTGTCCTGTCCACGTATGCCTGCACAACTTCGTAGCCAATAGTTTGCGACATATGTCTTACATTATTGGCTACAGTTTCTCCGCCTATAGTGACATTTTCTCCATCTGTAACAAATATATTTCAAATCATATGATGTATTGTACAATATATTCAATATATGTACAATATATTCAAAAGCTTTCAGTTCATGTACAGCAATTATAATGCATATTTGTGTTAATAATTAGCAAATAACTAATATACGTACAAATTGTCGCCGAACGTTATCATCCTTCAAAAGGTTATTGAAATTTTTTACTTCTTCCACTGTAGTGAGAGGAAAATTCGGTAATAAAGAAAAATCAATCTGTCGCTGTATTAGGTTGTTGTAGATGAAATGGCCATTTTTTAATTTTTAATTTAAATTTTTATTCGATACACTTTATATACATCTCGTTAATCGAAATAGTTTCCCTCCACCTCAATACACTTCCCCCAACGTGATACAAGCGCATCAATGCCTTTCACGTAGAAATTAGAAGAGCAAGATGCAAGAAATTCGTTGAACGCATTTTTCACGTCGCTTTCTGTTTGGAATACCTTTTCACTTAAAAAGTTATCCAGATGCTTAAACAAATGGTAATCAGTTGGAGAAAGATCAGGAGAATAAGGAGGGTGAGGGAGAACTTCGCATTTGTATTCTGTTAATGTTTTTACAGTTTTCTTTTTCAATATGCGGTCTTGCATTATCATGGAGCAATAACATACCGCGTCTATTTAATAACGCCGGTTGTTCAATATGCAGTTTTTTCATCACAATGTCAATTTCTTGGCAATATTTGTCAGCATTTATAGTTTCACCTTTTTTTAAAAACGAAAAATGCATAATACCCTTGGCAGATCACCATACAGATACCACCATAACTTTACGTGGATGAAGGCTCGGTTTTGACATGTGTTTCGGAGCTTGATCATCATCTAACCACTGGGTAGAACGTCGACGATTGTCATAAAGAACCCACTTTTCATCACACATTACTATTCGATTCAATATTCCTTCATTATTGTGTCGGGAGAGCAAAGATGAGCTGATTTTCATACGGCGAAGCTTGTCTCTCTCAGTCAGTTCATGTGGTACCCATTTGTCAAGCTTTTTCATTTTCCCCATGGCCTTTAGGTGTCGGGAAACAGTGGAATAGTGAACGTTGATGCTGTGTGCAATATCTCGAACTGATAAACGCGAGTCTGCTTCAACCATGTCTTTCAAAACATTGTCATCAATCACTAATGGTGCATGGCTGCGAGGCAAATTGTCGAATTTGTATCACCAGACCGAAACTTTTCAAACCAACGTCTAATGGTTCGATCACTTACAGAACCTTCCCCAAAAGCAGCGTTTATGTTTCGCGTTGCCTCGGCCGCACAATGACCAAGTTTGTATTCGTACAAGAATATTATCCGCATTTCCTTACTTTCCATGTCGAAGAGACAGCAATTTTCAACGATATAAACAATGTGATAAAAGTAAGGTTATGCGTGCGAATTTACGTGTGGAGCATATACTTTTCAAATATCACGCATGCAACGACAGCTGCATGAAAAGAGCTGAACTACTCAGCCGAGAAATTTGAATTTTGAAAAACGGCCATTTCATCTGCAACAACCTAATACATTATGTTGTACTTCTTTCGAATTTTCCAGTAAATGAATAATCCGGTTGAGTTTACGTTCAAGTGTCATAAATTTTGAAGAATATCCTCGCCGACATTTTTCTAAACAACAGAGATAAAAGAATTAAGCGATTAACATTATTGAATTAAACTATTACAATAATTCATAATAATCTTTTGTTCTACATTATATTTATTACTGATGTAAATAAAATAAAATTTACCACAACAAGATGTGTGCTCTGAATCTATCGATTGCTTTTCTAAATTTTCTTTATTGTTTATATTATTTTCTGGTGAATTTAGCCCACTCATGCTGTATACTTCACGAATTGAATTTGTACACTTGTAGAAAGGTAATTTATCGTATTTGAAATTAATGTTAATTGGGCTGTTAAATTTTCTGTGCAATTTTGGAAATATATTATTTGTATTGTCATTTGTCAATCATTGTATTAAACTGTCAACAGAAAGGCAACAGCAGTCTGGGGATGCAGATGTCTATGAATCTATCGGCAGGTCCTGCATCAATTTCACAGATCCTTTCGCCAATCTGATGTCAATCTGCACACAAATTGTTTACTGGGAATACAAATATTTGATTGATTTTTATACTTATTTTGCTCTGTGTTCTGGAAGAGGACAAAGGAACTGTAGCTCCAGGACCATACCTGAACCGAGCAACTTTGCTCTGTATCCTCTTTGTACACAGTTTCGTTCTTTTTATATCACTGTAAAAAACAAGAATTACAATAAAAATAACATTTTACATGCATAAAATATAAAGCATTCACATTAAAATAGAATAGAAATATTACAATGTCAGAATAGAAAAATTAACAATTTTGAGGTTAACATTATATTAGAAATACAAATATTCTGATTTATCCGTTTGCTAAATTGATGATAAATCGAAATGAATGTGCATGTTTTAAAATGGTGGAATTGAGAATTAATAATGTTTTTACATTTTTTGTGCAACTATCTAAGAATACAATTTCAAAATCTATGACATGGTTTTTTGTGACATTTATATAGTTTTTTTAAATGTGTTATTTAACACATTTAAAAAAACTATAAAAAACAGCTATCAAACAATCTTAAACCTTATTTAATACAATATAATATAGGAAATATAATATAATGTAAGAAAGAAAAAGAAGAATTACCTTTGAAAAATAATCCGGTAAGGCATGTGCGACATATGTGGTCTGTTCTTTTTAGCTGCACTGCGGAATTAGTGCAATAAGTTAGAATGAGACAACTATATTTTTTCTCACTTTAACTTATTGCACCAGTTCAGTAGTGCAGCTAAAAAAAACAGACCAATGGTCTGTTCTTTTCTTCTGCACCGCTGCACTGGTGCAATAAGTTAAAATGAGACAAATCAGAGAGAAGAATGAGAGCGGCCACCGGCCGTATTTCGGGGGATACGGCTAGGCGCATTTTAGATACGCCATCTGACCAAAATGCACCTAAACTACGTCCGCTAGGCGCACTTTCGCGGTGATAAAAATAAAATGCGCCTAGGTTCGTGTCCGTACTACTTCCATTCAATGGATAGTAGATTAGAAAAAGACAAACGACAGACAATCGTTCCGTCTTTGTCTCACTACTGAGCGGCGTGCGGCAGTAAGCACGAGGCGAGGTAGCGGCGATCTTATCGCTAAGCGAACATCTCTCCGCTTTTCTTTCATCTTTCACGCTCCAGAGACGTCAAAAGACGCGGTAGCGTCTCGTGTCAAGGGAACGTGCGAAGCGAGGAATTATTTTTCACGCACGCGAGGTAGCATATGGGAGACTAGACGAGCGTCGACATATTATTTGTTTCTTTCCCGCTCGTCTAGCTTATTGACTGCTTGAGCCGCGAGATTTTTTTCGCTATTCCTATACCTCGCTCTTTTTCTCTCTCGCTCGTTCTTTCTCTCTCTCGCGCACTTGCTCGCTCTTCCTCTCTTCTCGTGTTCTTATGGCTTGATTAAATATATTAATTACATGACAATATATATATAAATAAATGACACATATATAGTGTATATGTATATAAAGAATATTTAGTATTAATGCCCAAATAAAGAAGAGAGAATTATAATGAGAGACGAAAAGTTAATAGAAATCCACTCTTAGCCAATATATACATCTTTTAAAAATGATTTGTTATTAAAGTATATGACAGAATAATTTATTTATGCTAATAAATTTAAATTAAAAATTAAATGAAATGTTATTTGTTTTGTAAAAGATATTCCATTGTTACATTTTTCTTTTTGTAGCAAAAATAAATTTAGTCTAGTAAAAAAAGAAATTAGTTTTATTATCATATTTCAATTACGACTTTATTATTTAATTTTACGAATAGATAATAGATAAGAATAGATAACGTGCATATTGTTGCTCAACGGAAACCGCGAGAAAATGGTGATCTCCGTCAAAAAATAAATGCAAACTTTTTAATAATATAATAATTTTTTTACGTAAGTATTTGTTTTTATAATATAATCTGTTGAATTTTATTAATTATTAATTCAGCATGTTATAGTATAAAAAATATATTTTAATATAAAAATTAATGTAATATTCATTGTTTGCATTTGCAAGAAATATGGATAGAACAGGATAGGTTGCAATGGTATATAGGAAGAAAAAAGATAGATGGATAAATAGATAGATAGATAGATAGATATAGAGATAGATATAGATGGATAAATAGATAGACAGATAGATAGATAGATAGATGGATAGATAGATATAGAGAAATAGATAGATAGATAGTTAGATAGTATAGAAAAAAAGATAAATAGAAATGTAATTATCATTATTATTATTATTAATGTTTTCAGTTTCAAGAGAACATTCGCTTAAACGTAAGTCTTACTTAGGTCCAGTTTCACGACTTATATTATATTAACCGGAATATATTATACGACTTATATTATATTAATCGGAATATATTATACGATTTATATTATTTTAACCGGAATATAATTCGTTAATATTGGAAGTACCGAGCGGTTATTTCTGATCGTTTCTATTTTTTAGATTAATATCCTGTTTCTTTAAGATTACAGGATTTTTGTTTTGAGGGTTTGTTTAATGTGATGTTTGTAAAGAATGTATATAAATTTCTACATATAAGATTAAAAATATGAAAAATATTGCAGTGAAAGCAAGGAGGTTCCACGGTGCGCACGATATCTCAATAACTATTTGACCAATCGACTTGCAACTTGGCAGCATTATAAAATAGACTTCTCTTTACCATTTTAATTACAATTAACCAAATTCATTAATAATTATTATTTTTTATTAAACTTTACCGAGAGGCCAGAAATAGACGATTTTTGTTCTAAATGCTACCATTTTATTATTTGTGTTCCGATTGTAGTTCAGACGATAGCTATACTTATAGAAAATAAAAAGCTACTTAAAATAATTGTGAAAAATTAAATCACACACATTTAGAAATTCCTTGGAATCGTCTATTTGCAACCTCTTTGCTTTTACTGCAATATTTTATATATTTTTAACCTTACATACTTGTAGAAAAATGTATATATATTCTTTAAACATCATTAAGCAAACTGTCAAAACCCGTAATCTTTTAATCATGTGATCTTTTTCGCTTCCGCAAAAAAATTAACGAAATATACGTATTTTTTGTCTGGTTGAATAAGACAACTTTTTAAAAGCCTATCTAAACGAAATTACATAATCGCTTCATTGATATGCGCAAGAAAATCAACCAATCATAATCCATACAAGCGTGCCTTTTATATTAGACATATTTTACATTTAATTAATCTGTTTCCTTCTCTAGAACAAGTAATCATCAAGATAACGTCAAAATTATTTTGACTTAATTTTGACATCATCTTCACTTTTATATAATTATTAGTTCTACTTCAGTTATGCATATGAACAATACGACTATGCAAGTTTGTCTCAATAAGTCTTAAACTCCGGTTAAAATTAATTATGAAACTAAATCTTAGTGTTTTTGAATCATCGGCATCTTTCACGATGTTATGATTATAAATATTATCTATATAACCAATTGTAACCTACACAATGGAACGCTCTTCGATTGAACCGATTGAAATTGCTCATATCAATTATCAATGATATATGGCCTTTCATTACATTCTCTAAGTTTCAATTGTTAATTGAACAATTCCTTTCACAAATCAAAGATTAACATGCTGATTTGAAACATAATGCAAAAAGCTCGAAAATAAATGCGAAGCAGAGAAGAGATTAACAATGAATATTATATATTATATACAACGCATAATACACAACGCATAAGAGAATCAACCAATCATTATTAAATTAGAGTTCTTCATTTCTGTCCTGAGGAGGGAAATCAAGAAAACTAATTGGTTTATTCTCTTATGTGTTATGTATTATATGTTATGCAAAAGCCTGTACTCTTGCCCATATGCTTTGCGCTCTGTCCATAGATTCTTTAGGTCCATGGATATAGCTCAATAGTGGGTCAGCCACCTCTTTATTGTTTAAGCAGAAAAACCTGAGAGCAACCACCGGGCCGATTACGCCGGGACGTTTTTTCTGACGCGCCCCCTGAGAAAATGTGTGTATACTACATCCATCCTGACGGTAACGACAAAGCAATTCAATTCAATTCAATTCAATAAATGGCTCTGGGCAAAATAGGGTACTGCTCCAACGCCACTCTCACGGTATAGATAAATGAAATTCTGTAAGGCTATTTTCCAGTAGTATAGAGGTAAAAGAAAAACAGAGACAACGCGTACGCAGTCCCCACGAGAAATAAATATCTGTAGTTACAGGAACCTTATCGGAGCCGCCACGGAGGCGAACAAAAGTGGCAAACTTGTAACGGCAAAGCGTGCACGGTTCTTGTTCACTTTACTTTCCCTTACAAGAGATAGTAAGTTAGACAAGCACAGACGATCAATTGCTCTCTGTCTTTGTCGCACTACCGACAAGCGTATGGCGGCAGGAGGAGACACGAGGCGAGTCAGCAGCAGATCTTATCACTAAGCCAAAATCTCTCTCGTTTTGCCTCTTCGCCTTCTCATCTTTCACGCAACGCACTGCCTGCAATTCGGGAAGAAATATTTCGCGCGGAAAACTTCTAGCAAGGACACAAAATGACGCTAATAGGGGTGGCCATTTTTATAATTTTTATATTCAATTTTTTCATATTTTTATTAAATTTTTTTCATTTTTTTCCGAAATCAATGCGAAAATGAAGGGTCATCGACTATGAGTTAATTATTTGTGATAATTATTTATGATAAGACGTTGATCTAGATTCGAAATAAGGATATGATCCGAACAAATCGTATCGAGTTGTGATCGTTTTAAAGTTAGAATTCAGTTCGAAAATTTGAAAAGTGACAGGCCCAGAAATTACGAGTCATCAAATATTAATTAACAAAATTTGAGTAAAAAGATTTTAATCTAGATCCAAAATAACTAAATTGCAACGACGTACGCCTACGCGTTATCGAGAAATTGAAGCTGATAGATCAAGATCATCCGATGCGAAAAAAGACAAGTCACCGGATATAAGCTGCAAAATTATTTGCGATAAGATATTAATCTATAGGTTCAAAATAAAGATGATCCGAGCCAACTGATGTGTCGAAATACGATTACGCGTTTCGGAATTAGAGGCCACGAAAGATGGAAAAATGACAGGCTCGGAAATGACCTGTCACGAAATATTAATTATCGAAATATGGATGATAAGGTTTTAATCTATGCCCAAAATAACTATGATCCTCGTAAACCGCATCGAGCTGCGAGTACGCGTTTCGGAGTTAGAGGCCACGAAATATTGAAAAGTGACAGGTACGGAAATGACAGGTTACGATATATTAATTAACGAAATATGAGTGATAAGGTTTTAATCTAGGTCCAAAATAACTAAAATCCTCACAAATTGCAACAACGTGCGCCTACGCGTTATAGAAAATTTGAAGCCGATATGTCTAGATTGATCGATACGAGAATGATGGGTTACCAAGTATAAATTAATAAATTGTGTGCAATAAGAAGCTAATCTAAATTGGAAATAACGATGATCCGTAGATACTAAATCAGTCCAATGTTACAGAATTATGAAGTCCGAAATGTTGAAATTAATAATTAATAGAGAAAAATGATAGATCAATATATACGTCATGGAAATATTTATGTTAATTGAAAGAAATGATGCTATTTAATTTTAAGGCAGTATGACTAATTTTCCTAAAATCTAGATTAATCCCAACAAACACAATATTATATGTAACGTGCATGTTAGTTGTAATTTCCTATTCATCAATAAAACTGTTATATAACACATGTGTTATATTGTTGAGTAGGAAATTACAATTAACATACACATTACATGTAATATATTGTGTTTGCTGGGATACAGCTTTTTGGATAGCGTAGAGAGTAAATAAAAATTTGGGGAACTAAATATGATTCGCTACGGTCGTCTGGGTAAACACGAGTTCCAGGAATCGACGAGGTATTTACACGGGCGGTGAGTTCTAAGAATCGTAGAGACAGACTGCGAGCGGACTCGTTGAAAAACCGATGCTTTCGGATTGAACGTAACATTTCGTTTAGGGGGGGTTAATGGGTTAATAAAATGCGATTAAGATGTAAAATGTGATGAACTACTAAGAATGAAAATATCAATAAACATTAAATGTATTTATGATGAGTTACTACATCAATGTAATAACTTCGTCGTAAAGGAGTGTTTACACGGCATCTAACGTCAGTAGTTATAACATCGATGTTATAACTTTGGCGTAAATTGGGCTGTGTAAACGTAGTCATTGTCGGGCGTAGTGCGTACACATTTTCTCAGGAGGCGCGTCGGAAAAAGCGTCCCGGCGTAACCGGCCTAGTAGCCGCTCTTAGGTTTTCTTAGGTTCGCTCTGGTTTAAGTAATATAATTCAACAGAATGTCAGCCTCACTTTTTACATATTCCAAATTTAACAGGCTATAGTTCTGACACAAATAACGATAACAAAGTACTTCTAGAAGTACCTTAAAACTTGAAATTTCTACATTTTGATCATAATAAATGCATAATGATACTCTTTTTTTATTATTATGATATATCAAGTTAAATGAGAAATAACGACTTATTATCTCACCTAGATAACAATTTATTACCTCATCTTTCAGTAGTTTATACATTGAAAGTTTATTTTTGTCAGAAATATGACATTTTTATTTTAAAAAGGGAACTTTAGGGCCAGAGCACAGACTTCTGCATAACGCATAATATAAAACACATAAGAGAATCAACCAATCAGAGTTCTTCATTTCTATCCTGAGGAGGGAAATGAAGAAAATTAATTGGTTTATTCTCTTATGCGTTATGTATTACGTGTTATGCAAAAGCCTGTGCTCTTACCCTTAAGCTGTTTATTCATTACTCAGCGAATGTCATACATTAATGTTTTTGTTTGCTTTGAAGGATCAAAAGCAGTGTCATTTTTAAAGAACGAATCATGTATCGGAATATTTAACCTATCCAAGTGTCTTTCAAATAGTCTTATGTGTAACTTTTAACTGTAAAGTAAAGTAATTATTTTATAATCTTAATGGATGAAAGTTATGATACAAAATAATTAAATGGTCTATATTTTCTATCTCTTTTCCTCTATTAATTCCTCTATTAATTTCCTGGATTAATTATCTAGCATACTGAAGGAATTTTTGTTACTTTTGACACTTATCAGCACAGGATGATAATAATCTATACTATAAGTTGATTGATATTATATAATTTGCTAAAAAAGTGAAAACATGGATATTGAAACAGAAAATGTTATAAATCTAGTGTTTCCGAAAGGTATTCCAGGTAAGATAAAATAAATGTCTACTTCTCTAATATAAATTTAAATAAATTATAATTTTCCCTTGATTATTAATACATATTACTTAAAACTTAATGTCATTTATTATATTTCATGAAACCTTTCTATCAGAATCGTGGAAAGAAAATCCTGATTTCTACCAATATCTCTCAAAGCTTGGTGGCTTTGATATAGATCAACTAAGTAAGTAAAGTTTCCCATATATCAATATAATTTTTGTATTATATATGTACAAAGTATACATTATCATATAACAATTTTGCAGGCAAAGAACCTGGTCATTTATCGGATGAAAAGAATGCAGTATTGCATACTACGCAGGAGTTGGTTTTTGCTAACTACAAAACCTTCATCCAGACAGCAGAAAGCTCACGGGAAATATTAAATCATGTAATCTCAAGAAAGAAACTTAAAGAATTTGGGAACCTTCATGATGCTTTCACTAACACATTATATTGCTCCATTTCTAGTTTAATGAGACTGAAAGTCGACTCGATAAGCTTGTGCAAAAGATACCCGAATTTGTGGAAAAATGTCAATCATTTTGCGACACCTCAAAAGACATTAATGCGCACAGAAGATTAAATAGTTTGACTCTAACACGCAATGCGGAGCTACTCGAGATCCTAGAGATGCCACAATTGATGGAGTCATGCTTAAGGAGCAATCAATACAACGAGGCATTGGAATTATCTCAGTATGCACGTCAGTTAGGCATGAAACACGGAGACATCCCTATTATCTCGGTATGACCTTGGCGAGATTCTTTTTAATATTTCTTTGTACTGTTAATTTTATCGTGTCGTTGTTTCTAGTCTATAGTGGCAGAGATTGAAAGCAGCTGGTCGGGAATGGTAGGACAAGTGGTCGGGTCTTTGAGAGGCGATCTACCGCTTCCGAGGTGTCTTCAGCTCGTGGGATTGCTACGTTCTATGGACGCGTTCACGGAGCCGGAGCTTCGTATTAAGTTTCTGCAAGCGCGAGACAGTTGGCTTCAAGGCTTGCTAAACGCGATACCGAAGGAAGATCGTAAGAACTTCTTGTTGAACTGCACTGTGAAACATGATCAAAAGAATCTCATCAATGTCGCTTTTGCAGCCAACCTTCATATCGCCAAAACGATAGAGCTATCCAGGATACATCTGTTCAACATCATCACTCAGTACAAAGCCATGTTCAATGACGATGAAATCGTTCCTGGCCACGATTTGACGCTAAATGAATCTGCGATATTTTACCATTGGCTAGAGGAGAAGGTATAAGTTCAAGATGGGGAAACGTAATATTGGAGATACAGGAAATATGATCATGATGCTTCTCATTTTAGATATCGCAATTTCTCGCCACATTGGAGCAAGATCTACCGGGTGTGGCGTCTATAGATTCCATTCTCGGCCAATGCACATACTTCGGATTGTCGTTCGGTCGAGTGGGTGTCGATTTCACTGGCCGAATGTCCGATATATTCGTGCGAGTTATCGGCGAGAAATTCGAGCAGAACGTTCGTAGGACGACCAGGAAATTCGAGAAGGACATGGAGACGTTCACGTTAATCAACAAGACGCAGCGGTTCGACATCAAGACCGAGATTTCCATTAACTCTGTATGTGTAAGAACTGCTCGCTTCTCATAAATTTTTATATAGGTTTATGATTGTGCTCACATTGTCTCACAGGAAAATCCGCCCGAGCAGCTGGTGGAGTTCTACCCTTTGGCCGAGTATTGCAACGGAATAGTATCAGCATTCAACGAACTGCGACTCTGCGCGCCAGTGGCACTCTCCACCTTGTGCACGAAACTACTGCAAGAGTCCCTGCACAACGTAGCCAGAGCTATGCTGCTATTCTACAAGCAAGAGCAGCAAGTGAGACTTCGTAATCATGTAGCTCGCTTAATGCACGCGCGAATGAATTCCATGTAGTTTACGAATGTGCACGGTTGCAGGCTTTTGCGATTGCGGAACGGGAGAACATGGTGAAGTTCACGGAATGTTTGAGCGAACAGTTGATTCCCTATATACAGTACTGCATACACGCGATCTTCCCGCCCACTCAGATCGCGACGCACTTAGGAATATCCGTCGGTATGCTCCAGAAAGAGGTACGTGATCGTAAAGTAGCAATACGTAAAAGAACAAATCCGGTAACGTGAGATGATTTACAGGAGATCACATACTTAAACAAGCAAGCCATATTGGAACCCGTGGCTGTATTGTTACCCATCAAGGATTTCCTGGTCTCCAAACTGGTGACGCCCAACGTACAACCGGCTCCTTCTCTCACCACAGCATCTGTACCATCAATAGTCTCTTCGGAAGAGTCGAAGGAACGAGCAACTGTCGCCACACGCGACAATACCGAAACATGATGAACAAAATTCGCAAAATTCCAGCGACAATACAAACCGATGAAATATCCGGTTGTAAATTTCAGGACACGATCATTCACGGCTCATTGATATTGTACTGTAGACTATGTTAATAAGGAGAAGAAATTGCTTTTCACAAATTTCGCAGAAACTTAGTTTTATTGTGAAAAATGCAGTGTTATATTGTGAAAAATACAATATAGAGGAGAAGATGAAAATTCCCTTCGACAGATGGAAACGCGAGTTTTGCAAAGAAATAAAATCTTAAAGATCGAGGCGCAAAGCGATTTTTTAGGCTGCAACTGATATCGAAAATACTTTTATTCTTTCATAGACTCCTCCGTGACTGAGCTCGGCTGCGCGGTCTCGTTGTCATTCTTCTTTTTCTTGCTGCCAGAGACAATGTCGTCGATTCTCAGCAACAAAATAGCAGTCTCGATCGCCGTCTTGTACGTTTGCAGCTTCACCGACAGTGGCTCCCAAATACCGCGTTCCTTCATGTCGACCAATTTACCGGTTTCTCCGTCAATACCCCAGGTAGTTCCCTCGGTCGCATGCTTCGCGCGCAACGCTGTCAACGTTCTGATGGTATTGGCGCCGCAATTCTGCGCCAACGTCCTGGGAATGATCTCTAAGGCCTGAGCGATCGCCTTGTACGGCCACTGCTCCACTCCAGCGAGACCAGCAGCCTTCTCCGACAGAAGCCGTGACACCGCCATCTCCACTGCTCCACCACCTATGAACATAAAAAGGAGAAATGTAAGGCAATGCGATACACGAGTCAGCGATCTCCGATACCAAACCAAATAGTCTTACCTGGCACTAGTTTTGGATCTATGAGCAGATTCCTAGCGACATGCAGCGCATCCTGCAAATTCCTCTCGGTCTCGTTCAGAATATCTTTGCTGGCTCCTCTCAGAATGATGGTGCAAGCTTTTGGGTCCTTGCACTCCGTAATAAAGCAGAAGTAATCGTCGCCGAGCTTCTTGATTTCGAAGAGACCAGCCCTAGTGCCGACGTCCTCCTCCCTCAGCTCCTCGGTGCGATTCACGACAGTAGCGCCGCAGGCGCGAGCAATCCTGTTGATGTCGCTCTTCCGTAATCTGCGTATCGCCGAAATACCGGCCTTGACGAGATAATGTTGCGCAAGATCGGATATACCCTTCTCTGTGATAACGACGTCTGGTTTCACCGAGATCACGTCCTCACAGATCTTCTTCACATGTTGTTCCTCCAATTCCAGAATTTTTGTGAAATCAGTGTCTTTCATTATCTCTATGTTCGTCTGTGACTCGCCTTTCTTATACTCCAATGGACAGTCCAGCAAGACTATTCTGGGTTCTTTGATATAACGTTTCATCTTTGGATGTGTCACATCCTTGTTGATCATTACACCTTTCAAAACGATACTATCCTCCACTGTACCACCTGGTATCTTCTCTACCTTGGCGTAACGTTTGATGTCAATCTCTCGTCTGCCATTCTCCTCCATCATCACTGTATAGACAGCATCCAAGGCGATCTGACATGCTAATTCTGACCAGCGTCTGATGAATTTAGTACCTATACAGGAGTTTATCACCTGCACCAATTTATCTTTGTCATTGCAGTCCAGATCGATGCTGACTTGCTCATTGAGAATTGTGACCATGTCTTCCAAAGCCTGACGATAAGCTCTTATGATGACTGTAGGATGCATGTTCTGCTCCAAAAACGGTTCAGCAGTGGCCAAGATTTCTCCCGCCAAGACAATAACAGATGTAGTACCATCGCCTACTTCCTCATCCTGAGTCCTAGCGATCTCTATCATGGACTTGCCAGCAGGATGTTGCACGGTGATCTCGCGTAGGATCGCGTTCCCGTCGTTTGTCATCACGATGCCACCCATCGGATCCATCAGCATCTTTAGCATGGCTTGTGGTCCCAAACATGTCCTGATGACGTCAGCGATCGCCTTGATACAACAATGAAAATAGAGAGAAATTTTGCTAGAGCCAAGTTGCCATGATAATTAATTTGACACAGCATACGCGAGAAAATCCGTTCTTACCGAATCAAGCAATGTATACTCGCGTATGAGAGGATAATGAATGACAGAATGATTACGAAGTCCATTCTGATAATCGTACGCGACATGCCGGCGAATCACGAGAAATCGCCTTATAAGGCGATAGTTGGGCGCTCAACAACGCGACGGGCCGCTTACCTTTCCTGCTTGGATGTTCTCCTTCTGCACCTTTCTACCGGTATCTCGTTTTGTATTTTGACCTGCAATAATCAGAACGTTCGACATTGTGGTTAAAGATGATCAGTTTCGCGTCGCGTGTACTAGCAAATAATAATAAACGACAGTCAGCGATTGCCTTCAACTCACTCAAGACAACAATAGGTGCCGCGCCCGGGGCGAACATCGTGTTTATCAATTTCTTTCTTCGTTTATTATCAACACTAATGCCGATCAGTAGAAGCACGAGCACGAGCACGTACGTCCGCGATTCTTCCACGAGGGGCGAGGAGAAGTCGTTAGAGACCAGTGATGGGACACTCCATTGCAGTGTAGGTTACACTTCGGGTCCCACCTCCATTTATCCTTCGAGAGACAAACGGTCTGTTCTTTGTAGCTGCATTGCTGAACTGGTGCAATAAGCTAGAGTGAGAAAAGCTATATTTGTCTCACTTTAGCTTATTGCACCAGTTCAACAATGCAGCTATAAAGAACAGACCAAAAGTTCCTGTGCCAACTTGCGAGAAATACATTGAGAACGACCATTCTAGAATTTTCGTCGGTTGGTGGTGCTGCCGACAGCTGCGGTTGAAGCCACCGAAAGGAGCCTACAGATGGCGCGCTCGTGCACATATCACGTTTCAAACAACTCCTCCGATGCACCCTGATGTGCACGGTTGAATCGTTTGTAACCAACGCGAGAATTACAATATTGTTAAGTAATGTAGCGTTATGACGGTGACAGGGGATGCGAAGGTATACGTATACCACCCTTAACTGATCGGCACCACCGCAATGGAGAGCACAAGTGACAAGTTTTTCTACGTGTACAGTTCTTCTTTAGATGCCAGGATACAGATTAAGATGTAAGATTTATTACGCGCATTCTTGCGTCACTGTTTCGGCCGACGTCAGGTTACCCGCACAATAAGAGCACTTCGATATCGCCTCTCCGTGTGTGATACGCACGGACACGCACGTTAATTCACACCAGCCTGAGTATAATCGGATCAGTCTTAATTAATGCGATGGAGTGTGTGTGTCGGACCATCTGCTCTTTATCTCTAGTACGGTTTTATCACCAATAGAGATTGCACTCGCAATTCGGAGTCTTCAGATGTGACGTACTCTGTGGCTCCTCGCTCTTTACTCTCCCATCCTGTATGAGTCATTGCTTCATTCTTTTATTGCAGAGGCACTTTGGAGGGCAAAAGACAGAGACCAGAGTACGACAAGCTACTAGTAGATCCTTTACTCAAGTACTCGGGCCTGTATGGAGCCGGAGGGATCCGCGGGGACTTGGCTGCGTCTTTGCAAGTGTGGACCGGTGGCAGGCCATTGGCTCTGCCTGTGCACACAGCTTACAAGCATTTCACTTCCCGTTGGAAGTATGTTGCGCCTCTAATCATCCATTAAGGCTTCATTTACTTTCTATTAAGTTCCTATGACGCTCGTAGCTGGAACCAGTGGGTCACTCTGCCAATCTCATATGCGGATCTGCCACGTGACGCACAGCTGTGTATAACATTGTACGACTGTGCCGGGCCTGGCAGACAGCTTCCAGTAGGTGGTACGACCATACCGCTGTTCGGCAAGCATGGGGTATTTCGACAAGGCATGCTGGATTTGAGAGTGTGGCCTGGAATAGAGGCAGACGGCAGTGTTCTGACCAGCACACCAGGAAAAGCGAGGGATCATGGGAAGGAGCAGATGCAGAGGCTCGCGAAACTTGCCAAGAAACACAGAAACGGGCAGATGAACAAAGTCGACTGGCTGGACAGATTAACGTTCAGAGAGATCGAGTTGATTAACGAGAAGGAGAAGAGGGCGTCGGACTATTTGTACTTGATGGTAGAATTCCCGGAAGTAACGATGGATGGTGTACCGGTACGAAGCATTGAAATGGCGGTCTTTTACATACATAGAACAAGAGGATAATTCGGCGCATTTAACGTTACCTTGTTGCAGTACTCGGTCGTGTACTACGAGAAAGACGGCGATGAGGTGTTTCAGCATAGGCTACAGTCGGACGTAGTGACGCTTCCCGACTACGAAATTCTACAAGTAAATATGAGCTTTCAGAAAAAGAGCATCTACATTTAGACTACTGATATCTGCATTTTAGACTACCGACGTTAAGCCGACCGAGAATTACGTATGTCGCAGGAAGAGAGACGTTGTTGATTGTTCTTTTAGGAAAATCTCGTGGAGGCGAAACACCATAAACTGGCCCGTAGCTTACGTAGCGGCGGTAACACTCGCGAATTGAAGCCCACTTCGACCGTGCGAGACGCACTCAACACTATATTGAGCTATCCGCCGACAACTGCGCTTTCCACCGAGGAACAAGATTTGATTTGGAAGTACAGGTTCTATTTGTCTAGCCAGAAGAAAGCGTTAACGAAATTCGTCAAATGCGTTAACTGGAGACTCGCTGGTGAGGTGCGCCAGGCCTTGGACATGTTGGTACTATGGGCGCCACCGGATCCGGAGGACGCGCTGGAGCTGCTAGGACCCGCGTTCACTCATCCGGACATCAGGAGATACGCGATCAGCAGGCTCAATCAAGCCCCTGACGACGATCTAATGCTGTACCTGTTGCAGCTGGTGCAGGCGTTGAAGTACGAGGACTTTGAGAGCATCAAGGCAGCTTACCAAGCGATGGTGAAAGAGAAGGAGGACAAGGTGGAGAGAAGCGAGCGACCAGAGAAGAACGAGAAACTGGACAGAGACGTAAGAAGCTGCGATTCAACGTCTACGCCGATCACGACTGTGAGTTCAACCTATGACACTTGTCCATGCGTATTATCGCTTTCTCACGCGACTATGCGTTCGATTTGCAGTCCAGTGAATCCAGCCAGCTGTCGGCGAGCCAGGAACCGCTCATGGACCTGGCGTCGTTCCTGATCACGCGTGCCTGCCAGAATTCCATGCTGGCTAACTATTTCTATTGGTATCTCTCCATCGAGTGCGAGGATCAGACTGATCCCGCGATCAGCGCCAAGCAAGACATGCGAGTCCGGGAGATGTACGTCATCGTAATGAAGATGTTTTCCATGATGTTGGCGCAAGGGAACGTTGTCTGGCAAAAGAGAAGGGCGTTCTTGCTGCGGCAGAAGGTGTTTATCGACCAATTGGTATCCCTAGTGAAGGCAGTGGCGCGAGAGAGCGGCAATCGCAAGAAGAAGACTGACAGGCTGCGGGCGTTGTTGGCGGACCCGGATCCGGCGTTCAAGATCAACTTCTCGAATTTCGAGCCGATCCCGTTCCCCTTGGACCCGGAGATTTGTATCAAAGGGATTATCCCGGAAAAGTATGTGCCCGCGCGAATCATTCCTCGCTGTATATTCTGTCCGATACTTGAGTAATACAAACACTTGACTCTGTTCGATCGATTTTTGCAGGGCAAGCCTATTCAAGTCCGCGCTCATGCCGTCGAAACTCACATTTTTAACGACAGATAACAGCGAGTACATCGCTATCTTTAAACACGGAGACGATCTGCGGCAAGACCAGTTGATTCTACAAACGATTGCGCTCATGGATAAATTATTAAGGAGAGAAAATTTAGACTTGAAACTGACGCCATATAGGTGAGGAACTCTACGCATATAGCGTGACGCTCCAATATCGCGTTCAGATCATCGTTTCATAGCTCGATAATTACACCAGGGTACTCGCGACAAGTACCAGACACGGTTTCTTACAATTCATCGAATCCACGACGGTCGCGGAGGTGTTGGCTAGCGAAGGCTCGATATTGAGTTTCTTCCGAAAACATCATCCCTCCGAGACTGGACCTTACGGCGTAGTGCCAGAAGTCATGGATACTTACGTTCGCAGTTGCGGTAAGCACGTGTGATGTGATCTATCGAATATTGCGATCGCGATACTAATGGTTGATACCAAATTGTAGCTGGCTATTGCATAATCACGTATGTACTGGGAGTCGGCGATCGTCACTTGGACAATCTGCTGCTTACAGCGTCAGGTAAACGGTCCAAGAAGCTGCACGAATAAATGTACAAATACAAGTGTATGTTGAGCGAGTTGCTAATTATCTTCTGTCTTGCTTCGCAGGGAAACTTTTCCACATCGACTTCGGATATATCTTGGGCAGAGATCCGAAACCTCTGCCGCCTCCGATGAAGCTCAGCAAAGAGATGGTCGAGGCCATGGGCGGTGTCGGTTCCGAGCATTACCATGAGTTCCGGAAACAGTGTTACACGGCATTCCTCCATCTGCGCAGGCACGCGAATCTAATACTGAATCTATTCTCACTGATGGTGGATGCGAGCGTGCCTGACATCGCTTTGGAGCCGGATAAGGCCGTGAAGAAAGTACAGGATAAGTTGCGATTAGACCTGAGCGATGAGGAGGCCGTACATTATGTGCACAATCTCTTAGACTTGTCAGTCACCGCAGTCATGGCGGCGCTGGTAGAGCAGCTCCACAAATTCGCGCAGTATTGGCGGAAGTAAAGGTGAATGCCGAAAGGTATAGCGAAATCACGCAAACTGTGTTCCATTCTAAATGCCAGAATTATTGTTATATTATGTGTACATATAGTTTTATATATACATACATATATATATATATACACACCCACACACACACACACACACATATATATATGTGTGTGTTAGATACACACACACACACATATATATATATATGTTGGACGTATATGTATATATATGTATATATATAAAGAAAATGACCACATGGCGTATTTCACGAATGTAATATAACTTATTGTATTTTAGCTAATAAACCTTTGATAATAATTATATAACTTTGCGTGGTACTCTTTCATAGCCAAGTCTGATGTTGATTTGATATGAATATATCAATAATCGTGACTAGTACTATACTGACATATATGTATATGTACATGCAATAGCTGTGTTGCAACCATACATAATTTATTTACCAAGAAGTTTTACAAACAGTTCATTTTTATCAAAATTCAACAAGCATGCCTAATCGTGAAAATACTATTTTTCTTTTTATTTCATTGTTATGTAAAGAATAGTACAGTTTCTGTTATAACGGGATATATTATTGGCAAAAGAACTGCACACACAAAATATATATATATATATATATATATATACACATACATATATATGTGTGTGTGTGTGTGTATATGTATTCATTGTACATGTAATCTGTTATATAAATATTTATATATTTATTTTATTCTTAATTACAATCGTGTATGTAGTGCACACAATAGAAATAAATGTAAATAGGTAGTACTGTTAGTGTTAAAAATATCAAATTGTTATTGATACCATTGATACATGAAACGCAGATGAGTGATACTTCACTCTTTTTAGTATCGTTCTATGCCAGGTAAATTCAATAAAGTCAAACAGAACAAATACATATGCTTCCTATGACTATATCATAAAGTTTATTTCCCTTTTTTTTTCTTTAATAGAAAACGTAATAATAGTTTTCGTCGTGTTATCCGTAGAGAAGTATACGAACTTTAATATAATTCTTTACAATGGAAAATACATTTACCTACCATTCTAACAAATTATATTAAAATTTGTGGATAATTAAAGAATCCTAACAATTCAGTCGGTTGTTGAAAAAGTTTTCAGATTCTTCTCGATGCTCCACGATAATATATCGATTTCTTGTTATTTAGCGCGACAACGTGATTATATTCACATCTTCATTTTCCCCTGATCTTTATCAACGCAATATGTATATATACATACGTGATCGTAATTAAAACGCCACGAGAAATAAAAACATAGATTTATTCTTGATTATATATCTATATATATATAACATGAGACTATAAAGAATATAATATAATTTTTCTTATGACATTTTGGTAAATCTGCCTTGCTTGAGAGGATTGCACACAACAAAAATCTTGGATCGGTTCTTAATTCGTCCCAGGCAATTAAAATTCCTCGCGCATCATGCTACTTGATCTTCTCGTTAAAAGCGTGCACCACGTGTTCGGCATAAGAAACCGTTCCCTTGTACAAATTACAGTAAATCCCGCACTAATTTTAGGCATATTATCTCAGACACGACAGATTTTCAAACAGAACCCTTTGCTCATTCTTTTACACCGTCTTTTCGCACAATCACCCTCTTCTCACATGCAAGATACACGATATATATATAAGTGAAATAATAGGCAATTTTTTATTTTTCATGTATATTATTTCGTCTATGAACTAAACTGTAAGTCTAAATATAGCACGATCCTCGTTTCGCTCAAAGCCTCGCACAGCACGCACCTTATCTCATCGCGATTCGCACAACCATTGAAAAAAAAGAAACACTTCCACATTGAGCAAATCGAGGGCACGACGCAACTTATATGCGAAAGTTAAGTCTTCAAACAATATAGCCCGAGAGAGAGAGAGAGAGAGAGAGAGAGAGAGAGAGAGAGAGAAAGAGAGGAGACAGAAAGATAGAGAAAGAGAGAGATAAAGAAAAACTTTCCATTCCTCAGGTTTCCATTGATTTGTAGAGCGCACACTATTATTGGCATATTATCAGAAATATTGTGCTCTTTGCTTTATACAATCACATGAACTCTCATCTCTTACAACTCGTAAACAAACAACTCACTATGATTTGACACCGTGAAGTAGCAGTAAAATCCAGGGATGTCCGATGTATCGGACGATTCTCTTTGTCTTTTGTATCTTCCTTTATCATCGAGCATTGTTTCGACTATCATTCTATTGCAAGAAGAAAAAGGATTTTCTCAGGGGAGAGCGATCGTCCTCTGTAATTTTACCCACGCTACCTCATCTCGTGGACATACAGCGATATTGGCGGAAACCAAAAATTGGCCGCATGATACAAATCTTTATATTTCCAAAAAAAGAAAAAAAAAAGGAATAGTAATGTATTATTCATTTGTATAAATAGCTCGCTGCTTTTATTCTAGCGATTGTATGGACACTCCTCCTGTATCTTCGTTATGTCAAACGTTTCGATGAAATAAAAATCGTAACGAATAATGCAAATAAAACCACAATATGCGTGTGTGTGTATATTGTGTGTGTTTGTATATGTATGTGTGTGTGTTGTGTATGTAATCCTAATATATAACTCTTACGTACGTAGATTCTAATAGCAAATTACACAACATCCGCACAATTACACCCGTTACTTTACTTCCTTTTCCCTTTATTTCAACGTACACAGACACACGCGCGCGCTAAGGAGTGCGTTTGTCTTGTGCGTCGGAGCCTGAAAGAGGTCTAGATTTCGTCTTAAAATCTAAGCGCTTAACTGTGTATATCTTAACGTAATATTTACAGTTGAAAATAGACTTGGGGGAGGGGGGGGGGGCAAAGGGTAGAGCGTGGAGGAGTTTGTATGCTGTCGATGGTAGCCGCGGTGGCGGCCATGTCTTATAGGACTCTTCTCTCCTCGACGCCATCGACCCTCACAATATATTACCTTTCCATAGACCTGGTGGCCGGCACTGAGCTCTCCACGAGGTCATGCCTCTCGATCGGTGAATTCTCCAACGTGTAATCCACCGGGTAGCCCTCCGAATAGGTCGGAGTGGCCTCGCCTTGCTGTCTCAGTCTCAGCTCGCCCGATCTCTCCTGATAGAAGCTCTGCGACGCCTCGATATTCGGCGAGGATGACTGCTCCGTCTTGTCCAGCTCGTCCGTGGAGTAGTAACTTTGGCTCGCCTCACTCTCGGGTCTGGGATCGTAATAACTGGGCGAGATGCTGTGACTGGTGTAGTTCGGCGTCTCTTCGGCCGGTGCGAAGTAGCTCTGGCTCACCTCCTGCGGATTGCCCTCGTAGTAGCCAGGCGTCACCTCCTCGTGCGGGTCGCTTCCCTCCAGCCGGGAGTTCGCGTCTTGGTCGACGGACTCGTAGTAACTCGCCGTCACTTCCTGGTGATGGGCGTAATAGCTGGACGGCTCGTTCCTGTGATCGGTGCTCTCGGTGACGAAGTTCTGTGAACAGGTCTCGTCCAAACCAGGCATCGAAATTGGCTCATATGACGTAGATACGTTCTGCTCGACTATCACCTGATCCTCATAACTGGACGTCGGTCCGGAATCCACGTGAGTCGACGTGATATCTGGATTCAGATTGTACGACGAGGTGGGTATCTCCGGCACGCCGTTGTCATGTATGTTACTGTGTTCTGCACTGACTGATGTGTCCGGTATCACGCTGGACGAGGCGATGTTGAGCTCTTCGCACGGTGGTATCTCATACGACGAAGTGCTAATCGCGCTCTCCTGATCCTCCTGGTCTCTCTCCTGGTTCTCAGGAGTCTCCGGCACATAGGACGAGCTCGCGGTCTCGTCCTCGTTCAGTCCAGAATTGTTCGTCGACACGGACGACGTGCCGATACCGTCGACGCCGATGTCGTTCGACTGCGACGGCACGTTGCCCTCCTGACTGATTTCTGCGTCAGTCTCCAAGTTTTCCGGCGCGTTCTCACCCTTGTCGACTTCGTAGCTCTGCGTGGGAAAGCTCTGGTCGTCGACCGTCTCGTCGGCGCTCGGACGATCCTCCTGGCTCTGCATGATCTCGTTGAACGATTGCGTCGGTGCGTTCACATTCGCCTCCGCCGACGTCTCGTACGACTGCGACGCTTCGTTGACTTTCGAGTGTTCGAATGATTGAGTCGGCGGCTCCGCCACGACGGCTTCCTCCTCATCTGTTTCCATCGGCTCATACGTGATGATGCTCGATTGAGTGGCCTCGGCCGTGCTTTCAGAGCTCTTGGCGGCCGACTGACTAGGTAGATCCGCGGAGTCGCTGGTTACCGACGCCGAGCTGAACTGCTCGTACTGCGACTGCGTCGGCGTTTCTTGACTAACAGCCTCCGTACCCGTCTCCTCCTCGAAGTGCAGCTTCACGTTCTCGTGTAGACGACGCGCGGACGACGTCTCCTCCTGCGACGATGGTTCGTCCCTCTGACAGTCCGCCGGACGCGTGGTTGTGCTACTACCGGCGTAAAGCTCTCCCCCCGACTGCACCGCTTCTTCGTCCACCTCCATCGCTGTGTCGTTGGACGGATTCAGCGACTCGGCTGGTAGAACTTGCGGAGTCGTCTCCACCTCGTTCGATGTAGCCACTACCTGCTAATCGTTAAATCAACTTTATCTACGTCAAATCTGGTTAAAACGTTAGCAGTGCTTTGACTGGTCCATCTCGTGCGAGTTGGCAGTGCTCTTCTTCATTGACGTTCACTTGAGTGGACCACCTCAAGGACTTACCTGTTCCATAGGTTCCACCCTGGAAGTAGACTCGGATGTCACTAGGGTCTCGTCTATCATCGGCGAGCAACCGGTCGTCATCGATGGGTCGCTCTCTTTATCCGCCGCTTCCGCCTCCTGTGTCACTTCCATCGCGCTCGAGGAAGAAGCGCCGACCTCTTTGACCGGCTGCTGCAGAATCAGTTCCTCGGACGTGATGGGAACTTCGTGCGACGAGTAGACTTCCTGCACCGTCATCGTCTGCTCAGTGTCTAAGCTCTTGGACTCGTTGGTCGATACAATCGACTTCTGCGGGGAAGACGCCGGCACCTGGTGCGAAGAGACGATCATCTCCGATGTTACCGTGATGTCCTGCGACTGCGCGCTCTCCACGGAGACCGGTGCTTTCGAGACCAACATCTCCGAGACCGGCACGTCCACGAATGTCTGGTCGGCGACGATCGATGTGCCGGCGAACTGGCTGTTGTCGGTTGTATATGTGTCGTCGATGATCGGCATCGACGGGGTTGTCTGCACCTGTGAGCTCTCCAAGACGATGCTGTTCGGCATCGTGACCGAGTACGAGGCGGACGGTAACGCGATTTCGGTGTTCCGCGTCTCTGCGGCCGCCGCTACCGCGATGTTGTCCTCCAGATTGGGGATCACCAGATACTGGGTGCTCACAGAGATATCCTCCGTGCGGTCTATCTCCGCACTACCACCCACCGGGCTCTCCATGATCTCTCCGATATCCGGCATCGAGTTGCCGGGGATCTGTATCTGCGCCTCATTCGCTGATATATAAGAGATGTTGGGGTTCGTGATGGTGATCGGTAACTCAAGGGAGGACGGTATCGTGGAGACCACCGTCGACGACGTGGGGGTCGAGTCCGACTGGATGGGCAAGTTGCTCGGTACTTCGAGAGGAGTCATGATCGGCTGGTTCAACGTCAACGAGGTCTCGAGCACCGACGGCGAGGATATCGGCTGCGTAGGTGGTATAATCGTCGATTGCAGAATAGTTTGATTGATGAGGCTCGCCTGAGTGAGACCGGTGGTCATGACGCTGCCCGTTTGGTTCTCCGGTAGACTGATCTCCTGCTGGAAGTCGGTGTTGGCGAGTGCAGCTGCGAGGATGTCTTGGTTGGACGTCTGAATCACCTCCGACGCCGGGAAGCTCTCCGATATGATCGTCTGACTAGGTTCCGTCGTCGCGTTGGTTTGAATGTTCGGCAAGATACCGTTGTCGAATTGGAGAACGATGTTGTCCAAGGTGCCAGTCTCTCCCAACGAGCTAGGGTCTATGTACAGAGTCCTCGTGCCGTCTTGGTTCTGCGTGGTTCCTTCCAACGACATTAAAGTATTGTTATCCAAAGGCTGTATCTGCCCTTGCTCGTCGATCGTCACCAAGACGTAGGTTTGTGTGCCGTCGCTGCTTTCCGTCGGCAAAGCCATGATCTGCGGTTGCGCGGCGACTTTCGGCTCCTCCGTTTTGTCGGTCGCATCGACGTTTTTCTCGGTTTGCAGTTTCTCGAGCTTGCCTGGCTCCTTCTGACCAGCGTCGACGTGCTGCGGCGGCTCCGTCTTCACCTTCTTCTCCGTGTCGATCGACTCGAGCGACGGTAGAGTCAAGGTCGTGATGATACTCGTGTTCGTCGTAGCGGTACCTATCGAGTTCATGGCGACGTTCAGTAGATTCTTCTGCGACTTGCTCGAGGAATGGGACTTGCTTGATGCTTTCGTGGGAGTCGCTTGCTTCGACTGGACGACAGTCTTGGCGGTGATCGGCATCGGTGCCGAAGTCGCGGCGATCACTTGCTTCCCGTGGAGACCCTGCACCGTGGACACGACCGGCTCCTGCATCTTCTGCATCACGATCTTCTGCTGCGCCTTCGACTGGCGACTGGTGTTTCGCGGGATGATGACTTTCTGCATGTTCGCGGCAGTCTTCCCAGTTTTCGGCTGCACCTGCTGCGTCATCACAGCTACCGTCTGCTGCGCGCCACTCGGCGAGGCGATGCTCTGGATGGTAGCAGCCGGCTGCACCATCGTCTGTTTTATCTTCTTGCCATGGCTCATCTTCTGCGTGGCTGCGGCAGCAGCGACCGTGTTCTGCAGCACCAAGGTGCTGCTGCCCGGCGATTTCACCGTCGCCGACGCCCTCACTTGCGAAGACACAGACGATATCGGCACCTTGGGCGACTTCTGCAGTAACGGCTGCAACTGCATCTTGTGCTGCACCTGCTGATACTGCAGGGCCTTGTTGGCCTTGGTCGGACTCTTGGCGGCGATAGCCTTCACCTGCTGCCCGGTTATCGGCGTGAGGACGGTACCTTTGCTGCTCATGATGGCTTGCGTGTTCAGGATAGTCTTACCGGCGATGGTTTGAGTCACCGGAGTCAGAATCGCTTTCGTGCCGCTCAAGTTCTGCGGAGACAAGAGAGTCGCGCCCTTGGTAACGACTTTCGGGCCGATCAGGGTCTTCCCGCTTAAGGGCGAACCGCTGATCGGGGTGTAGATGTTCTTCGTGAGGATCCCCTGCGCCAATGTGCCGAGTAATGTAGTCTTGCCGGTGATCGGAGTGAGCACGGCCTTGGACGTGATGATGCCCTGTGTGTTGATGATCTTGTGACCAGCGCCGGCTAGTTTGGACGTCGTGGGCGAGCCAGTTACATCGGCCTTCGGTGCGAGGATCGTCTTGGAGGTGATTATACCACCCTGCGGGCTGATCGGGCACAACACTTGGCCTTTGCTCGTCACGATTCTCTGCACTTTGCCGCTCAGGGTCTTGGAGATGTTCAACGGCACCATCTTGGCCTGGCAAGACTGCGCGGACGTCAGTATGACAACCTTGCTGCCTTGTTGAACCACTTGAGCGTTGCCGGCAGTCTGTTTGCCGGTCGGAATAGCGATCTTCTGCGGAGTGCCGGCCTTACCCTGAACACTGTAGCGCAGTTGTTGTCCTCCCGCCGTTTGCACCACCACGTACTTCCCCGGGGTGGCGCCCTTCTGCGTCAAGAGCGGTGGCGTTGTATTGCTCGCAGGCTGAGCGGTCTGAAACTTCAAGCCCTTCACGCCACCGGTGAGCGGCGGCACCAGGGTCTTGACGCTCGTGATGGTCGGCCTCGCTTTCTTGTTCTTCAGTATCGCCGGCACGCCGCTCTTCTTCTTCGTCGAGGACGACACGGCCTCGCTCACGGTCTCGTTCGCGATCTTGAATTGCGCAGTCTGCGCGGTGGGCGACACGATTTGCGTGGTCGGGGTGAAAGACAGGGTAGCTGGTATCGAGCTAGACGCCGGGATAATAGAGGATATAACAACGGGCATTTGCTCGATGCTCTCTGGCGTGAGGACGTCATCGCTGAGGACGAACGGCATCGAGTTAATGTCCAGTTCTATGTCGGCGAGACTCTGCGAGCTCTGTTGCACGTATTTGTCCTGCGCCGCTGACACGTTCTGCTTTTCTTTCTGAGCTTCCAACAGCGCGTCAGTCTCCTCCGTCTTCAAGACCTGAAGCTTTTTCGTCAGGGATATGTGCGGACTCGAGCTCGACTTTACACTGCCCTTCGCCTTGCTGTTCGAAGGGAGAGTTTCTATCTTCATGATCTTGGCTTTAGGGCTGCTCTTCGAGTCTCCCTTCTTTGACACGTCCGAGTCAAGTTTGTGCTTCATTCCTTTCTGCGGTAGTTTGTCCAGCAGCTTCGTCTTCAATATTTGCATGGGTTCGGTCAAGGTTACATTTTCTATTATACGCGGCATCTCGCGTTTCTTCACCGGCACACTGATGTCGGACGGCGATAACGAAGATGTAGGCACAGGCACTTTCAGGATCTCTTCTTTCTTCACGTTCGGGATATTCTTCGGGGCCTGGCCTTCGGAAACGGCCGATTGGAGAGGTGGCTTGGTCACGATAAGGAACTCGCTAGTCGAGGTTCCGAGCTGATCACCAGCTCCGAATATGTTCTCCCTGATCTTGTTGTCGACTTCCAACTTCTCCTCGACGACCATTTCGACGTTCTCGAAGTTACTCACGACCGATATGTCGGACATCACGTTCGCATCGGCTTGAAAATTCTCGAGGACTCGTGCGTCTTTGTTCGGCTCATTGGCTTTTGGGCTTGATATGATTGTCATGGCGACATTCACATCGATTTCCTCGGCTTTCTTCTTGGTGGTCTTCTTCCCTTTCTTCGCCTTAGGCACTTCAAGTTCTTCGATCTTCTTCTTGTCCATGTGCAGAGTCTTCAGGAAAGCTTCTTGAAATGTATTTGCCGGTTTCGTGCCTTCGTCCACGAAATCCTTATCCTTCTTTCCCTTGACGCCCGTTTCCGGAGTGAATTTTCCTTTATATCTCGTTTGTATGGAAGACCTCTTGGGTGTCAGTGGCGGCTCGATCGTGGCTTTCATAGCGCTCTTCAGTGTGTCCTCCGTGTTGTTCGACTTCTCTGCCGAGAGCAACTTTTCCGGCGTGTTTAGCTCCGGCGCAACAATATCCTCCGTCTTTTGCGGTGCTTCTTCCACTTGTGCTTTCTCCTCTTTCTCATTCGATTTCTTGGGTTTCTTCGATTTCTCCGGCGACTCGACTTCGGAAGTCTTCGCGAGGACTTGCTCTTCATGCTCGATGTCCAAAGACTTCACGATCTCGTCGGTTATCTTGCCCATCGTTAATTTTATTTCCATCTCGTCTTCTTTGTTGATCTTTCCAATATCATTTTTCAACTCAGGCTGAGGCTGAGTCTCGCGAACTTGACTCTGAGGCTCCGGTTCCATCTTTGAATCGGACTCGATCTTGGACTCAGGTTCATTTTTAGATGCAGGTTCGATCTCGATTATAGGTTCAGTCTCGATCATCGGTTCAGACTCGATTTTCTGTTCAAGCTCGATTTTCGGTTCAGGCTCGATTTTCGGTTCAGGTTCAATTTTCGGTTCAGGCTCGGTCTTCGGTTCAGGCTGCACAGTTTTGTTACTCGGTACCATGTCTGTGTCGAAAAAATCGATTTGTGATAACTCAAACTTTTTGATCTGAGATTTTTTTGGTGGCAACATGTCCACGCTGGTTTTCGGGGAATCCTGCTGCGTTTCCAACTTATTTTCGACTGTCTGTACGACTGGTGATTTATCTTCATCTTTAACGTTCTCCTCAGTACTTTTCTTCTCTTCAACCAAATTTCCCTCCTTCGGTACATTCGATGGCTCGTCGACAGTTTTATCTACGTCGAGTTCTACTTTAGGCGTTTCGCTCGTAGCTTTCATCATCATTGACATTTCTACATCTTCCAATGGTACGTCCGTGTCAACTTGTACAATGGCTGCTTCGTTCGATAGAGTGGAGATTTCATCGACTGCAGGTTTCTCAAGCGACTCTTCAGGTTCATCGCGTTTTATCTCTTCAGATTTTTCCTCGGATTTTTCAGCGAGCGGGCTCTCCTTAGAAACGTTGCTCTCAAGTGTCTCAGGTTTCGTGTCGATCGACAAGAGATTAATGCTATTTTCGGTTATGGTTGGCGTTTGATCAGCTATCTCTATTTCTTGTTTATTCATTTGGGTGACGAGCTCGGTAGTCCTGCTCTCGACGCCTCTGAAACGCCTGCCTCTTCTGGATTTGCTCGTGATTCTCTCGGAAACCTTGTCGTCGCTTTCCGACTGACTCTCGTCGGTTTTGATTGCTTTATAGTCGGGATCTTGAACGTAAATGTTGGACTCCAAGTATTTCTTGTTCGGCTTACGCTTTCTGCCGCTGTATGAGCGATCTGTGTCAGAGTCAGAAGTCTTTCGCTCGATCTCGATCTTCTCACTGGTGCGGAATCGCTTGTTGCTTCTACCGTCCCTCACCTTTGGACTTTTGTCTACGCTGCCGCCTCTATTAGTTGACTTCGCGTTCTTGCGAGGTCGTCCCCTTCCCCGTTTGATTATCGTCTGATCTATACGGCTTCCCGAAAGGCTGTCGTCGGCACTTTGATCTCGATCCATGTCGATATCCGAATTTTCGCTCTGCTCAGGTATAGTCTCCGCGGATTCGGACACGGTCTCATCCTCAGTTTCCGTGGTAAAACGTTCCGATAGGGTATCGTCAGCCTCCTTTATGGATACATCCTCAGTAGGTTCCGCGATCACGTTTTCCGAATCGGTCTTTTCCGGCTGAAAGGACAAGTCGTCGTTAGCTGTAGTCGCATCCATAGATGTATCGTCTTTCTTCTCAGGAGCTTCGTCGACCTTATCTGATACTTCAGACACGGTAGACTTAGTTAGCTTTTCAATATTCTTCTTAGTACTCGGAGAATGATCGTTCTGATCGTTTTCTGTTTCAACGTCATGTATTTCTGTAACTTTCGCCTCGATTCGAAATTCGATAGTGCTAACATTGGGCTTTCGCTGATCGTTCTCATCCAACGGTGGAACCTTCTTCTCTATTTTATCTTCTGCTTGCTTGACCTCCGTTTTATCCTGTACATCTTCGTCGGGTTTTTCAATTGCTTTGGTTTCTTTTTTCTCCGGTAGAGGCTGGCTACCTTGTATTATTGCTATTATTTCGTCATTATTTAATTCCATGTTGCCACGGAGACTGGGTACCTTTTCAACGTCTTTCTTTTTTACTTCATTTTTCAGAGCTTGACTCATTTCGAACTCCTTGATAATCTCCTTCTTCAAGGATAAACTTTTTTCGCCAAACACTCGGGGAATTTTTCGTACGGGCAGAGACGGTTCGTTCAAGTCGTCTTCGTCAAAATCGAAGCACGATAGTCTTGACTTTTTGTCATCTTTACCGGATAAATTTTTATTGTCACTGTCGGAAGTCAAAGTATCCTTTTTTGGAGACTTGTTGACCACTTCGTTGGACGCCGTACCAATCTTGAGGTCCTTCTCAGAATCGAATTTCTTGTCGAAACTACTCAATCGCAGACTCGTTGAGGCGTGCAGTTTGTCGAATGGCTCCCGTGTCATGTGCATCGACGATAATTCTTCAGTTTCCTTAAGTAATTTCTCAGTCTCCGCTATAATTTCGTTATTGTCCGTTGTAGTGTCGCTCTCCTCGTTAAATTCTGGACTAATGTGGATGCTCGACTGATCCTTTGTGGGCGAACTGCTGCTGGTTAAACTGCTGTTCAGAGAGTTATTTACACTAACAGTTAATTCTTCGTCTGATTCATCGTCCCAATCGGCCAATAACTTCTCGCGCAATTCCGGATCAGTCTTCTTTTTCTTACTGGCCTTTTCGTTCTGCTTGACGTGCTTTCGTTTGCGTGGTTCAACTTCGTTGTCGTTCTTCTTACTCGACTGACTCTTGTCCTTCCTGACATACTTGCGTTTCGGTGTACTCGTGTCGGATATTCTACTGTGCGATTGAGAATACGTTTTAACCTTCGATCGCGGTGATGGTGAGCCGCCAGATCGGTGAATCTTCAAGTGACAGATGATAACGTTAACACGCGAAGAAGTAAAGCCACAAACGTGACAAGGATATTGCGGAGAACCTGTACTAGTCGGAGTCGACGGTAAATTGCTGGGTTGCTGGCGAATGCGAACTTCGTGATCGCTCTCTCCTCGTAAGAAGCGCGGATGTGTGATCTTCTTCATAATATCCGAGCCTTCACTTCGCCTATTCATGTCGTCGCGATCGCGTTTCTTCTTCGGGATCTTCTTCTCGCCGAACAAACCGGAGATGTCTGGTTTCTCCTCTGGGCAGAATTTCTCCTGATTCAATATATCGGGGTCTCCGCCCGTTAATTTTTCCGCCATCTCTACATCGCCCGGAAATTTGTCCATGTAACTAGCGCCGTCCTTACTCTTACTCCTATATTTATCTATTGGGTAACATAAAACAAAAATTAATCCACCTTAAGCCTCGTTAAGGAAATATCTTTCTTTGTGGGGTTAAGTATTTAAAAAAATTACTTACCTAAACCTTTTCTGATAAAATCATCTTTGAGTGTGCAATTGTATTTGTAGATCTGCTGGTAATTTTTCACATATTCGCTGAAAGATTATTGAAATTATCATTATAAATAATTGAGTATAAATACTTAGAAATCTTACGTAATAGAGTTGACATTTCTTAACTTACTAGGTATCTTCTTGAAAAAACTTTACAGCAGCAATCAACGGTTTTTTCTGCAATTCGGCCTGTATGTCTTCTGGCAAATTATGAAATCCAGTAACTTGTCCAGGCCACCAACACGCTCCCAGTTTAACCCAGACTACATCTCCATCTAAGTAGTTGATTTCTGTTTGCTCACACATCTTGGCAAAGTTCGGATTCGATCCAATTTTTTTATAAAATCAACATTGGTGGATATCAAGGGATTTCTCTTAAGTCTACTCTTAGAGAAATATCAGCAGTATCAATAAAGATTATTTCCTGATACAATATTGGAGATACGGCTATATAACAAAGAATATTTTTAGAAGTTACACTATGTGGTCTTGGCAAAGATTTAAGATATTTCACATAATTCGTATGTAGAAGGGTTATCTTCACAATTACATACAGATATGTGTATGTAAACAAATGTAGAATCGCAACACTAGATGGCACGATAGCATATATGAATCCTGCTATTATTACTAACGGTTCCCTTTGCTTCGGTAACTTATTACTCTTGTGCTACTAAAATTGTCAAATATATTATACAAGCGTATCTCTATAAGCTACATCCATATGAATCATCAGTCAGCGCACAATCCCTAGATACATGTCACCATCAAGAGTGTTATTGCACATTTATCAGAACCTTTCTCAGTGTCTGTGAAACACGTCGTCGCAACTGGCTCTCAAGCGAGTCTCCCTCCGGAATCCCGAGCATACTCTGTCACAACAACCATGAGAAAATTAGTAGTTTAAAGAGCGGTGGTAATTTCAACGACGTAATTGGCGGCGGGAGTAGCTCCAAAATGTATTCACGAGACAGCAGGTACACAATTGGCTGCGAGATCTAACTGCTTCGATGCTGACGTCGTTGATACCAGTTACGTCGGGCATTTTAGCTCACGTAGGATCGCATAGAGAACCGTTTTCGCAGTTTTCGTGCAACTTTCAATGCACCTCCAACGTGCACCTTCTCAGATCCGCTCCGGATGGACCCGGCTGATGGAGTCTCGTGCGACGATACGGTGTGCGTATATACGTACGAATACATGTGCACACGTATATATATATGGCGCGTAAGGAACCAGCGAGCGTCCCAGGAACGTGAAAGATGGAAAGCGCGAGCGCGAGCATGAACGCGCGCGCGCGCGCGCGCTCTGTCCCTCTCTCTCTCTCTCTCTCTGCCTATCTCTATCCCTCTCTTTCCTTCCCTCTTATGTCTCTCTTTCTCTCTCTCTCTCTCTCCCTTCGCTACGCCTGTCCTTATCACTCGCTTTGTCCGTCTCTCTCACTTTCACACTATCACTCACTCTCTCGCTCTCTTTCGCGGCTACTCGCTTCGTTTCTAGCCCGCCTTAGAGCGCACCACCAGGAGGCCGCCAAGAACGCCTCGACCACTGCGCGATTTCGCGCGCGTACTATCGCCAAGCAGAAACACAAACCCGTGAATCGAGCCGAGACAAGTTGAGGCACGCTGAGCCAAGCCGAGCCGAGTTGGGCCAAACACCGCGACACACTTTGAGAAACACGCTACGTCGCTCGTATAGCACATACGTACATGTTCGGTTACCCGACGTGCAACGGGGCACCGCACAGTGTATGGATGGATGGATGGATGTGTAGACCTCTCTGTCTCGGTACTTCGTGTTGCCATATTCCGGCGGCAGGACTGCCAACGGACGCGACTGTATGCGGCGCGCGCGCGCGCGCTCGCCTCACTCATCCGACTTTTTACATCGCGATGCGACCGGACTCTCTCGCCGGAATAATTCGAAGCGTCCGGGAAGTCTCTCGTTTGAACGAGCGAGAAATATGGAAAATATGCGGATTAATCGCCAGGTAAGCGCGTCGATTCGTACAGAGATTTTCATTGGCCGACGTCCGCTGCAACGATTGGCTCGCCGCGGCTCTCCGTTCATTTCACTTGCACTTTCCGCGCACTTTTACAATCTCTCCTCGCCGTCTCTTGTGTGCTTGCGCTCGAAATCTAAATATTCGCGTATATTCAATTTTTAATGTAGCTTTTTTTAGCAATTAAGAAAGTACAAGTCAGACCAGACAACGGTTCGGTCGCAAGGCAATAAGTCGCGCGTGCGTTGTATCCCCGTGCTCGTTCGAAATCGAGGCACGCGCGGGTCTTGAAGTAGAATGGAATTTTTGGAAAGTAGGGGAACAGAGAAAGAAATGATAGTGTCGACGAGAAGCACGTCGGTTCTCGTGAGATCAGGGACAGAGAGGTAAGTGCGTTTGTTAACCTTCGCGCCATATTTTCGTGCCCGCGACATTTTAAATTTTACGCAAAAACTACCTCACCTGTGAGATCGTTAAAACCAGCAAATTTATGATGTAAATTATGATTCTATACATTATGGATCCTTGGATGACCAAATGGATCTTCCTGTGATCTCTCAACAATACACATTCAACGAGGTCATCCACTTTCCGTGAGTATCGATATTCGTGTCGATAATCGGTGGCGTCATAAAACTTGACCGCCTTTTCTCTCGATAGAAAGACCTATGATTTTCGTCCACGATTTCCTTCATCTCCCATTGCGTTTCTGCATGTGACGCTTTTTTCGTTACGGAAGCCGGCTTCCATATATTTCTTTTATCTCGCGCGGTGATAACGACGTGTCGTTAATTTTCTCGTTGCAATGGCGCGAAATCGCATCATCGCGCTGCAGTTGGCACGTCTGTGTCGCCAGGCGAGCCGTGAAGTAGACACTGGCCGCCGCGACGCGGCGCTGAGCTCATGCGCTGCTTACTTCCGGTGTGTACGCCGTTGTCGTCGTCGAACGGCGTCGTTCAATTTTTTTTTGGCGTGCGCTCTGTTTTCCGGTCGCATGCGCTGTTACGCACTCCGACGCCGACTTCGACATCGACAAGCTCGTCATTATCGTGAAATTCGACGCGATTGGCTACATTCGACACGCCGCTGCTGATTTTTTTTTTTTCGGATCATTCGTGACTTGCAATCAGACCGGAAGTATCGGTCGTCGTCGTCGTCGTTATATTAGTGTCAACGTGCTCTCTCTGTACCGTCAGACGGAAAAATGGCGACCGCTGTGCCATCGCGATTCGCCGTCCTTAGTATCGAGGACGACGATTACAAGCCGAAGAAGACACAGAAGAGCGCGACCGCGAGTAAGACGAACGCAAAGAGCAAAAATGACAAGTCGAAGCAGCAGCAGCAGCAGCAGCAGCAGCAACAGCCGCAGCAGCAACAGCAGCAGCAGCAGCAACATGCAAACAAGAAGAAACAGAACAAGGTACGGCGTCCATTACTGTATTTTTTGTTTTCGATCAGCCGGCGGAACGTCACGAGTCGGATACGAATGTTGCGGCGGGAAACCAGGACGTTTCAAATTTTTCTTGTCCACATTGTTGATACGATGTAATTGTGTATCTTTATTTTTCTGTTCTTTCAGGGAAAGAAGAAGAAAACAAATAGTGACGATCAGCAGTGGGAACAGTGGAAACAAAAGGATACAATGGTAAAAATCTGATAAATTGAATATTGTTTGGGATTATGTAAAGTTTTCCTGTAAACTATTTTTGTCAATTTAATTGTGAATATTTCGAATGTTTCAATTAATGAAATGTTTTATGCCCTTTTAAGAAACATTATTCCGAATACTTGTGGGTGTACTACAAAGTTTATTATAAGATGATAAACATATTCTGTGTGTCAAGTAACATTTTAAAGATCTATGAAGATAGATGTTAAATTTAAGGTTTTGTTTCAGTATATATAGAATGTTCAGTACCCAATGTCTATGTCTTTTGTGTTATCACATAAAACGCTAATGCGTCCGTGATTCCCCTAAGGCTATCGAGGAAACATTTGAGCAAGAATTACATCAAGCTATTTTGCTGTCAAAGTTGGCTTACGAAGAGGAATTAGTCAGTGCGGCAAAGACGGAGAAAGAACAGGAACAGAATAAGAAGTCTGGTAAAAAGTCAAAGAAGGCAACTATGTCCCTAGAAGAATTTAATAGCATCCTGTCAAAACATAAAGCACCTCATAGCACAGGAACAAACACAACACCAGTAGTAGTATTAACAACTGATCCTGTAGATAATAAATCAAAAGGTATAGTTTAAATAAATTTGAAACATATGGAAGCATTTAATAAGCTTTTTCCTGAGTATATGTTCATAGTAAAAAAAGGTCTATTATTCTATTGATAAGTATTTTGACTTTTGCAGAAGTAGATGCAGAGTTCTTTGACAGGGTGGAGAAGGAAACAAAAGAAGAGATAACAAAGGGCAAAGAGAAGGATATGTTGAAAGCAAGATTAAATAAAATTGATGACGACATAACGTCCGTGCAATTAAGAGTAGAGATTGAGAAACGAGACGAGATAATCAGCCAATTGAGAACAGAGGTGCATACGCTAAAGGAAGAGTTAACACAAGTCAAAGAGAGGAATAAAAAGCTTTATCAGATTTTATCACATGGCGAAAGTAAGTATCACGAGGGACAAACGCTCATAACGCAAATATATGTATAAATTTACTATTTACAATCACATTTTAGTGAAGGATAAAGCATCGGTATTGGCTGAGGTTGCAAAATTGCAAGAAATCCGTGATGAACTAACATCCGAAGTAGCTTCGTTGCATGCTCAGTTAGAACAAGAAAGATCTAAAACACGTACCTGTAGTGCAGACGTGAAGACATCTAAACAAACTGTAAGAGTAATTCCGAGTTTTGTTGGAATAATTTCTCTTAAATATATTGAATGATTTTACATTAATCGTATATTGCGTCTTTCAGAATAAAAAAAGGCCGGCCAGTGAAAATGCCTAATTCGCTTATTCGCGAAGGACTGTACTATTGTGATCTATTAATCTTAATAACACTGAAGAAACAGCAGTCTGAGAAGAACGAATATCTCGATTGTGAAACGAAATTTCGATCTCTTATAACATATTTTGTACTTGCTTGTTAAGTGTAGGTTTAAGAAATACTGGTCGTGGTACCAGTTTTTATCAATTATGTGCATTAGCATGTATATAATTTTCCATTTTTTTTTTAATTTTACAAATGCAGTTTTGAAAACGAACACAATGTATTTTATCTTTCTTGGTTTACCTTTTTTTTAATAAGTTGGATGATTTTGTTGGGAACTTAGCGGAATATTAACTACGTTGTGAAACAAAAACTTCCGAAATGATATTTACGAAAAGTTCTTCCAAAAAGGGCGGATTTCACAATATGCATCGTACCATCTTCCGAATTACGTACCAACATACATTCGTAAACAAAAAATATGTATACTTAAAGAATTATATATATATATATATAATTTAAAATATTTTGTAATAAACATATTCTGCACAATTCCGTTGATTATTGATCGCTTATTTGCTCCTTTCATGTTTACTGTTCATGACATTAATACGTAATTATGTGATTTAATCAACAGGTCTCACGTAATCCAATTAATGAAAAAAAATTAATTAGTTAATTCTGCAGAATTCATCACTGCCGCATCTCTTTATCCGATCGTGTCCGTCTGATTACATGTCCAACCGCGATGATTAATTTTCTAATCCGTATACACACACACGGTATGTGTGTGTGTATTTTTTTCTGTTTAAATATCATCGAGATATATTTTCATTTCGATACAGTTCAATTCAGACGAAAGGCTCGCACGAAAAACGATAACGCATACGGAAATGCAATTTTTATTAACGAGCGTGATGCGATTTGTAGTTAATACCGTGATTACCGAATTCAGTTGATTTTATTCCCGCTCTACGATCATCATCATCTCTATCTGCCAATTTTCAGTCCTTTCAACGATTCCCATTGGACACCACCTACCTACGCCCATTCGCGCGATACTAAGCTTCATCCGGATTATACGTGCGGGTGCGCATTTTTATGGAAATTTTTTTGTCCGCTTTTTCTGCCTCGAGTTATTCCACGTGAATTTTTTTTCCACAGCCCGCTCCCGGCGACTTCAACATGCAGTTCGATACGTTACACCTCACGTTCCGATTCTTCCTTGCCTTTTTCTCTTTTTTACACGGCTTTGCTCCGTTCGTTCCCCCGTTGCGTGCGCGTGAAAAAAAGAGGATTTCGCGTATCTCGCGGTGGCTTTGGATACAAAAAATTATGCTACGTACAGGAAAAGCAAAAAGAGCTATTGTGTCTTAGCCCTGAACGAACAACGCGAGAAACACACACGGATCTCATATTAAAAAAAGAAATGAAAACGCCCGCGCGATGGTGAACGATTCATGAAGTGTAAACCGCGTGATATTTAATTCGGGTCCCTCGCTTTTTCAAACGCAAAAGCACCTGTATCACGGCTCGGCGAGTGTCGCGAATTCGTGTGAACTTAATTCAGAAGCAACGGATCGTCGGGTTTTACTCGCGCCGTTTAACGGTGTCAATCGCGAAAGTCGCGACGGCTGCGTCGCGTCGGGACGAGCGGCGCTTAATACGACGGTTTAATTTCGTCCGGAGATTGACGTGTGCCGTACGACCCAGGCAGGCATCTACTCATCTTCTGACTGAGATCTTGACCAATAAAAGGGGCATTAGCGCTAAGTGGACGCCTCGCCTACTCGGTCATAGTCCTGTTTGCCACGAGAGCGTAGGGTGGAAAGTACAAGGGGCGCGTTTAGCGACAGATATAACTGCCGCTTCATTTTCGGCTGTCCCGACGCGTCGCGTTCCCGAAAATTACATCATCGTGTCGCTTTCACATTCTTCTCCCTTTCGGACATGTTACTTTTCTTTCATTCACATTCGCGAGAGTCCGGAATTTTGCAATTACCAGCGCGATCCATCGGTCGCCCGACGATCTCGACAAGATCGTTGGACGCATTTTGGAAGATCCACGGTGACGATTACATCGAAAGATCCATTTCCTTCCACGATTATCGCCCCGCGATCGCCTCGACGGGAGGAGGGAGTAATCCCGCGGCGCGCTTTGACTCCTGCGGCCATAGGACGTTGTTTTTCGGGATGAAACGCGACTTTCTCGAGTCCATCGCTGCGGCAGGAGGGCGTACGAGCGTAGGCGGGTAGGAAGGTAGGTGAGAGAGTGTGCGAGAGGGGGGGGAGACGTCGAAAGGGAACACGGTAGATTGAGGGTTTTAGGACGCGCGGCGGTACAGGGGGTGACAGTGGGGATTCATTATCTGACAGTCTATTGTCATTCCTGCGGGCTGAGATTTCGCTCGGGCCGAGAGTACCGAGGCATTACTCGCTAGATACGTACATGTGTATATGCATATGTGTATGTATATATATATATATATATATATATCTATATGATGAAACACGATATTCCCTTTTCAAAAACACGTTTGAAAAGTCGCGGTTTTCAGTCGCGGCTGCGTTTTCTTTTACGGACGACGACGCGACGCGACGCGGCGCCGCTTTCGGCTTCGAATTTATCCGGCGTCGTCGAATTTATCCGTATTGGTTCCTTCGCGCGGCTCCGTCCGAAATATCCCTTCGAGAGCCTTGCCCTTTTAACGAATCGTCGATTCTTACAGAGTAAAACCACAACGGTATCGTCCGATCAGCGGCATTCTCGTCTTCTCAGCGTCGAGTCTGCCTGGAATTAAGAAGAACAAAATCTGACAAGCTTGTGTTCTGTCTTTTTTGCAGGGTTATTGCTCGCCGAGACGATAGCCGAAGGATTTGTCCGGGAAATTTTCGGACGGACCGCTTTTTTCGAATCTGGACTGTCGCCAGTCACGGGGATAATTACCGGAAGAAAACGCCGGTGAAAGGTAGGGAATCCCCCGAGCGACCGCTCGTAAAAGCTCCAGCTCTTTTATTTAACGAGGAGCTACACCGCGCGGTTTTACTCGCGGCCACGTGACGAGTCAATGTTAAAATAGAATAAAAAAGGATGAAAGAAAGAGAAACAAAAAAGATGGAGAATACACAATCGAGCGAGGACACTATTTATTGGATACGCGTATCTATACGAGCGCGTCGTCTCTCGGCGGAGGGCAGGGGGTGAGGAGGGAGGAGGAGGAGCAGCCAGTCGCGATGGAACTGAGTGAAAAGCGAACGGAAAATTAATTCGAACATTAGGCAGGAAAATTAAGGAGCTCGCGCCACGCGACGGGACGGGACGGGACGGGACGAGCCCCGTTGTCACGGTGTTATTCATCCCGTGTACCCGCGGTGTCATTAACGCTCTCCTGGCGAGAGAGGATGTGCCTCGTCGCGCGAAGTGCGTCTCGCCTGTTCCCTGTATCGCGCCGGGCGTGCGAAATTAAGACTAACGAGGAAAGTATTTCGGCGAGTCGCGAGCCTCGTTGAGCGTCCTCGCCGACGCCCGAGAGGGAAGATGGATATAAGTGGGAAGGGAGGGAGGGAGGGAGGGAGGGAGGGAGGAAGGGAAGAAGGAAGGAAGGAAGGAAGGAAGGAAGCGCAGGCAAGCAAGGACGAAGCGTCTCCGCCGTCGTCGGGATAATGAGATCGCGAGGAGAACGACTTCTCGGTCGCGACGATTCCTCCGCGATTCGATGGATCGGGACGATATCCGGAAGGATGAATCGTCAAATGAAACGTCACTCGCTCCTCCCGTCCATCCGCTTGGCTTCGTATAATCCGATACAATCGAGCGGAGGAGGATATACCGGGGGGATACCTCTCGCTCATTGTCCGTGAGTCTGAGTGTGTACCCGTGACAACGCTAAGATGTCAGACTCCACATTTGTTTTGCAAAAGCGACGCGAATTCGCGTCGTTATGCTAAACACACAGACACGCGATCAATGGCGGAGATCCTCGGCTACAAAGCCGCGAGGCAGGCTCTCGCGATAATAATAAACGCGCGAATGTCTTATTTTCGCTTCTCTCTCCTCCCGAAAATGCGGATTCTCGCGGCTTTGAGAATAAGTTCTCGTCCCGGCGGTGTTCGCGCGAGTCGCGCGCTCCGTCCGCGGCAGGTTATTCTCTTGAATTTTTTCGCGCGGCTCAACGACGGAACACGTTCCGCTTCTTCCACTTCTGTTTTCTTCTTCTTCTTCTTCTTCTTCTCGTTCTTCTTCTTCTTCTTCTTCTTCTTCTTCTTCTTCTTCTTTTTCGTCTCCTTTTCGCCCGCCGATTTTGCAGATGCGAGACGTCGCTCGATACAACCGGCGGCGCGGTGAATGCGTCTTCAGCAATTGTCCCGAATCGTCGGGCGATTAGAAGCCGCGTCACCGTATCTTGTTGTATACCTTTGAATGCGTAATATGTCACGAGTCAGATTACATCGCCAAGATCAAGTAGATTCAGCTACAATGTATCAGACGATCAGTCGCCCATCCATATTCAGCGCGCTGTTCGGCAAATTGTCCCGTAAGATATATTCCGCGATATCATCTCGCTCGATCCATCATTATCATAAGCTGCGTGGCCTTCCGAGCGCCGCGCGTGTTGACACCAAATTTCATCGCGCGCAGCTCTAGAGAGACAGAGAGAGAGAGAGAGAGAGAGAAGACAGATTCTCTCCCCGCCCTGATAAAAAATGTACGATATTATTACAATTACTTTCAATTATGATGATTTCGGGAACGATGTCAGTGCTGACACGGCATTACAGGGTATATCGTGATTTCTTCTCGCTTCTTCTCATCGCGCCCGATCCGAAGTTACTTTAAAATAAGTACTCGAATACCGTTCGCCGGTATTTCGAATGCCGTTCGCCAGCGTTATTTCACGTCGTACGCAATTCGGTGCGACACGGCGCATTCGACGCGAAGTTTCGTCACTCTTTCGTCTTCCACTCTCTCTCAATCCCTCCTCCCCCCCCGTTCTCTCTCTCTCTCTCTCTCTCTCTCTCTCTCTCTCTACGATTCCGCCTCGTTATAACTGTGAAAAAGCCCGAAAAGAGAAAGGGGAGGGACGAGGAGAGTCGCGTGATCTCGCTGCGCGAAATCGTACTCGCGACTTTGATTACCGCGCGAGAATTCGAGATCGCACAGTATTTTTACACGTCGAGGTCGCGCGATCGTCGTGTCGTTCGCACCCTTGCCCGCCACCGCCCGCCAGCGTCGACTTGCCCGTATGCGTGAATGTATGTGTGTACGCGCACGTGGAACGATTAAAGTTTTAGAAGTATCGATTCCACGGCGTTAGCGTTGACAGACAGAGCGAGGGATCGTCAAAGAGCATAATAATTACTGCGGCCCGCAGAGAAGAGGCTCAACCCTTTGTTCTATAGTCATTTTACGAAAAGGGGCCGTGTGCGCACGTGGGGGTTGCCGCCTCACCCCCGCCGGAGGGTAGTAGGATGAGAGAAGTCCGTGGGGACGGAAGGGGTCGTTCGCGGTTGGAGAGCATCCGTTTCAATCGCGCCATTATGTAATTGATCCGAGGCTTCCGTACAAACGCGAGATCGTCGTCATCGTTGTCGTCGTCGTCGTCGTCGTCGTCGTCGTCGTCATTGCTGCATTTCGCGAGAGGACCTTTCTTGCACGTTGAAAAGCGTTGCGGAGGAGATGCAGGCACGCTGCAGGCGTCTCGGGGTTATCTGAGAAACAAGAGAGCTCTCGTGTAAACCAATGAATAAAGAACCCTGTAGAATCTTTATGAGAAATGGTTTTCGGCTAAATTTTTTCAAAATTTGCTATATGATAGTTCTTGATATGTAGATTAGAAAAATGTCAGTGAGTCCAAAATTCGGTAATGAACAGTTTCCGAAATACAGCGGTTGTCAAAGTTGGGGTTTTCGTATATTTGCAGCATAGTCAGGAAATGTTGCTGTATATACATATATAGATCGGATGTATGTATGTGTGTATGTCTATGTGCAACGCACGCGTGTAAATAAATAAATATATACATACTTTAATAATACACATGACGTGTGATAACGTGACGCATACAGATTCGAAAATTTTCAAATTTGCAAATATACAAATTTGGAAACTTTCAAAATTTGCAGATATAGAAATTTGAAAACATGTAAATTTGAAAATCTACAAAACAGAAAATTAAAAAAAATTTTTAATTCACAAACTTGAAAATTTACAATTTTCGAAATAAAAATATAACGAAATAAAAATGGAAATAAAAGTTTTAATAAAATGCAAATATAAAAATTTAAAAACATGTAAATATACAAATTTGGAAATTTAGAAATATACAAATTTATAAAACTTATATATAAACTTATAAATATACAAATTTGGAATTATACTAATTGACAAATTTACAGACTAGAATAAATAAAAATTTCCAAATGTACAAATTAAAAATATGCAAAGTTAAGAAATTACGAATGTGCTAATATATAAATTCAAAAATATATAAATTTACATATGAATAATTTGTATATTTACAAATTTGTAAATTCCATGTTTTGCAAATTTTCAAACCTGCATATTTTCGAATTTGTAGATTTGAATATTCTTAATTTTATAAATTCTTCAGTTTGTAAATTTTCAATTCTGTAAATTTCTATTGTTTTATATTTCCAAATTTGTATGTTTGCAGATTTGTAAATTTTCAAATTTATAAATTTTCAGATTTATATATTTCAAATTCGTATATTTCAGATTTGCAAATTTTTAATTTTGTAAATTTGCAAATTTATATATTTTTAGATTTGAATATATGCAAATTTATAAATTTACGAATAGTCTCAAATTTGTATCATTCCAAACTTATATATTTTCGGATTTGTATATCTTTAAATTTGTATTTCTGCAAATTTATAATTTTCACATTTTTATTTCATATTTGCAAATTAAAAAATGTTCACAATCTATACGCGTGACGCCTTATAAGAATATACGTACCTATATCTATCTACAAATCTACGTGTACGCATGCGCATGCATACATACACACATACATCCGTGCATATGTGTGTATATATCACGTATGTTTTCTCATTATGCTGCATGATGTACAAAAACACCAACTTTGAGCCGCTGTAGCTAGGAAACTATTCATTACCAGATTTCGGCCTCATTGACACTTTTTATTTACATATCAAGAACTGTCATATAACAAATTTACAAAAAATGTAGCCGAAAGCCATTTCTCCTAAGAATCTGCAGGTTCCTTTGAGAAGGGACATGAATACAAGACATGTCTTTATCTTTTCAATAACTGGATTATTGCTTTTCGGACAACGGACTTCTGAAAATCTTCCTCATAGTCGAAAACGCATTCTCTTGCCGACGCGAGCGCGCTTGACTTTTTCGTCGCGGGCGGACGATGATGCCTTTTCCGCGGTGTGATTCTCTCTTCGTCACGCGTGCACGCGATTTTTCAGCGCGTCGGATCAGACGTCGACGGATTATAATTTTATGAAATCTGCGTGCGGGCGGCGTAACGGGGCGATCTTTTTGCGCGCTCGCGCTCGCGCGAAAACGAGGGATCGCGTTGCAGCCGGGATTGCGCGCGATCCGCGGATACCCGAATTCGCCGGAGAATCATAATTAACAGGGGCCGATGCGTGTAACGACGGACACAATTAGAAAATGGTATACACAGCGCGGATTCCTCCTGGCCCGCGCCGAGCCTCCCTGGCCCCCCCCCTTCCGCGATACGGCACGATTAACGGGCGCCCTCCATTATTCATTCTCGTTTATATATTCGTCGCGGCGCGGCCGACGCGACGGGGTGCGCGCGGTCCCCGAAAAGACAATCAAACGGGGATTATATCACCGATTCGCGAATTCGCCCTCTCCTCGTCGTCGTCCTCTTCCTCCTCCTCCTCCTCCTCTTCATGCTCACAGACGCGCGATGTACACCGACACATGCGGGCCGTGCGCGCGCGCGCGCGCGACGGTAGATATTTAATTAAAGTTGTTTGCGCGACCAAGTTCGGAAACTTCGGGGATAACTTACCGTCCGGGAAACAGCGCGAGGGGGACCATTTAATTGTCCGCGCATTAAATGCGTCCTTTGAGTTATGCTCGTCACCGTGTCACCGGAACTCGCTATCAGCCCGGTTGCGCGCGCGCGCGTCGTCGCGAAATTTATTATTATAATGCTCAGCGTCCGCAATTTTTCCTCTCTTCCCCTCTCTCCCTCTCCTCCCCCCTATCCAAGCTTTCCGCTCGCCTGCGAGTCGCAAGCGTCGTTCACGAGCAAATACCACGCGTAATATTTCGCGTGCGTGTGCTGCTTTCTCTCCTCGTGTTTTAGCAACCTCGTGTCTTTTATTTCGCGTTACTTCCGCGGGAATTTCCGGCAAGGACGCGCGCACGTGCGTGCGTGACTTTGACTCGCGAATCTCTCGTCCATATCACGGCCCCGCCGCGATATAATTGTCGCTATTTCCTTCCGACGCGACAGGACTGACCTTTTCCTCTCGAGAAGAGACAGGAAACCGAGACCGGCGGAGTAATATGGGGGTCAAGCAGATGCGGGGCGGAAGGATGGTAGAGGACAGAAGACGAGGTGAGAGGGAGAGGGGGTGAAGGAGAACGAGCGCAGAACGGCGTCCTGAGAAACGAGGGCCGCGCGAGGATCGCATAAACGTATTCGTGTCAAAAGCAGCTCCGGTCGAGACCCGGGTTATCCTCTGACCCCACTCTGTCATCTCGAACTTACTTCGCCTCCTTTCCGCGCCGCGGCCGCGGCTGTTATTTCATACGCACGATATCCTATATCTCCTCTCTCTCTCTCTCTCTCTCTCTCTCTCTCTCTCTCTCTCTCTCTCTCTCTCTCTCTAGCTCTCCCTCTAACTCAAGAGTTATCCGTTCAACTCCTGTTGCTTTTTCCTTCTGCCGCGCGAGGAGAAAAATCTCGATCACGCATCGTTCCAGAAGCAAATGGACCTCCACGCCGCGTTGCGGATTGATTCGATTTCCAAATTTTTGCGCGGAAAAGGACGTTAAAAAACCCTTCCAAGAACACAGGAGCGGAATAGCTCAGTTAACGATCAGTATATAATTTAGGCCTGCCAGTATCTTCCGACCGTAGACGGGAAAAAGATCGATAGAACGTTTTCTTTTAACAGCGGCATAATTGAGGTTGGATTTTCTTGATCACTCGAATTATGAGAAGCGTGCGTTGAGTGAGTGTAAAAGTTTCGACGGGCTTTTCGAAGACGTTTCGCGACTGATCGAATTTTACGGCGGAGTTTACAAATATATATGGATGCCGTCGGGAATATTTTGCACAAGATTACTCGACAGAGAGGGAACGAGTAAGTCGTATTTAATACAACTACTCGGTCCATATTTCTTTATCGCGAAACCCACCAGAACTTCCGCACGCGCCCGATATAACACATTAGTCGGATGGCAATAACCGCCATCGAATGAAGAAGATGTACATTTTCCAGCGAGGCGTCTCGCGATCTCTCGCGCGTCGCTCGCTACATTCCGCGCGAAATCGCGTAGCCTACATGTGTATTGAATACTTCACGGGATGGTATTGTAGGCGAGTTGCGTTCACGCGCGATGCTCTTTCGTTTATCACAGCCGCGCTTTATCTCTAGTAAAAAGAAGAAAGGGAGCAAAAAAAAATTCTTCGGTGCGATGCAACCTTTAAAACCTCAGTCGCGTATGCACCCCCGCGAATGCGCGCCGCGCGCTCGCACTTGAGAACGCGCCGCGGTAAAACTTCTGGCCGCTTGTACGATGCTGCTCGCGCTCGTCGGGACGCGCGAAAATCTCTGAAAGCCCGCGGTGGCGGCGGCGGCGACGGCGGCGGCGGCGGCGGCGGCGGCGGCGGCGGCGGCGGCGGCGGAGACGGTAGCGGATTATTGCGTTAACATTTCGTCGATTAGAGAGAAGAAAAAAGGACACGAGAGGAGAAAAGAGAAACACACCGACACCCTTCGTGTGTCATAATTATACTAAAAATCCTGTTCCCGGAAAATTCCTGATCCACTTCGTTACCGTACAGTGCGATATCGGCTTTCGCTTCGACTGCCCCCTCTCTATCATACGTACATAACGTATTGCATGTATTTGCTTCAGCTTGTGAGATAAGCCTTATCGCTAGTCTCTGACAAACAGACCGTGCAAAACAGCGACGACGAGTGCGTCTATAGCGGCGCTTTCGACGCGGTCTGGTTCGTTTTGTCGTTTTCGCGCGACAGGCGCGAGGTGCTCGCGACGATAAGTGCGTGTACTTGAGAAAACAGCGTGATCCGACGCGACCCCAGACGCAGGAGCATTGCATGCTGCTTATCGCGCATTTCGACATCGATCCAATTTCGCACCGACTGCTATCGTTCGACGCGTCCCGGGCGCTCCCGCGGTCGGCTAGAAAAATAATCACACAGAGAGCGACGCGCACAGCCCGGGCTCTCTAACTTTCATCTCACCAAGCTGAATGTACACTCATCCTGGCGGAAACGTAGAAAATGTAAAAGGAAAATGTAAACAGAAATAATAACGCGCGCGCGCGCGCGCGCCGAAAAAGAACGAGGCGGAGAAGGAGGGAGGAAAAGAGAGAACAGCCCCATTAAGCCGCTAAACGCGGTCGCACACGTGATCGTGCGGATTCTTCGAGAACACGTCGAGGTTGCTTCGGGCTTTCGCGCGGCATTCCCGCGCGCGCAAAACGGCCTCGCAGGATGCGTATCTGGCAACCTGCCGACAACGAGGACCCAATATGGGAACCGCGGCATGGCCGGAGGTGGCTTATGCCCGCTCTCGCGCGTCATGCGTGTGAGAGTGCGTGCGTACGTGCGTGCGTGCATGCATGCGTGTGTGCGTGCGTGCGTGCGTGCGTGCGTGCGTGCGTGCGTGCGTGGTGCGTGCGTGCGTGCGTGCGTGCGTGCGTGCGTGCGTGCGTGCGTGCGTGCGTGCGTGCGTGCGTGCGTGCGTGCGTGCGTGCGTGCGTGGCGTGCGTGCGTGGGTCGCGTTAAGTGTAGCATAGCTCTATGATTCTCACCCGGCACCCAGGCTCGTTCCATCCACCCAGTTTCCACCCCCGCGGCGCCTCCACCTCTCTTCAACGGCGTGCGCGTCCCCCCTCCCCGCCGGAGCAGTGGCAACCGACCGACGCCGCCGCCGCCGCCGCCGCCACCGCCGCCGCCGCCACCCACAGTCCCTAAACCGCCCCATGCCACCCCCCTGACACCGCACCACGTCGTCGCTGTCACCAGGCTGGCAGTCGCATCGTATCGCAAACAAAAGACGAGCGAGCGCGCGCCACTCATCGCTCGCGCTCGATGCGACAGCGAGTGACGTCCCCCAGCACCCTCTGCCTCACCCTTGCCGAGCCCACCGTGGCTCCGGCCACCCCCGTGCGCCCCCGAGCCGCCTGTACGAACGTCGCACGGTCTCGCTCTTTCTCTCCCCCTCCCCCGACCCTCTCTCTCTCTCTCTTTCTCCCTCAGCCTCTCTCTCTCTCTCTCTCGTTCTCTCCGGCCGTCTCCGTCCTCTTCCTCCTCGTCGCTCCAATTCTCACCCTTCTCTCCGACTCGGATACAGTTAGACGGAAGAGGAGAGACAGGCACGATCAGAAGGGCCGACAGAGACGGCGGGACTACTACTCTTCCATCCACTCTGCCTTCCATTCGGTCTCTGTTGTCACCCCCTCCTCACCTCCTCGTCGACGCCGCGCGTCGCTCTTCCTCTTCTCTTCTCTTCCGTGGCTCTACGATTCCTGCCTGTCCCTCAACCCCTCCTGGCCTACTCTTCAAGCCCGATTCTCGTGCTGCTTTCTCTCCTCTCTCTGTGCTCGCTCTCTCGCTCTCTCTCTCTCTCTCTCTCTTACGCGCGAACGCGAGCGTCTCTCCCGTCCCACCCCAGCCCCGTTTTCGCCCGGTTCCTTTACACCCCCTTCCTCCCAACGAAACCCAAACCATCCGCGACCACCACCATCGTCATAGTCACCCACACGCGGCCTCCAGGCAGGCGTACCGACAGAGCTATCTGTTGTTATCACCAGTTATTTGCATCCCTTCGTAGTCGGAGGGGCGGCCGCCACTCTCTCCACCGCCGCGCGAGAGAAGGACGAGGAGTAGGCGGCAGAGCGGTGGGCGCTGACGGGCGGGCGGGCGGGCAGGCGGGGGGAGGAGGGGGTTAGAAAGGGGGGCTTGAAATTCTCGGAAGCTTTACTTCCCAGGGAATATTACGCACCCCGCTGCGAGCTCTCGAGCGCGCGCGACTCGAGTGATTCCTCATCTCTCGCCCTTTTCCCTTAAACCGCCGCTCTCCACCTCCTCCTCGTCCTCCTCCTCCTCCTCCTCCTCCTCCTCCTACCTCCATCGCGCCTCATCCTCCTCGCGTTCTCTTCCTTCACCGCACCCCCCCGTCCTCCCTCATCGCGCTGCTCCACCTCGCGCGCCTCTTTCGCGCGCCCCGCGCGGAACGACAGATGCGCAACAACGGATAAATCTCGATTAAACGAACGCGCGGCCGCCAGCGTGCTCTCGCAGCGAGGAGGCCGCGATTTCGCGAGCCGCGCACCGCGAACTTCCCTCACGGCGTGGAAGAATGCGAGGGAGCTCGGGGAGCAGCGGAAGTCTCGCCGCGACGTGCGAGACCGACGAATCAGCCAGGCCTTCTCCATTCTCTGATACGAAGTCGCGGATTGCGGACTTGATTCGTCCATCAGACAGGATACGTGAAATATGTTAGGGAGTTTTTGCAATACCGCCTGTCAGATACGGTAAACGTATAGGATCGTGAATGCTATCGGTCGCGTATACATATACATTGCGACGTTATTTCTGAACGAATAACGTTCACGATCAGCGTTTATCGTATCTGAGAGACGGTATTGCAAAAATTCCCTATTTATTCGCGTTCACGCGAGAAAGCGCTGTTTTTCTCTAGAACGCTGAACGCTAAACTGGCGGAATGGCGGAAGACGAGTTTCGAGAGAGACGCGACGATTCGCGACGTAACGAAACGCGAAAGCAGCGGGCGACGACAACGATCGACCGAGATCGGTCGATCGCGACGCGGCTTCTCCGACCTCTTAACTCGCAGGAGGCGCCCGTTAAATACCGCTATCGCGTTATCAAGCGGTAGTATCAAGCGTCACCCTCGCGCAATCCGTACTACACTAAGCTCGGATTAATTCGCCGCGTTCGTCGAGCGGGATGAACAACGCTCGGGTTCCGGGGGTTGCGCGATGACGCGTTCTTGCGCCGCGGCGTCATCGAGAGCACCGGGCGCCGTTGTCCTCGATTTTCGCACGCTGCTGAGGGATGATACAGCGGAGGAGCAGGAGGAGAAGGAAAGCTAGGAACAGAGAGAGAGAGAGAGAGACAGAGAGAGAGAGAGAGAGAGAGAGAGAGACAAGGGGGAAGAGAGCTGCTGAGATCTGTCTGTAACCGCATTGTGCGAAGTACCTCGCCACAGGGAGAGGCGCGTTGTCGCTCTTGAATTTCGTCCATCGGGGGCGGAGGGGGGATGCAGCGTAAAGCTAGCGTCACACGATGCACGAATTTCGTGGTGCACGTTAGCTGTGCGCGGCTTAATTCGCTGTATTCTCATCTTCTCCTCCTTCTCCCGCTCCTCTTCTTCTTCTCTTTATCGTCGGCTAATCGCGTTAGTAAGATGCTAACTTTGTACATAGGCGTTTCATCCTCTCCAGTCGTGGTCTCTCAATGGACCGTATCGAGCAGGTGCCGCATGGGTCGTTATCGTGCATCAAACGCGGCAGGCTAGCGTGCATAATTTCGATGATTGCTACTGTGCAGTGTGCCGTGCTTGCTCCCTCGTATGTACCAATCAGCGTGTCCGACGCAATCACGTGCTCGAGTTTCACTCGAGTGTACGTTTAAATGTCATGTCGTGGTAGCGCGATCAACTCGCTTAACTTAAAGTGACATCATACTTTGTATGTTTACACGCCCCTTGGCACGCTGAAGCGGCCAATCTCCGTCACACTGAGTTGAATCTCAAGAATTAAAAAGTCATTCCGTCGAACGTTGATACTTCTTATCGCTGCGCGAGCTGCGGCTAATTAATGCTGCCAATCCCCTGTGAACGTCATCGCAGAATGAGTCCCGTGCGATGAATCGAGCGGCGTACGCGACGCGGCGGCCACAATGTACATCATGAGACATGAAAATTATGCACCGTGTGACGCTAGCTTAACGGAAGAGAAGAAGAGGCGAGACAGCAGAGAGACGAGCTAAAGAATCCCGCGATTTCGAGGAAGAAGCTCCAGAGAGAGAGAGAGAGAGAGAGAGAGAGAGAGAGAGAGAGAGAGAGAGAGAGAGAGAGAGAGAGGAGGGTCTGCAAGCACGCGAGCGGCGGGGCGGGGCGGGGAAGGGGAGTGATGGAGGATGAGCGAGGGTGGATGCCGAAGAAAGAGCACTGACGAATCGTCGGTGTTTAAAATTCCCGTGAGGCTTCGCGGTTTCGCGCTCTCCTCGTCGCGCGAGAGAAGGCGTCCGGTGTGTTGGCAGCTGCTGGCGGGGTACGGAGCCGGCAGAGATCGGGATTGCAGGGGGCGACCGGAAAGGTGGAGGCGGTGGCGGTGACGATGGCGGTGGCGGTGGTGGTGGAAGCGAGCGCTGGGAGAAGAAGGGTTGGCGCGCGGGTTCGGAGTCGACAGATTGCCGTGGGGACAAATAAGAGTGTATCCAGTCGCCGAACGCGACGAGGCGAATTTCGGGTAAATTGTTTCCCTCGCCCGGCCTCGCTGCCCCTCCCGCTCGCGCTCTCCAGCGCCCTCCCGCTCCCCCCTCTCTATCACTCTCTCTCTCTCTCTCTCTCGGTCCATCTAATCGCGCTACCTCTTTGGGTACTCGAGCGATCGCCCGGAGAAGAGACTCTCGGTGCTGAGAGTCGAATCGTCGATTGAAATTTAGGGTGCTCGCCCGCGCGGGACCGTCCACCCTTCTCCCTCCTTCTCCGTCGCCCTTCGTCCTGCCGTCTGTCCTCTCGGGAGCCAGAGATTTCGAGTCGTCGCGCTATGACCCGACCGCGAGCTTCATACACACTTGCATCTCATTGTCTCACCCTCCGATGTATCGGAGGAGCGGGAGGGGGACGAACGTGTAACGTCGCGGAAATGACAGAGAGATTCGAGACTCGAGAGAGGACAATTCGTCAAGTAACGAGATTTCTACACCACGAGTCACGTGATTTTCTTGCAAGCGCGTCGATGTAGCGCGCGAAGGAGAAAAAGAAACGAGAGACTCCGCGCGACGTGCGACGCGCCGCTCTCGGAGAGGCCGACGAGGAGAAACGAAATAATTAGTGTGCATAATGTTTCCCCCTTCTCGCCGAAGCGGAATTAACCGAGCAATCAATTTCGAAACGAGGCCTCGAGTCCCTCCCTCCCTCCCGCCTCGTCTCGCGAATCACAGCTCGCGATAATGCGCGTTGGCGTATACTTTTTAGGCGTGTACAGCGACTAATAAAAAGCGAATCGAGTATCGGAGGGGGTAAAAGTCGAGGCTCGGCCGCGTTTAACGGCACACGCGGGATGCGAGAGCACGGCAACTTTGAGAAATTCTTTACATAATTAATGAGCGGAACGTGTCGCGGGTGCGTGCACGGATTTACCCCGTCTTCGTCCCCGTTGGCTTTAGTCGGACGAGCGCGCGGAGGCGGGGGGGGAGGAGGTAGCAAAGAAGGAGGTAGATGCAGGCAGGCAGACGGTGACGGGGCGCCCCGACTTGGGGGCGCCGAGTGGAGCGAGTGCTTTCGCGCGTTGCTACCCCTCGCGGCGGACCAATTAGCATCGTTTCACGTACGGTGCGACGTAAGTGGTCATCCAGTCTCCGTGAAACGTGTCGGCCAAAGAGAGAGAGAGAGAGAGAGAGAGAGAGAGAGGGGGAGGTAGAAAAAGGGTGAGAGAAGAGCGCGGTGGCGGCTAGGCGCCGCAGGAAAAGTCCCGATTAATAATAAATGTACGCGTACGATAAACTTTCGGCGCATTATTTACTCCCCACTCTCTCCGGGCCTCCTCTCGCCCGTTCGCACGTTGCGTCAGAAAGGACCAATTACTCCGTTTTCCGGGGAAATACCCGGCAATCTCGCTGTCGCAGCGTTGTCGCAGGGTGTCCCTGCGACTTCTTTACGAATATGTGTCACGACGCTGTCACGCGTCGTGATCGCGGCAAGTGTCGTGAGACGCGATTAGCCTTGCGGTCGCGGGGATTGATTTGCCCTTTGTGGGGCCGGTTGTTCCAACCTCTTGTTAAGTTAACTGTTAGTCAAATCATATGTCTATCTTTGTTTTTCCTCCAATTTAGACAGAGATAGACATGTGACTTAATCATCAGTCAACTTACCAAGAAGTTGGAACAACCGGCCCATAGAAAAGCTTTTACTGGCTGTGATAAGTGAACCAGTGATAAATTAACGTCGCTTAATAATTTAGTGCTCTGAGTAATAAAAATTACTGAGTAACATAATAATTTACCACCGGCTAACTTATTGCAGCCAGTAATATTTTTCCACGAGGGGTTAATCGTTTCGGTGCTTCAGACCGAGCCTCGAGTCGTTCAAATTCGTGCGGTGCGCGAATATAATTTACGATTTATATATTCATTAGCTCGTGCCGTTGACTCTCTGTTAGCGATATATTTAATTCGTTGAATGAGATTGCGGGGAGAAAGGTTGCGTCTTAAATCAGTGAATCAGAGAGACGCGTCGAAAAGGTTGCAAGAAGCGTTCGAATTTTCGAGACAAAACCGCTTCGGGTAATCCATGGAGAATCCTCCAGCGCGAACATCCTCGATCCCGTTCTTTCGATCTTCAACGGATGGAACCGAACCAATGTGTATTATGTCGGCCGTGCTGCCCACGCGTGCACGCACGCACACACGCGCTCACGTACGCAGCTTTCCCGTCTATTGAAAAGCACATCGCTCATCGTGCGTTCCATGCACGGCTCTGCGAGCTTCGCCGCGTGCGTAATGCGCCGAGGTGAGGGAGAAAGAGAGAGAGAGAGAGAGAGAGAGAGAGAGAGGGAGAGAGAGAGAGAGAGAGAGAGACCACGATATCCTTTAAAATCTAAATTCAAGCAAGAGGGTTCGAGCGCGGCGCTATCGATCCCATTGCGATATTTCGAATTTCGATGCGCGCGAATGATCGATCCCTTTCCCGCGAACATCCGCTTCGTCCTCGTCGCGGCCGCGCGCAGGAGATCGGCGACTGATTTGGCTCACCGTGGATGATTCGTCGCGATGATAATCCGCGAATAATCCGCAAAACTTCGACTCGCGCAAGGGGGACTGCGCGAGTCTTAAACGACAGGTATCTTCTTAAAAGAAAAAAGGAAAGCCGAGACTGACGAGTCAGATTTATAAGATTTGCGAAGAGGAGCCTCCGTGAGTCCTACTCCGGGTGCTCATCGAGTGCGCCGAGTGTGCCTCTTTGATTTTCAAACTCGGGCAATGTTACGTAGACGCTAATACGAGGGGAATGAGATCGATACGGCATACTTGACGTTCGCGGTGCTTCCGAGACAGGACATCAAAAATCTGCTTCCGGTCCCCGCTAAATTTAGCCGCTCGAGCCGTGACGATTCAGCGGCGCTCGATCTTCGCTCAGCGGGACGCTGAGAGAGTACCTTGGCGAAGCGCGCAGCTACGCAGGTAGCGGGCTTTTTTTCCAACTCCATCCAGCGTCGGGAATCGATGTGCGGCGATCTGATCCCTTCGCGGCGATGTGCAAACACGTCCCGGATACATAGCCGCGTCGAAGAGACGCACCGCCACCGCCACCGCCGCCGCCGCCGCTGCCGCCGTCGCCGCCGCCGCCGGTGAAGAGAAGCGGAGGAGCGGGTGAACGCGGCGCATCTCGTGGGAGAAAGATTCTCCTTCGCCTATATCTGTTTTCCACTTTTTTCCCCGGCAGGGCTACCGCGAGAGAGCCAGCCTCGCCACCCCCGCGTCACTCGCCCCTTTTTAGTGCCGCCCTCCTCTTTCTCTATCTGCCTACCTTCCCGCCGCGCCGTCCTTCGCGCCGCGGACGCGAACGCGTTCCCCTACCCTCTCCCGCCCGTGCGCTCCGTCTTTGCCTCGAAATGTGGCATTCAACAGGGCTTCCACGCTGCTTGCGGTGGTGCGGAATCCGCGCCGGTTTGCCGCTACGCGCGCGGCCAGGCGGGGGTTGCATCGGGGAAATGATGCGCAGATTGGCCGGATCATCTCAAAAACCACCACCCTCCCGCCTCCTAACCCTCCTCCTCTTCGTCCTCCTCCTCCGCCGCCGGTTCTCTTCCTCTCTCTCCTCTTTCATCCCCCTCGCGCTCGTTTCGCTCTTCCTCGTCCCCCTCGCTCGCTCTCTCGCCCGCTCACTCGCGCGCGCGCGCGCGCGCGCCAGCGAGGGAAACTCGTAGCTTCTGCCTCCCTCGCGCGCGCGCGCGGCTCTTCCGCGGCAGCGCACCCCGTTTCTCTCGCGCCCTCGGTCGCCGACGGTCGCCAAGGGGTGGAATACAACCCCCACCGCCGCCGCCGCCGCCGCCACCGCCGCTGCCACCGCCGCCGCCGCCGCCGCCGCCGCCGCCGTCACTGCCGCCACCGCCACCGCCGCACCACCGCACACCACCGAACAACCATCCCGACTGCCACGGCCGTCGACGACGAGTGACTGAGTCCTCCGATTATTATCTCATTTGCCGGCACAGCCAGCAGCACGCGTCGCCGCCGCACGGCGCGCTCTTCCGAGCCCGTACCGGAGATCCATAGATCATCCGCTGCGCCGGCCGAGCGTCCCCGTCGGATCGTCCTATCCGAAGAGCGACCTCGAGACTTCGCCGAGTCCGTCGCGTGTGCAGGTGAGTAGTGTGATCACACGAGGGTGACCGCGACTTCTTCCGCGCGTGCCGGAAGGGAAGCGCGCGCGCGACCTTCCGCGGACACCACGCGGTCGTAGGGGGAACCGCGGGAACAGGGAGGGGGGCGAGAATCTTGTTCGCGGGTATCTTGTGGTGTATCTCTCTCTGCGTCTGTTTTCCTCTCTTTCGATGTTCTCGTCTGCACTTGAAGCTGTGGGTTCCCTTTTAACCGCTCTTGTTATCTCGGCAGGAGACGAGAAGGCCGCTTCCCTTGGATTTCACGGCGGAAAGTACTCGGGACTTGCGCGGGCTCGGGACCCTTTCTCTTCGCAAAGGATGCGCTCGGCCGGCGCATTTCGCGGCAATAGTTTCAAACTAAACGCGTCGTCCTTGGCGAATCGCGGCCTCGCTCGGACTTGGCGTTCTCCTCTCTTCGCGAAGTCCTTGCGGCGCGCATCCGCCGGCAACACGGCGTGCTTCTGCATCGCTCAGCCGGTCGTTTAATGCGCCGCTTGTTGTTAAACATACCCGTTATGCATGTTGCATCAGCATGATAATCGAAACGATCGACCGGCCGAACGTTTTGTTTTCTTTCTTGCGGAGTGCAGGAGCGAGGCGCGACTCACGATCGCGATGACGACGATCGTCACCCTCGCCGCGACCGTCGCGCTCGTTTATTAGCATTACACTTGCCGCAGGGCTGCGAGATCCCTTCGCCTTTCGCACGATGTCTTTATGTAGCCCCGTATGTAATATTATCCTATTCTTTCGGTCGACGGAAAGAACGAGACCTCTTCTTTTTCTTCTTCCCCTTCTTCTTTTTCTGTTTCTTCTTCTTCTTCTTCTTTTTCTTGTTTTTCCTCTTCCTCCTCTTCCTCGATGTTGTAGATAATCGCAAAATTTTCTCTCGGCAGTAGCTCAATAATTTTTCTTTCTTTACGACATGTATACTCGATGCAATAATTGATTAAATTATAAAATTTCTTAAGATCGAGAAGAAGAAAGTGACTGTAAAGACTCAAAATACACCGAATGCGATGCTTTCGCGTCAGATTGCTTCCTCGTGAAGAGAGTTTCGCTATGAGTTCTTTTTTTGGGCTGAACCCTCGCACATCTCTATTCTTTCGGTCCACGGAAAGAACGAGACCGCTTCTCCTTCTTCTTCTTCTTCTTTTCCTGCTTCTTCTTCTTCTTCTTCTTCTTCTTCTTCTTCTTCTTCTTCTTCTCCTTCTTCTTCTTCTTCTTCTTCTCCTTCTTCTTCTTCTTCTTCTTCTTCTTCTTCTTGTTTTTCCTCTTCCTCCTCTTCCTCGATGTTGTAGATAATCGCAAAATTTTCTCTCGGCAGTAGCTCCATAATTTTTCTTTCTCTACGACATATATACTCGATGCAATAATTGATTAAATTATCAAGCTTCTTAAGATCGAGAAAAAGAAAGTGACTGTGAGGCCTCGAAATACACCGAATGCAATGCTTTCGCGTCAGATTGCTTCCTCGCGAAGAGAATTTCGCTATGAGTTATTTTTTTTGGGCTGAACCCTCGCATATCTCTATTCGTATGCTCGATTATCCTTCTGTTATTTATCTGTCATCTGTCGTACTATCACAGATATGATTGTCGTCTGCAAGATTGTCGCGAAAGTATCTTCACTTTACGCTCAGTCGGATTTATCGTAAAACCGAATAAGTCATTTGTGATAAATCCTTAAGACAAAGTCCGTCGCAAGCAACGGAGTCGGACCGTAATTATTTTTCGGGGGAGTGTGATCTCTCTCTCGCTCTCTCTCTCTCTCTCTCTTTCTCTTTCTTTCTCTTTTACTCTCTTCCTCTCTCTTCGCCACCACCCGCAGATCTTCCGGCGGCGTTCGCGCTCCTTCGCGCGCGCAGCGCGCAGAGGGAAAAAGACGTTTGAATTACGCGGAGAGTTCAACCGTAAAAAAGCCTGGATTCTGCTGCGACCGACGCTTTTTTTCTCCCTATGCAAAGCGAGGCCGTTCTGTCGCGAGAGCGCCCCGCAATAAAAATATTTATGCGGACGGTAAAAGAATCGCGCACTCTCTTTCGCGCGCGCGAGCGCGTTTCTTCGAGGAGGAGCAAAGTGCGAGCGAAGCGTGAGGATGGTACTCGAGGCGTGCCACCAGGCTTTCGTTATTCATGTTTTATCGGGGCGGCTTCGATTAATTGTATCGGAGAGACGTATCGCGCAGGCGATGTAAATCCACTTACGAATTTTCCGGGCAACCTTCCACGAACTTATCCGCTACGATGCGTTTCACGTCGGGTCGGATCGAAAATTTTAAAGACCGTCGCATTAGTACGTTGTTCTTAATCAGCACCGGCGAAAAGAATATTTGGTGTTCGTAACTATGATCGCATAATGAAATGTAATCAGGATAGAGAGAGAGAGAGAGAGAACTATTTCTATAATAAATATTACTACAGTGTTCATGATAATAATCATACACGTGTATTGAAACTATTGCTCTTTTGTTGAAACAAGAAAACATAATTTGGGGCTCAAAATTATCATAACTTTAGTAATAATTTTATAACTTTAGTTAACAATTTTTTTTCTCTCAGTGCGTACTTAAGGGGAGACATTTCTGTGCGCGGCAGGTCGAAGACTCTCTCTCCTCCCTCTCCCTCTCTCTCTCTTTCCCTCTCTCAGACGGGGCTTTACAGCAGGATGCGCCCAGCCCAACCTCAAGGAACATCTTTCCGGAGGATACTTTCAGAAATAATATTTGCGCAAGCTGACTATAGAAAAATATGTAAAAATGGTTAGAACGGCCGAAAGCATCGAGGGCGACGTGGCCGGGGCCACAGTTGCCTTCGGGGAGGCGCGGAAGGTGCGCGTCCGCGATATTCAACAACACGAGATAAAACAGACGACGGCTCCGCAAATTGGACGCCGGCAATTGTGTCAAAATATTTCTTTTGCTCGAGCGCGCAATTTTTATAGGGAATATCGCGCGGGCGACGGAAAGAAAAATACGCGCGCCAACTGACGATCTTCGTAATGGAAATACCGGCGCAAGGCTTTACACACAGCGGCCGGTGTGCAAACGCGGCGTAGAAAAGCTCACGCGGGAACAGAAGTGTCCCGTCGAATTCGACGGAGCCGAATAAACCGGCCAAGCGGGCGGACGGGTGGGTGGGGAGCAGCGGCGAGGGCGGGATGCGAAAAAATTTCACACCAAGCGCATTTTAACGACGTACATAATGAGAGAAGAAACATATTATAAAGCCGGGTAGAAGTCACACGAGAAGAAAACAGAAAAAGGAAGAAACAGAGAGAGAGAGAGAGAGAGAGAGAGAGAGAGAGAGAGAGAGAGAGAGAGAGAGAGAGAGAGCGACTGCACGATCTCTCTCGACGACTCTCGTTCAGCATCCCGCGATGGAGATGCCGATGATGAAGTGAATGCCGAAAGGAGGCTACGGCGAGCTGGAAGAAAAGAGACCGAGAGACGCGACGGGAGGGGTTGCGAGCAAGAGGACCGGAGTTTAAGAGAACGACGGGGTGGCGGCGGCGACGGCGGCGGCGGCGGCGGCAGCAGCAGCGAAGGGTGCGCAGGGTGGTGGGGCGAGCACGAGGAAGAGGAAGAGCAGAAGAGCAGCAGCGCGAATGCAAATATTCGCAGCGACAGAGATTGAAACAATCCGCCAATTAGAATCGTCGACGCGAACGGGATTATGCAGATTCGCGCCGCCCGGTGGCGGAGGGGACTGGCAGCTGCCGCAGCGCGAGCGAGCTTAATTCAATCCGCCGAGTTGTCTTATGAATCGTAAACCGGCCTTCCCTCGCGCCGCGTGAAACCGAGACTGACTCTCTCGTTTTGTGCCTCTCTCTCTCTCTCTCTCCCCCCCCCCCTCTTCCTTCTTCTCGCGGTGCCGTCGGTGATGAGGATGACGAAGAGGACGATGAAGAAGCGACGGATGCTGCGACGACGTCGGAGTGATTCGCGCGCGCGCGCGCGCCAGTCGCGCCGCTCGCCTCGAGCGGAATAATAATATAACGGCGGCCCCATAAAGTCCCCTTTACGGTCTTTAGAATATAGCCATCGCCACCGCCTAGCGGTCGCTATCATTATCTCTTAAACGAGTCTGAAAAAATCGCCCCGACGCCCCGGAGGATTTTCTTCTCTTCGTTTCCCATCTCCCTTCTTTCCATCTCTCTCTCTCTCTCTTCCTCGCGCGCGCGCGTAAGGTAATGCCGCGTGCTGGTCGCCTCTTCGCGACGCCTCTTCGCGTGAGTGCGCATCGAGGCACTCCGTAAAATTGAAGATGCACGGGGAAAATGCGCGGGCGAGAACGGAGGCGGCCGCCGCCGCTGCCGCCGCCGCCGCCGCTGCCGGAGGAACGCAAGGAACGTACGAGGAATTTTAACGAATGGGTCCTCGAATGATGATCTCGTCGACGCTCCGTCGACGCTCGTCAGAAGGAGACTTCACGCTGACGCTCCTCACCCAGCTCCCTCAAATCTCTCTGCTTTTTTCTTTATTTCGATAAACGAGAGCGTCTCTCGTTCGAGGTCAATCGCGAATTTGCACTTCGACATCGGCGGCTCGGCGGATATCTCGCGTCGTTACATCGCGCGAAGAAGGCCGCGAGCGATTCTGTCAGCGCGACCGCAACTTCGACGCGCGTATCCCGCGATACGGACGGACGGAATTATGGCCGCGCCGTTGCAACGGCGGCCGGCGCCGGCGACGGGCAGCGTATTTATCACGAAGAGTAAAACTGACAGCAGTCCATTTCCCGTTCGTCCTGCCTGTCTGGCTGAACATAATATCTCCTGACGAAACAACGTGGACGCCGTTTGTTTGGGAAACAATGGACCGAAACAATGCCCGATCCCTCTCTCGCTCTCTCTCTCTTTCCGCGCGCGCGGACGCGGACCTCCGCTCTCGCTCTCTTCTGCTTTCCACGCCCCGTTGCTCTTCGGTCTTTCCGCCGACGAGGGGCAGAGAGAGAGAGAGAGAGAGAGAGTGAGAAAGAGAGAGAGAGAGAGAGAGAGAGAGAGAGAGAGAGAGAGAGAGAGAGAGAGAGAGAGACAGACACACATCGACCCTTTCGGAAACCTCTGCTTTTTCCTGCCGCAGAGGAAAATTTCTTCGACTACGTCGACGACGACGACGACGACGACGACAATTAGACGCAGTCATCGATTAACAAAGTCGCGAAATCGAGGGTTCGCGATCTCCTTCGAGAGTCTATGTCCCCACGCGACGATTCGCGTTCCTCGGTAATATGAGTCTCCTCCGCGGAGAGGCGAGAGAGATAATATTCCTATCAGATATTCGCGATGGATTCTTTCTCGACGACGACGTTGACGTTGAGATCGAACATCCGCGTCTGCGAATTCACGCACACGCGCGCGCGTGTGAGAGAGAGAGAGAGAGAGAATCTCCTGGATAACTTCTCCCCCGGGGGAGCTCTCGCGCACAGACGAAACCGAACGTGCGCTTGACAGAAATTAGTATTCCTTAATGGATGACGCGATACCAGACCGGGTTCATCCCGTTCCCTGCCGCAGACGCCGCTTCCTCGGTCTTAGACTTAAGGCCGGGAGCCGTTCAATTAATTTCAGGGAAGACAATAGTACCTCACTTCCACGTCGTCGAGTGGCGCTCGTACGCGCCTCGTACACACTCATTACATCGTCGAGTCCCACGTTGCCGCTGCCTTCTTATGTTCGGGATATCCGCGATCGCGTTGAAGCGCGCAAATTCACCTACGCTGTTTCTCAATTATCGCCGAGATACTCGCCTTGGAAAAACACGTCCGATTACACGCGGCAGTAGAGACGGTCCCTTCGATCTCCGCGATAAATAGCGATTACTATAATCAGGGTTGGCAAAGACCAATCAACATACAGGTCAGTATGATGGGTTGCTTGTTCCTATTTGGGCGATAATGCAGAGGTTGCCGAAAAAAAGTCACTCGTTGACTTTGTTGATAATGATATTCGTAGTTATGACAAATACAACTAACACTTTACACCGTGATCGTTATGACAGTTTACCGACCGTTTATCGCCAGCAGTTGAGCCTCATTGAATTAAAAAGGATGTTCAAAAAAGTGGAACTGAGAAATAAATATTACGGAATTAAGCAGGATAAATAAGAGTAATAGTTAAAGAGATAAATAATACGACATACTTTCTAGTTTCGCACAAGTTTAAATTGCGTTTCTAGTCGATTCATACTTTTGCAGAAGCGATCTTTTGTAAAAACATGGATGAAGTGCAGTATATAAGACTTTTAAATATTTTCGTATCGTTCTTTCTAATCTCCAGTTTCTATCGAATTTTTCAACGTAAGAAAGCAATTAGGAAATTATGCGAAACCAAAAAATATGTTGTATTACTTATCTCTTTAAGTATTATTCTCATTTATTCTGCTTACTTCCGTAATATTTATTTCTCAGTTTCACTTTTTTAAATATCTTTTTTAATTCAATGAGGCTCCTGTCAATAAACGGTCATAACGATCACGGTGTAAAGTTAGTTGCATTTGTCATAACTGGGAGCACGATACAAATGTCATGATAAACAAAGTCAACGAGTGACCTTTTCGGCAACCTCTACATTATTGTTCAAACAGGGACCAGCAACCCGTCATACTGACCTGTATGTTGATATTACCCCCTGTACATAATGTGATTAACGTCACGACTTACTTCTCTTCGGGCGCAACGACTTGTTAAGGCTGTGATTCCTCTGTTTTCGTTCGCAAAGATAACAGCGTTATATTTTCTGGATAACGCTGACGAGTATCTTTCTTTGGTTGTTACTTTGGCAACAGCGGCTCGTAAAGGAAAGGTCTCCGGAGAGTCTCGGTGAAAAATGTAGCAGAAGTTGCCGCGATTCTTCACTTCTTGAGTAACGACGGCGTGAGTCGTTCTCGGAATGAATAACGATAATTCTTACGAGTTACTCTCTTCAACGTGTGGCGGCTTCAATCGTGCGACGAGTTGCTACTTTGAGAAAGTTACTTTCCAACCCTGACTACGAGAAATCCGTATTAGATGATGCGGCGTAGAGCCGGAAACAGCTCAGGGTGACGTTTTTCATGGCGCGTTTCTCGCCTCTCGCGAGATCAATCGAAGCAATCCTCTCGGGAAATGACTCGCGTGATTTCTTTCCCCGAGCAGCTGCCGCGATGACGACGACCACCGGCGATCCGTCGACCCTGAAGACTCCGGCGTCGTTGTCGGGCGGCGACCTGGTGTCTCGCCTGTTGGCGGCCACTCCGCCGTACCTGTACAACGTGCCGCTGACGCCACACAGCTTCTTCTTCAGCGAGATGTTGCGGTCCTTCGTGCAGGCTAAGGCGGAGGCGCCGTCGGCCAGCGGCGGCGGCGGCGGCGGTGGCGGCGGAAGTGGCGGCGGCGGCGGAAGTGCCGGCGGTGGTAGCGGCGGTGCGCCGAACGCGTCGCGACGTCGCAAGCGCTCCTGGCGAGACGCCCGGGACCGGCCGCTGGAGCTGACGACGAAGGAACGGCCGCACCACCACCACCACCACCACCATCATCAGCACCCGGACAAGTACTTCCACACGACGCAGCAGCCGCCTCAGGGGCCGCCGGACGCGCGTCTGGAGAACGAGGCGAAGCGCGGCGACGTCTACTCGGACACGGAGAGCAAGGTCGGCGCCTACGAGCAGAAGCCCAACTTCGGCGCCGACATCCTCAAGCCTATCGACGAGAACAAGAGCGAGTTCCCGCGGCAGCACGGCAAGAGCTTCTACGACGAGCGGCCGCGGCACTTCGAGCAGGCGCAGCCGCCGGAGAACGTCTTCCCCGGCGGCGAGCCACGGAAAGTAAAGCCGGAGGAGTCGCAGCAGCTTGAGCGCAGGAGCTGCAACTTCGTTGACAGCGGCAGGAGCTACGACGATCGCAACGCGAAGAGCCTGCAGGTTGCGGGCCAGCAGCAGCAGCAAGAGGTGCCAGTGCAGCTGCCGGAGCAGAAGAAGCTGGACTTCTCGCGGGGTTTCCTGCCGGGGTTACCGGCGGCCGCCAGGGGCTGCGAGATCCTCCAAGGTGTCAAGGGCTTCGCCCTGCCCGGCAACTTGCCAGGCGGCCCGGACTTCTTACCCGGTCCGCTCTGGTACCCGCCGTACCCGATGCCGCAGTCCTACCCCGGCATCGACCCCCTGCACTTCTTCATCGATCTTCGCGTGTCCGGCCATATCTGGGATCGCAAGCACAGCGAGCGGCAGCTGCCTTTCAAGAGCAAGCACTGCTCGGCCTTCAGCGTGCCGCAGCAGTCGAAGGAATACAACGGCAACCGGCCGTTGAATCTCACCCGGGACGAGGCGACGACGTCCAAGTGCCAGGCCGACGAGAACACACGGGGCACCAATTACATCCTGAAGCATCTCACCAAGACGTACCGGGACATACAGCAGACGAGGGACGCGTCGTTCACGGAAAACGAGGAGAACTCCAAGGAGTCGCACGAAGGTAGGCTGTGCAATTTCGCGTACCGCGGCCCTCCCTCGCGCCGAACTGTCGCGTCGTTGTTTTTTCTTTCTTTCTTTCTTTCTTTCTTGCTGTTTTCTTCCGCGGACGGCTGCGACGGAGACCGAGCGAGGTTCGTATCACCCGGCGACGGTGAGGTACGTCGCGAAGTGCTCCCGCAGCGGAAACGGAAACGCGCGAAGATGACACGCAGAAGCCAAGATGTACGATTGTTTTCTCCGAAAGAGGAGCGACTGATGCCGTCGGTACCGAGGCTCAATCTGTTAGCTCTCCGAACTCGGGCGGTACGCAGCGAAAATCCGCATCAACATGCGCTTTTGATCTCGGCGAATGAATCTTTTGACGCCTGGCAGCGTCGCGACTAATGAACGACGTTGTTTCTTCGTTTTTCGTTGATAACGATAACGAGCTGGGGCAATTGAGTCCTCTGAGTAGCGGCGGCAAGTACAATCGCTAGTTTCATCGTATTTTTAGCAGCGAGGAACTCTGAGGAAAACAGGGTCGAAGAAATTCGGTGACAGTGACAGAAATTGCAGCGCGACGATGACACAATCAAACGCGTTCCGATCGGAGGAGCAGAGTTTCTGCTTCTCCTCAGCCAAATTCGGTTTTTATCGAAAGACCTTTGCAAAGAAAAGTATTCAGTTGAATAAAAGAATTGTTTAGTGAAATATGAACGATATAGAAATTTAGTTCTTAAGAACTAAAAGTTCTTGGTTGTGCTGTCGTCACGATAATCCGATCAATCTTCTTCCCTTTGCGTGAGTAACTATGATGGTAACGATAGTGAATACACTTGAAGTGTAAGTTATTTGCTTCGCGCATTATTACCGATTTTCCATCGCGTCAACGTGAACATTTCCGACGATACACACACAGGGAGAAATGCTTGGTTGAACGAAAGACTTTTTTGGCGAACGCATGAATGGAAATTTCAGTTGAAGTTATCAGAATTCAATCCAAATTACTAAAATTTCTGGTCAACAGAATTCTGCCGACAGAATTCTGATAGTTTTTCAGCCGGAATTTCCGAATCGTTCGTATCTCACTGGAAAATTGATTTCTTCAACAAGACATGTTTCTCCGTGCGCGCTCCTTCTTCGTTCTTCGCAAAGAAAAATATTCACTTGAATGAAAGAATTTTCTGGTGAAATATGAACGACACAGGAATTTGGGTCGAAGAATCGGCTTGTCAGGATTCAGTCTAAATCATTACGACTTCTGATTAGATTGAATGCACAGAATTTTTAACCGGAATTTCCGAATCGTTCGTATCTCATCGGGAAATTAATTTCTTCAACAAGACGTGTCTCTTTGTACGCGCTCCTCCTTCGTTCTTCGCAAAGAAAAATATTCAGTTGAATGAAAGAATTTTCTGGTGAAATATGAACGACACAGGAATTTGGGTCGAAGAATCGGCTTGTCAGGATTTAATCTAAATCATTACGACTTCTGATTAAATTGAATACACAGGATTTTGAACCGGAATTTCCGAATCGTTCGTATCTTATCGGGAAATTGATTTCTTCAACAAAACATGTTTCTTCGTGTGCGCTCCTTCTTCGTTCTTCGCAAAGAAAAATATTCACTTGAATGAAATAATTTTCTGGTGAAATATGAACGACGCAGGAATTTGGGTCGAAGAATCGGCTTGTCAGGATTTAATCTAAATCATTACGACTTCTGATTAAATTGAATACACAGGATTTTCAACCGAAATTTCCGAATCGTTCGTATCTTATCGGGAAATTGATTTCTTCAACAAAACATGTTTCTCCGTGTGCGCTCCTTCTTCGTTCTTCGCAAAGAAAAATATTCACTTGAATGAAATAATTTTCTGGTGAAATATGAACGACGCAGGAATTTGGGTCGAAGAATCGGCTTGTCAGGATTTAGTCTAAATCATTACGACTTCTGATTAAATTGAATACACAGGATTTTCAACCGGAATTTCCGAATCGTTCGTATCTCATGGGGAAATTGATTTCTTCAACAAAACATGTTTCTACGTGCGCGCTCCTTCTTCGTTCTTCGCAAAGAAAAATATTCACTTGAATGAAAGAATTTTCTGTTGAAATATGAACGACACAGGAATTTGGGTCGAAGAATCGGCTTATCAGGATTCAGTCTAAATCATTATGACTTCTGATTAAATTGAATGCACAGAATTTTCAACCGGAATTTCCGAATCGTTCGTATCTCATCGGGAAATTAATTTCTTCAACAAGACGTGTCTCTTTGTACGAGCTCCCTCTTTGTTATTCGCGAAGAAAAATATTCAGTCGAATGAAAGAATTTTCTGGTGAAATATGAACGACACAGGAATTCAGTCTAAATTGTTACGACTTCTGATTAAAACTTGAACACACAGGATCTTCGTACTTTCAACCGGAGTCTCCGAGTCGTTCGTATTTCGCCGAGAAATCGTTTCATTCGACCGGACATTTTCCTCCGTGTGGTCTCCGGGAAAGCAAACGAAAACAGACAATTCCGTCCAAAGTGATCCCCGCTGACCCGACGGAGGGAGAAGGAGGGCGCGTGCATGCCGCGGCCACGACGAAGCGTGCGTAATCTCGCGATGCTTTTCAAGCTGGCGATGAGGACGTCGCGAAGGTGGAGGACTCCGGCAGCGCGGCGGCCGCCAGCCCGGAGGAGGAGCGGAAGGATCTGCGCGCCTTGATCGGCCTCGAATTAGTGGTGGACTACGTGAAGGAGCCGAAGGGCGACCCGCCGGCCGAGCAACAGATCTCGCAAGTAACGGAATAACTCGCCGCGACGTTGCGCGGACTCGCAGAGGAACGCGGCCCGGTCTTTCCGCTCTCTAATCGCTAAGATAGTCGTGTAGCGTCGTTAATCGCATCCTCCGTTCGACACCTCCACGAATTCTGCACTCGATCGCGCCACCGTCTCGCCGTAATGTAGCACCTCACCTGATCTCACCTCACCTCACCTCACCTTACCTCGCCTCATCTCGCCTCACCTCGCCTCACCTCACCTGACCGACGAGTCACACGTCGCGCAAGATCGCGCGTCGAAGGCCCGATCTCCCCTTTTACTTACAGTGTGTATGTGTGGGTACGTGTGTATATGTGTGTATGTGTGTGTGTGTGTGTGTGCGCGCATGTGTGTGGGTGTGTGCGAGGTATCCGTCGTGCGACGATCGTAGACCGCTCGTTGTTCGCCCGAACGTGATCGTCGCGGTTTCCCCCATCTTTTCCCAAAGCGCGAAAATTTCTCGTGCCGAGCAAGAGGGAGAGGCAGAGGGAGAGAGAAAGAGATTCACACCGCTACTCATCCTAGAGTCTCGTAGAGTCTTTGTCGCACTTTTGCATACGTCTTCGGAGACGCCGCGTTTCGAACGTGTCGCAGTTATCGCTTGCTCGAATCGACGACGGTCAACGACGTTGTCTTCGCCGGCACGATTCTGCACATTTGATAGCGCGGAGCGGCTCAACCGTGGAGAGAAAGAGAGAAAGGGAGAGAAAGAGAGAGAGAGAGAGAGAGAGAGAGAGAGAAGGGGAGAAAGAAAGAAAGAAAGAGAGAAAGAGAGAGAGAGAGAGAGGAGGGGGGGAGAAAGCGAGGGAGGAAAAGTTACGAAATCATTTTACAGCGGAAATTGAAGGGTCGCGGACGACCTTATCGGAGTGGTAGCAGCTCCGATCCGAATTCGATATGTGATATGCACTGTAAATATTATAATAGTACTCCGATGTATCTATATGTATTGATAGAACGTATTCATTGTTGTAAATTGAACGTAATAAAAGCGATGCGATTTAACTGTATTATCTGTCGATATTTCCATCGGCCTGCGATTCCCGCCTGCCGCGAGCTTCGCGCGTAAGCGACGCGCAATCACGTGCTGTCGTGATTGGCTATGACGCGAAGTTCCAGGATCACCTCGCCCTTATTATTGCCGTTCAGCTTCATCGACTTCCGGCCCCTCTCCGGCAGGAAGATCACGTCGTCGTAGCCGTTCCTCCTACCCGCAACCGGCTCGCCCAGTCTGTAGTACGCGATCGGCCGGTCCGTCTCTCGGCTCAGCTCGATGTACGGCTTCTCCGGAGCAATGACGGTGTACACCTGGTGCAAGGACACAACATCGTCAAGCTCGGGGCGACTCGCCTCGCAGAGATTCCACGCGCGTGGCTGTGACACTAACAACGAGCGAGTCGAGTCGCGAAGAAGAAGACGCGACGTGTTCGACGAAAGCACGCTAAATAATCGCGATCTGTCCGCGACGTCTCGATTAAAATCGAAGTTACAAGTCAGAGGTTTACTCGATAACCAAGAGCGAAACCTCGTCAGCAGCTCGGGCTGACGAGGAACATGGAAACTTTGTGTAGCACCAGTCTGTATCTTTCCGCGAGAACCAACGTCTTACCGAAACCGTCGCGGCGAAAACATGGCGGAAAGGTGGGGAAGGGTGGCGTTAAGCGGGTTGTGTCAACCCCCGTTGAAAGGAACCCGGGACGCTGGCGGGCAGCCGGCTTATGAGATTGTTCACACTGACCTTCCTGGTCGGAGTCACGACGTTCTCGTTCTCGAGGAGGGGCTCCCCCGCGGAAAAGGCGAGGTCGAGATCGCGGGAGGACTGCTCCAGAATCGCCGCGTCGTTGTTACGCGGCCCGTCTACATTCTCCAGATAGTAAACCTTGCCGTCGGCCTGGCGAGTCGCGACAGAGACGACGAGCACAAAGAGAATAGCTCTCCTCATATTTGATCGCGCGCACTCGCTCGCTCGCTCGACGCTGCTCTGGCTGGCGACGCGTCAATGGTCCGCGAAGATAATGGAACGAAAGTTTCGCCGTGCCAGATGCCAGACTCGTTAATCCGCGCTAAGGCGATTATTGGTCGCCATGCGCGGGATCAATTAATTAAACGCGTGGCAAAGGGAATGACGTTCTTGCGTAGGCTGAGGATTAAAATGTCCTCGCGCGCCACGCAAATGCCGCCGATGGCACACTACTCGCTGATCCTCCGCGTGAATAATTCCGGATGAACAAGGTACGGAGAGAGAGCGAGAGAGACAGGGGAGAGGGGGGAGGGGGAAACAGATATCAGCCGCAGGACGCTATTCTCGTCGATCCCTCGCGGTACACGTCCGCGTAACATTCGACAATAACGACGTGTCGAAGATACGACTCGAAAAAATCCGCGGACGGAGGTCCGCGAGAAGGAGGAGATATTACACGTGTCTCGCGTGTTAAATCTTCCGCCGGAAGAGAGGCGGCGCGCGCGCGCGCGCGCGCGTGTGTGTGTATACGCGGGCGTTTAATCGGCCGCGCGGCGCGTCTTCCTTTTTGTCTTGGAGCTGCGCTCGAGAGGGCACACGATGCATACGCGTGTCGAGGGAGTCGCGCGACGGGACGAGAGATATTAAAAACGACTTTTTCCAAAGGATCGCTTCCATTGACCGGGGGTTGCACCGCGGTCGGGTTCTGAATAATGCATGAAATTTGTTCCCCGGAATCGAATCGCGCCTCGTCACCGGCGCGCCGGCACCGCACGACGACAAGAGAGCGGGCATAAATCTAAATAATTTCAACCCTCGAATTTTTATTATTCCTATGACTACGATGGCGCGTACTCGCCCGCTCTCGCTCGTCCTCTCTCGCTCTCTCTCTCTCTCTCTCTCTCTCGCGGGCGCGCGCCCTCTCTTCTCGCTCTTGCTCTCGCTCTCTTTACCGTGTGCGTTGAATATGCATGCGCCGCTTTCCACACTTCACTGGAGTATAGTCGAACCTTTGTGCAACCGCCCCGTTGCCTCTATGCACATTACGCTTCTTGCATTGACCCACGCCGATCTGCCTCGGCCTCGTATGTACTCGTTAGCATTACCGTTGCACCGAAGTACGAAGTAACTTGGTGCGATGCGCGGCGTAATGCGCCATCGTGATACCCGCGACGAGGGCTCGCCCCGTTTTTTCAGCCCCCAAATTCAGCCGCCCCGGACAACTCGCGGCGTGCAAGGTCGCAATTTCGCCATTCTCGCAACTTTCGCAGTCACGTCGAGAGGAGCGGTGACGTCGGCGAGTCGTCGTCACGGCGTGTCGTTTCGGCCTTTAATCGAGAAGAGAGCACCCTCGGCTGGAAATTGGAATGCACGAAATTGCCGCGCGCCTCGCACGGATTTTCTCTCGTTGGATCGGAATATCAAAGGGAAGGGAACGGCAAGGAATTCCGTCTTGATTTCGCATCAACCCCCATTAATCATAAGTCTGCCGTTTTTGTGAACAACGTTTTTTTTCGTTAAATAAAATTTCACTCTCATGCTCACAGCGTCCGTAACTCCCACTTTCGTGTCTGCGCTTTCCAACAAAATGATAAAGACTTTCTAGGAAGTAAGCAGACTGACTTTTCAATTTGGAAACATTCGTGAAATAATCCTTGGACTTTAATCCCTTGCTGCATAGTGATCTTCCCAGAGTGTCACCTATCATCCAAGCTTGTTTTCCCAATAATTTAAATTCTTCACATACTTCTTTAACATATTTGGTTAAACTACTAAACTTGTTGAACCACTAAAATATTTCCCTAACTAATATAATGCATCACCTATTTTCAAATAAGTAATTTGTTATTAATAAGCATATACTGAACAAAACTGTCGTTTTTAGAGAATAAATTCGTTTGCACGGAATTTTAATAACGTATACTTCAAAATCATTATCTGGGGATTTATGGGATCGCTGAATACAAATCCGGTGTGAAAAATACAAAACTCAAAATGGCGGACGGAATTTTTTAAATCAGTTGAATTCGCTTGAAACTTGTTATTCGGGGATTTTTGAAGTCGCTGAATACGAATCCGGTGTGAAGAATACAAGATTCAAAATGACCGATCTCATATGGCGAACATAATTATAGAAATGAAACAGTTCAATTTGAAAATGGCTATTAATTGGGTTGTTTTAGACCATGATATTCTATAATTGATCGAAGATCTTTAATTTGCTCTTTTCGATAACGAATTTGTAATTAGCAGCCTCGAAAACTCCTAAATAATAAATTTCAAACGAATTCGGCTGATTTTGAAAATTTCGTCCGCCATACTGGATCCGCATTTTGAATTTCGCATTTTTCACACCGGATTTGTATTCAGCGACTCTAAAAATGCCTGAATAACAAGTTTCACAAAATGATATTCATTAGAAAAAAACGTGCAATAAAGGATTAAGATCTTGAGACAAGTCGCGCGTCATGCGTGTTCAGACGCAGAAACCCAATCAGAACAACAACATTAATTCGACGCCGATGAAGGTTGAATTAACATTGATTCAACGTTTCATCGACCATTTCAACGTTAAATCAACATCGACGAATCAACGTTATGATTCTGACTGGGGAGACGCGCATGCATACGAGATCCTCCGCTAAAGAATCGCGCAGCGATATAACAAGTGTGCTGTATGACGTATCGCTCGATTTATCGCGACAGATAAAATACTTCGGATTACATACAGACGTGGGCCGTCTCTCTCTCTCTCTCTCTCTCTCTCTCTCTCTCTCTCTCTCTCTTCTTCTTCTTCGAGTCTTGATACGAGCAAGACGTCGCGTGTGTACACCTCTCGTGGCCGGAGAAAAATCTAATATCCGAATTTTCCGGAGGAGTTAGTCATTACTCACGGCAGCGGATCGCGATAAATCACAGAGGGAATTAACGAGCGGCGAAGATGACACTGGGTCCCCTCCTCGGTCTCATCCTTCTCCTTCGCTGGTTTCCAGCCGGCTGCTGTGAAATATAGCCGGCAACTTTTCTCATACTTGAGAGTTTTCCCGCAACGATACCGTGCCGCAGCATGGTTGTATCGCACCGTACCGTGCCACGCTACGGGAGAGAGAACGAGAGAGAGAGAGAGAGAGAGAGAGAGAGAGAGAGAGAGAGAGAGAGAGAGTGAGTGAAAGAGAAAGAGAGCGAAAGACCGGGGGAGGAAGTTATGAAGTGGCGGCGGGATAAGTTAGAATGTAACACCGCGAGGGGCGGAACGATACACCGCTGTCGGTATCAGAAGCGATCAAGAGGACTTTCTAGCGGACATTATCACCTTTCTCCGTAATTGCCCTCCCCCTGTGTGGGTATTATTACAAACACATCGCTACTTTGAGATTCGTCCACGTGGACTCCCGCGGGATTTTACGATCCCGAGGGAAAAATCGTACGGAGGACAGATGCGAGGTGATGGTCACGCGGCTCCTGTGAACGCGATTCGCATGAATAAGGAAAAGTTTCCAACGGTAAAATTCACGCATGTAATCGGGATCGAGCGATATCCTTGGAGTTGTTTGATTACAGGAAGGATACATTCCAAAAGAGGATCGAGCTGATCTTCGCGCGATGCGAAATAACGTCTACTGATGCGGCTGGTTTTTATCAACTTTTTATTCGGTTGTAATACTGCGCGACTTCGATATTTTAAACTATTTTTTTTCTCTTCGAGGAGAGCACGCTCCGTGTAACAATTTTATTTAAAATTATGTTATAATATTCCTATTGCGCAACTTACACGGTTAATCCTCGCAGGATGTCTACTAGGACCATTTCTCCAACGGATAAAACAACACATTACGATGGACATGTACACAATATACGCTCAGTCAATGTAGGTCTCGACGAATGGTGGCGTACGTGTATTTGACTCGACGATAAAACAAAATTTTAAATGTCGCTTTGTAATACAAGTCGATGAAATCTGTGACGCTCGTTCTGCCATTGATATTAGATTCTCACAGAATTTGTTCTACGAAATTCTATGTATTGTACAAGATAAATTTTATATATATGTATATATATACATACATATATGTATATATTAAATATATATATTCTCAAAAAAATCTCAACGACTATAAAGTTGGTTCTTAGAATTTCTCTTTAATAGGTAAAATCTAGACGAATTCTTTTTGCAAAATATAAATGATCCGAAACGAATATTCACAGAGACTGAGCCACGAAAATATTTCTTTTTTTTTTATGAAAAGCAAGAGGAGGGAAGAATCGTTGCATTAATCTTTATGTGTGTGGACAAATACACATGGATAAACACGGCACCTCGAGACTCATACACGCGACCTTGACGCGAGCCTGACCACGGGCAAAGACGCACATTACGCGACTGTGCACAGTATAATGATGGTAGAAAATAGGGCACCCCTTCCATCGTGGGCGCGACGTTCTACGAGTATTTGGCAGTTCAGGTCTCAGATCGGCGACGCGTACACGTCTATTTCGCCTGGGCGGCGACCTTCTTGCAGATCTCGTCGGTATACTCGCTGCACTTGGCGGTGCCGCCTAGATCGCCGGTCAGGTACTTCGCCTCCTTGATGGTGTCATAAGCAGCCTGTTCGATGATATTCGCCTCGTTGGTTAAACCCATGTGCTTGAGCATCATTACTGCTGATAACAATAATGCTGTTGGATTTGCTTTATCCTGTCCGGCTATATCTGGTGCTGTACCATGTACCTGTAACACGTCGAAATTAGTCGCATAAGAAAATCTCGGAAAATGTAAAATTAAGTTTCAGAGATTAATCAAGCGTATAATGTAAGATTAACTTAATCGAAACTGGAGGACCAAGTTAATCCGATCGGTTGGAATTAATTCAGATTAGTTGGTATCAATAACAGATACGTACGGATTCGAAGAGTGCTCCGTTCAACCCAATGTTTCCACTTGGAGTGAGACCGAGTCCACCAACCAACCCAGCGCACATGTCCGATAGAATATCGCCGTACAGGTTAGGCATTACCAACACGTCATACTGGCTAGGATCTTGTACCATATTTAGGCAAACTGTATCTAAGTATTTCTCCTCAAATTTAACCATGGGGTACTTTTGCGCGGCTTCTCGGCAACATCTCAGGAACAAGCCATCCGACATCCTCATGATATTTGCTTTATGTACAGCGGTTACCTGTGCAAAAAAGTCTAGATCAATTCAGAATTCAGATACAGTACGTGACACGTCGCTCTCGCGAGATTTACATATTACTCGGATTCGGCGAGTTTGTTAAAGCATCGGAATCAAGAGGAAGCGAGTTCGGGCAGGCGGGCAGTCAGTCAACAACATGCTTTCGTTGGCGACCCATTTGAATGTATAATACCCATCTCCATCGTAAACACGTTTTTGCTCGTTTGACCAGTTTCAAAACAAGGCGACAAGACAGAAGCTAACGGTGAGACTAACAATAAGAGAAATTCTATTGATTCTGTTTATTACAAAGGCTACAACTCAAGTGTGTCGATTGTTGTCACTTTTATCGCTTGCTCTTGAGCTCTGTTGGTTGTGTTCAGAAGACATAACAGCTATACAACGGTTAAGTAATTCGTCAGTGTTATTGATTTGAATGTAAAAATATGATAGTAAAGACCACTAGAGTCACTAATCGCTCAGTGAGCGCTTTGTTTTCTGAACACAGTCATTATCTGTCTTAAACATATATATATATATATTTTCTTTGAATATCACCGTATCTGACCATATAATGTATGTAATTTTGACTTGTTCAAATTTTGTAACGGAGATTTTAAGCGTTTCTCCGTCGCGTACGTTTTATTCAAGACTCTCGGGCAGCCTCGTTCCGATATTTATCTCGCTCGCCATTCTCATGAGCGCACATACCTTTTTTCTATTATTGTCTCTGGCATATTGAAAAGCGAATTCTGCTACTCTAAGGGAAGCCTCCTCCGTAATTAATTTAATGGACTGTACTACGCCATCTACGATCTCGTGCTCTATACCGGAATATTCGCCCTCCGTGTTCTCTCGTATGGTGACAACGTCTACGTTGTCGTACAGCGTTTTATATCCCTCCAACGATCGGCACGGTCGTACGTTGGCATATAAATTGAATTCCCTGTAAAGATACAACTTTGTTAGCAATATAGGTCATAATCATAACAATTGCAATGATAAAGTCACGAACAGACGAATCAGTGCAAGATACGTGCATATCACACTTCATGCGCGAGACGTGCGCACCGATCATGTTTCCGAGCAATTGCTCGCGCTTATCAAGCGCGTTCGCGGTTACATAATCACGCATCACTTAAAGCGACCGTAATGACCCAAGATCCAGACAATACCTTCACATATGTCAGAGTTAATTTACAATTGCGCTCGATTGCATTGACTGACAATAGCGAGCTTACTTTCTGAGTGCCAAATTCAGAGATCTATGTCCTTTTCCTATGGGAGTCATGAGGGGACCCTTCAGGCCGATTTTATTCCTATTGACAGAGTTGATGGCTGCTTGTGGTATACCAAACTTGCCATCTGGACCCTTCACTGGTGTCACGTCAACGGATTCCCATTCTATCGGCACCTGTTATTTTAAATAAATATAGGAAAGATTAACTTGAAATATAAACTGGGAAAATTGATCAGGAATAAGCATACTTGTGTCGGAAATAAGAATACTGTATACCGTAGCATATATCAGAAGATACTATGAGTTGAGTAATCATATTACGCAATCAAAACATTGCTAGAAGTTAATCAGTATTGCTGATATTTTCTCATTTATTACGAAAGACTTCCTCTCTTAACTTTGTGTACTCGTACAGTGAAGGAAACAAATAGTATAAAGTTATAAGATATTCAGAGACAAAATATGGCGCAAGCTAGCTATCTCATATTATAGAAAACTCGCAATAGAAGTTTAGCAACAGCTACAAGAGATACAATGAATTGTCCTATATAATTGGATCAACTTGTATAGGGATAAGATTAAAATAAACACCTTGAGATGAGAGGTGAATCAGGTCACCTTGTAAAATACAACATGCAATGATAACCGAACGAAATTTACGTTACCTTGGCGGCATCGAAGATTTTCTGCACAGCTGCGGAGATCTCGGGCCCGATGCCATCGCCGGGAATAAGGGTGCATTTGTGTACTTTTTTGCTGTAAAGTCGCACACCGGTGAGCCTCGAGGAGATCTGCTAACATAGCACATATATAATTCGAAGCGGTTTCTTCGGATGCGGTCGAATCCGGCTAAGAATTGAATTCTCCGCGTCTAAGGCAAGAACACACTGGGACTGTTGAACCGCGGGGATCATCTTTGCGTAACAACAGCCTGGGGACTCGAACGTCGCAGTCGAGCTTATATACCGGATAGAATTTCAGGCTGCTCTCAACGGAAGGAGAATCGTCGTGCAGGAAGACGATGAGCCGTACGGAATTAGAACGTTCAACTATATCGCCAAGAGCGCAGGCAAAGATGGATGTAGCGGAGATAAGAGGAGGGAGAGAAAGAGAGACAAAGAGATAAGGAGAGAAGTGCATCGGTGTGAGAAAGCGAGACGAACGATACGATTCTAACCTTACTGGGTTAGCTGGGAGGACGTGGGCGATCAGGGTATTACGTAGAGCAGCTAAGTTCCTCAACTCGAGATTTCGCGCGACGTCGCGTCCCTACTTACTGCACTGCGGATCCAGTGAGCTGCCATCGTCGTAGTGGCTGATGCGTACCGTGCGAGAAAAATACGATCTGCGCTCGCTTGCGATTCGTTTTAAAGTCTCGGACAGGGAGTTTGCGTGTCGCAGCGACGACACGTCGGGAGAAGCGCGCGAGCGAGCGAGCGAGCACGCACGCACGCACGCAGCCGAAATGATCGAGGGAGAGCAGCCTCGTGATTGGTCCCGTTTAAGCGATGTCTTCTGCTACGATGGCGAATCGGTAGGGAAAAGTGGCGACTGATGTGTCGTCGTGCGCGAATCTGCATTTTTTCGCGGTGCAATCGGACATCTAATTAGACGGATTATTATCTTTTAATAGTAGCGCACGGAGACGAAAATCTAATGAGACGAACTTTGGTGTTAATAATACGCAACCTTGAAAAGGTTCTACTTGAAGCGGGAGAATGACGATCCATCTGGCGCCATCTAGCGGTGTTCTCGGGGACAGTTCCAAGTTGGCGACGGCTTGCCTATCCAAGCGCCATCCAAAAGTGACGCGAAGAATTTGATACACTTGATTAATTAGAATCTTGATCAAGTCATGTAACAATTAATTCTAAAATCTCTGCTGCGAACCGCCACTATTCCTATTGGCAAATCGAGGTTACAGACGATATGATGCATAGGAACTGCTCTTTATATAGTTTTCTCCCAGTCACATATTTATAGGATAAACTTTGAATAAAATATATTTAATACAATAAAATCATTTTATATATCTCAACGGATTTCTGAAAAAATACAAAGTTTGAATTTAATCATTTATATATAGATAGCCTCTCCTAATTGATTACATTAACAAAATGAGAGAACTACATAAACTTATTACTAAAATACATATACATATTGTGTAAGTGTACTGAATATGTATTATATATAAAGTACTATCATATCAATGTATATTGTGTGTACAAATTAATTTGGAAATAAGCAGTATACAAATATGTTATGCACAAAAAAGGTATATGGCATAATTGTCAAAGTAATAAAATATATAGATTATACATTTATTATAAGAGTATTAATATATAGTATCATATATTTAAAATTATCTTATCCATATGTAAACATATATATCTATCTTAAGTATATTATTTACTCGCTATGTCCTGCAGCTCTACGCAATAATACATATATTTTCTCTTTAATCCAATCCTTATTATATGGAGCATAAGTATTAGTTGATTTTTGGTACACAAGACATGACAAGTCCGTCAACTGGTCAACAAAATCAAACAACTGACTGATATCATAGGTAATAGTTGGTGTATTTGGATTCCGTCTTTTTAAATGTTCTTCGTAAATTTTACAAACACCTATAATTAACAAATAAATTATATTGATACAAATGAATATATATTAAAATATGTACAACAATATAAATTAATCCAAATATCTTGCAAAAATCTCTAACCATCTATAATATAACGCTTCAAAATATTAAAAAAGTATGATATAATATTACCTTCCATGCATTCATTAACACTTTCATAATCTGAATATGTTCTTGTTTCAGGTCTGTGACCAGGTTGTACAAGTAATATTGTATGAGACTAAAATAAAATCAGCATAAAATTAATTAATATATATGAATCATACACACACATATACACACATGTACATGTTGTGTGGTTATAATTTGAAAAATTTCAGGCAATAATATATCAGACAATATTTACATTGTTCAAATTATAAATAATATTATCTATATATTCTGATGATCAGTTCTTTATAGCTGCATATGTTATATTTTCTTGCAATTTCCTTTTTCTATTAAATATATACCAAATTTATTTATTTCACTTTAATATGCTTACTATCATATAATGTTTAATAAATTCTTCTGGAAGATTGTTATTAATTACACAAGACTGCACAAAGTATTAAAGTAGAACTTCTATTGAATACAGCCAATGATAAACATTAAATATAGAAAAAATATAATGCATAAAGCATTGATCCTTAATTAAGCAAATTTCCTGCAAAAGATTACAAATCTTTGTAATTTTCTTTCTATTCTATATTTATAATATTTAATTGATACATATTAATCTAGTATGTATAGTTTAACAAAACATGTTGCGGTAATTTCCACATGAGAATAAAAATGCTCCGAATTATAGGTTATGATGCAATTTGTATTTGGTTTCATATGTACAGATGAAAAATAAATTCATAAAATATTATGCACAGAGATTATAATAATGCGAAACTATCTATTACAAATGAAAATGTAAACGATTTATATAAGCAATTAAGGGCTCACCATTTTTTTCGTATTTGCTTGTAACTGATTTTCTAAGGAACGTTGGAGAGAGATTCGGAGGCAGTAATCTGGATATTTCTTCCTCAAGCACTTTATATCCTACAAAAAAATAAATATCCCGATTAAATATAATCAAATATGTAACGAAATCACATTCAGCAAATATTGTTCTTTTACACTTTATGGCAAGGGTGGATAAACTGAAATGGCGGTCAAAGATTTTCAGTTATATTCAAACACACACTGTTTCTGTTCTTTATAGGTGAACTTGCGTTGGTGTGATAAATAAATCGACCATAGACATTTATAATACACTAGATTGCTAACTTTAATTCCGTTGACTTGACGTCACAGAAGCAAAAGAAACCTGAAAACAGGGTCGTTTTATTTGATGTTGCTTGGGATGACTGTTCAATACATCATTTATGTCCATTTTTAAGATGAAATTACTTAATTTAATTATTCAACTTTATAATTAAATCTAAACAAATTTTTCCGTACATACAATAAGCTCATTATGAGATATTTATGGCAGAGAGAAGAAGAAGAGGTGTCACGGGCCGCTTTTAGCCGAGTCAAGTGCGAAGCGCTCTCTGTACAACCGTGCACATGAACTAACGATGTCAGTGTCCACGATTCTTTACTGATTTCCCCCACTACGCGCGCACGCATAGCCGGTTCGGTCTATCCGTTGGTCTGTTTTTTTCAGCTGCACTACTGAACTGGTGCAATAAGTTAAAGCGAGAAAAAATATAGTTGTCTCATTCTAACTTATTGCACTAGTTCCGCAGTGCAGCTGAAAAGAACAGACCACGTATCACACGAATAGACCGAGCCGGCTATGCGTGCGCGCGTAGTGGGAGAAATCAGTAAAGAACCGTGGACACTGGCATTATTAGTTCATGTGCACGGTTGTACAGAGAGCGCTTCGCACTTGACTCGGCTAAAAGCGGCCCGTGACACCTCTTCTTCTTTTCTCTGCTTTAATAAATATATATATCCATCAAATTAGATTTATACATTACTATGTATACATAATTTCATTTTTTGTTATATATACATACAATTTTATTCCGATTCCGAAAATTATTATTTATTAAAAATCTCCTTTGATTCAAATAAATTTTAGGTATGTGGAAAATGCTTGCAAAGGCAAATGTTTTCAGACTGGATAATATATCGAGTCACGTGGTCGCTGTTAGTTAGACAAGGATAGCACGTTCCCAGCTTAACTATCTCTCTCACTCAGCTCTGACCGTACGAGAACAAAGGAGTGCATGTTTTAATATGGTTATATTTCAATGCGTTCAGCAGAAAAAGCTGCTTACTCAGCGCTTAGTAATTAATAGAAAAATATAGTTATCTTACTCTAACTTATTGCACTAGTTTAGCAGTGCAGCTAAAAAGAACAGACCATTTGTTCTTTTACTACGTGAGATCCCCAAAATCAAATCAGATTTGCATGGTACTTCTATAGACCAATAAGTTTATGCTTACGTTTATAATTACAGCGAATTGTATTCATAGATTATTGTTGTTGCTGTATCGCCGTAAGTAGACAGAGGCAGTTACACGAAGAAAAAGTGTCAGTTACCTACAATTAAAACAGAATAGAACTATATATGCGAAAAACATAATATGATAAAGTAGTCGAAATGAAGGGAAATTGCGTTATTTACAATGTATTATTCATTTTAATACCGATTACGTATGCACATGATTTTCGGAATTTCGACGACACGATTCTATTCAAAATAAATTGGCCAGGAAAGGGCAACGCAGAGTTGTTAGTAAGTATAATAATGCATTTTTTGCATCATGTTAAATCAGACAATTATTTGTAATGTCAGTTGTGTAACAGCTGTCCAGTGAAAACTCTCTATATATGTGTGTATATATTTTTTTTTATAGGAGTCTCACTCAAACATAGAACCATATTTTATAACCACAGCAAATAATGAGCGATATAAGTGCATAATTCCAGATACAATAGAACAAGAACATGGTTACAGTGAATCCTACATTGGGCCAAACCCAATACAACTTTTGCAACCGATATTTGCACAAAACAGTTGTTCTTACAGAGTATGTATATTTGCAGAGTTTAGTACAACTTCTTTTTATCCTTTTCATTATAGTAGACATTTTTATCATATATGATACTATAATTGATCGTATAATTTTTTCCTTAAAATATATATAATTGTATGACAGCTGGAGTCATATTGGACTTATGAATTGTGCCATGGTCGATATGTAAGGCAATATCATGAAGACAGAGAAGGAAAAAAAATCAAAATGCAAGAATATTTTCTTGGTACCCTAGATAAAGCACAAAAGATGAAGCTTTCTACTACTTATGATGAACAAGCAAAGAATCTTAATAGAAAACTAAATGTACCAATTAAGAAAATTGATGGAATTAATATACCTTATGTTGAAGTTGAAATGACTGATGGAACACTTTGTGACTTGAATAATAAACCAAGAAGTATCAAAGTATTATATATCTGTTACAAGCATGGGAAACATGATGTATATTCATTAAAAGAAACTGTATCTTGTGAGTATGAGGCAATAGTACTATCACCAGTACTTTGTGCTCATCCAGATTATAAGCCTCAAGACACAGATGAAAATGAAATTACGTGCTTACCTGTTGATAATGCACCAAAGAAGCCAAAATCGCTTATGTCAATGGAGTTAGAAAGTCTAAAAATGCGACATCAGCAAACAAGGGTAAACTTATAGAAACTACTTTGTATTGTCAGGTTTCTTCTTAATTATTTGTATTGTATTTAATATTTAATGTCTATATTTAATACTTATTTATAATTTCTAGTTTAGGCATCTTTTTATTTTTATGAATTAATATTACAGTTCTTGTTTAATACCTTGTATATTTGTTATTACATGGTGTGTGTGTGTGTGTGTGTGTGTGTGTATATTTATTATGATATGGTGTGTTAGTAGTAGTTTCTGAAATTTCTGTTCTAAAATATTCTGTAAAATCTAATATACAGAATATTCCAGTTAAACATTGTAAATATCTTTGTTGGTTTGAATAATGTAAAAAATTTTAGAGACGTGTTTAAATGAAATTATTACTAATATAAAGCATACTTTTACCAATGTGCAATAATTACAGATCCATACAACGCTATAAGATGATGATACTCTATATAATATTCTTGTAAAATTTGTAAAAACATTCTGTATATTAGTAGCACATATTTATGTGGAACAGTTTAATATAACAATGGTTATACATGTTTCTCAAAAATCTCACAAAACAATAGAAAACTGCTTCTATCACTGGCATACTTATTATTTGGATTATTTTTTCTCATTCTTTATTTACAGATTTCTTTTTTTAGAAATTAAATATATAATTTTCTCCTCTTCTCGTTTCAGTTTGTTTACTATTTATTTACTATCTTAATTATTTTTTACACAGGATGAGAAGCAGCAGAAAGTGTATGCAATTATCCGTTTAGATAAGGAGGGCCAGGTTAGAATATTTTGCATATATAGGAACAGAATTATAATGCTTGGCGATTGTTATCAAATATCATTAACTTATATTATTATTTCTTCATTTTATTCTTTCCTTATCAACATATTTGATTACTTCATTCAATAATACTTTACAACATTTTATTTTAGTGTTAAGATTGCTATTTCTAAGATCAAAAATTGACGAGTCTACTATATACTAAAAATAAAGACTTTGTAAAGATTAGTAAAGGCCCCTATGCAAAAGATTTATATTGGCTTACAAGAGCTTAACTTCAAAAAATATAATATCTGACATATAGTTAAAAAAGCTAGCTATCTTCTAAATTGAGAATTTAATTCCATTCAAAATAAGCTTCTTTTAGCTTTATGTACTTGTTCTGATAACTCTTTCACCGCCAAAAGCATTTTTCACAATCATTTTTTATCATTTCAATTATTTTGTAGGTGCACCTGGTTTGGATCTTTTCCATGTCTTTACATTTTAAACCCTTTAACATTTTCAGTTTGGGGGGCAGCTAGAAATTGCAATAAGCTATGCCAAGAGAGCAAGGAAGTCGGTTCTATTTGTAGCTGCTTCTCAAACTAAAGATGCCAAAGAGTTTAAGATTTGAGGACATGGAAGGAGAGAGAAAATCAGAATCTTCCTTTATAAATATAAATTATGTGTATGTATTCACGCGTATATAACATTTTCATACGAGGTCTATCGTGATTAATTGGTTACAGGATGGTGAGCCAAGAGTAAGAGTCGAGATACGTCCATTGGATGTTACAGATAAGCATGGTAATATTGATGAATCCATCAATGCATTAACTGATCAAAGTATTAGTCCCGCCGAAGTTAGTCCCGTACAGAATTTCCTCAGCGGAAAAAATTGCCTGCACGGGGTAAGTATTCATGCTTATAATTTGCTTTACCTTCAGCAACTATATCGTTAATAGTTTCAATTCGTTATTAGGGTAATGGCTGGTGGAAATATGAGTTTTGCTATGGGCGTTCTGTTGTCCAATACCACATAGAAAAAGATGGTACAAAGACAATTGTTAATCTTGGTAAATTTGACAAAGAAAAGCATTTGGAATGGATAACAACGCATCCACACAAAAAGCCCAAGTCGCCAGAGTTAAGGAAACATCTCTCACACTTTTACAGCGATGGAAGTACTTGTGATAAAACTGCAACTCCTAGACAGACTGAAGTAAGTGCTGTTATTTCAAATTAGAAAGGTATTATTGGCTAAAGAAAAGACAACACACACTTGATAATTATTTCCAGTTTTGATATATATATATATATATGACTTGGTTCACATAAAGTATCATAAGTAGAAAATATATTTTTCTCTGTTTCCTGAATTGTTTATTTATATTCTAGGTAAAACTAAAATGCGTGGAGCAACATACTAGCGTAAGCCCATCTAGTGTATCATTATTTTTGTTGGAACCAAAAACCTGTGAATACGTTCTAGGAGTTGAATCACCATTGATCTGTGATATATTGGAATATGCCGATGAAAATGGACTTTTAAGCGAAAAATTCGAAGCAAATTTTGACAAATTAAAATCTACATCTTCACACGTGGAACAAGACAATTTAGATGAACGAATAATAGTTCATGAGGAAGATTAGAGCACAATACATTCCTTTTTTAATTTATTAAAAATTATTGAAGTTGTGTGTTATTAATTGTTTAATATATTATCTATACAAACCTTCATACATCATTTATTCACACGTTATTTATTGAATAGAGAAATTGTATAGGATCAATTCAAATGAGTTACATTAAGCTTACAAATAAGATCAGCTTTGGATATTAAATATTGCTATAAAACAGTTTATATCGTATGTAAACTATCTAATATTGTAAATAATGAAGTTTCTATAGACAGAATATTTTATCAGGCGGAACTTTTAGAGAATTTCCCTGTTTTTAGTGGTTATTTTTAAGATTCATACATTAGATTCGCAACATAATTTTCTATTAAATAAAAAATATATATATTACAGTAAATGTTACAAAATTCGATGCAATGTTGAATAGAACAAAATAACTCAAGAATGATTATGAAATGTCTGATAAAGATATTGATTTTTATATTGCACAGATGTAACTGCACAAAATATTTCTACAATTTGAGTACAAGTGACCAAATGATGATTATCAGATTGTTATTGGATAAATATGCTAATTATATAAATATAGCAGGATTCATTTTTTATTTCTTTATTTTATCATCGTTACTAATTAAAGTAATAAACATCTCTTTCTTTCCATTCACTATTTTATATACTATGCATATTATATCCACAGTCATGAAATCATATTAAAAATTTCAATAGTTTATTCTGGTTTAGTTTATTTGTCCGAATACAAATTCAACGCCGCGCCAGGGCTGCTATCCCATACAACTGTCTTGACGATTGTAATAATTATAAAATAGCAGCGACATAATCCAGTGATCTTGCGTGTCTTCGCTTTTAACATAATTTTCAATGATTATGCTAAAGAATCATTCCTTTTAAGTACTATTGGTATGTGTGCACAATAACCACTGGTACTAATATCAATATCGTTGTATATCGAAGATGGTTGATAACGGCCACTGGGGAATTCTTGTCCATGATTTCAACATATATCACGTTCTCGATTTCGAAATTATATCACTCAGTGATATTTTTCTCCGTCAACATAATATTCATCAGATAAAAACCAAATACGTTATTTCAATTGGATTAAATTTATCGTAAATATTATATTGAGATGTAACACAAAACGTTTATTATGTATCGTCATTTTCGGAGGAATCCTCTTCTTCCGCCTCTCGTAGCCATTTAATAAAGATCAGAGCTGCCTCCCTGACGTTCTTTCGGTGCATGTCCGTGTCTTCAATCTCAGAATTATACCATTCCAAAATTTTTTCTTCCGTTAATATGTCACGATCGTAGAAGACATGCAAAAGGTTTGACACATACGATAATAGTGCGTCGGTTGTACTTGCAACATCCTCTATTGCTCGCAGACAATCCTCTTGCGCATCTTCGTTCTTAACATAATTTTGAATGATCATGCTAAAGTAAAGTATCATTGCTTTTAGATGCTGTAGATACTTCTGTGCAGTAGTCGTCTGTACATCAGGGAGATACGACGGCAAACCGAGGATGGCTTTAATAACATTGTATGTTACCTCGCGGACCGATATATTATAAGCATATCGTGATGAATTAATCTCCAGAATCAGATTCTCGCATTTTAAACGCTCCTGATAACCACGTAATAAACTATCAATAACTTCGGAGAGGAACGTATCTGTGTCGTCCAACGAATTACAACAAATCGAGTCAGAATCGCTGCTCGATGATTCGCTGCTGCTGTAATCCTCGATTATTTTATTGCTTTTGAAATAGTAAAAACCGTCTTTACCATGTAATTCCGACAGTTTGGTCTCCATTTGATCGGAAGATTCGACGAAAATATCGAAGTACTCGCTATTAGCCGCAACGTTGACCTCAGGACACAGTATACATACGTTTATGTTACTGTCGCTTCCGACGATGCAATTCGGAAATAGAATACTGCTTGTGATGATACAATTACCCTCGATTTTTACATTCGGGAAGATATAACTGTCACGTATATAAACATTGCTGCCTATAGTACAATTATCCATGATTATAGATGTTGCAACTGTAGTATTGTCTCCTAGCACACTATTTTGCCCAATAAAACTCTCTCTCTCCAGAAGGCAACCTTTAGAAAGAGTAGCACTTTTGTGTCTATATGTGAAATGTAGTGCATTATAAATAATGTCTGTTGAAAAGAGAAAAATGTTTGGTACGAGAGGATAACTGTATCTACGCAAAATGTCTCTAGTTAACGAATGATATATCTTCCATGATGAAATCGGTACAGCATAGTCTGCTTCTCGGTCTAATTCATGCCAGTAAATACTAGAACTCAAAAACTCATCATTCAACACTCCTCGGATAAAATCATCCATAGTCTGAAAATATAAGAATAAAATAAATTAGACCTTTCTTCATTAACGCGCATAAGAGTAATAGCTAAATATGTTTATGATGTCATGAGCAAGTTGATTATTATACCTGGAAGTCAAAGTTATCGACAAAAAGCGACAAAACAGATGGCGAGCATATATACACATGTGTATCCAAGAAATTTGTACAGAGGCGTACTTTACTATGATTTAGGAACCAGTCAACTTTCATTTTCACTTTCTTCTGCTTATCCTTCAATTTCTCATAATATAATAATTTATTATTGAGCTTGTTAAAAACAACCAATGTTGTCTCTTCCTCAAAGGGAGTGTTTTTTGTAACACCAATATCTCGTAGCATCATGGTCATAACTGTTCCCTTGTCCTGCTCAATATTAAGATGATGTATGTTCATCAAATAATTAAGATCTGTACTTGTGAGTGTATTCCCACGAATCAATATGAAGTTTCCTCTGAGATGACCTTTTGCATAGACATTTCTCAGGGCATCTCCAATAGATCTGCATCCATCGAAGATAATCAGACAGATATTGATATTAATGTTCTTCTCTTTTGTATATTTCTGGAGTAATTCTACATGATTCTTGAGCAATTCTACATGATTGCTACAGCAAATAAACACTTCTTCAACCATCGACTTCACCAGAGTCTCAATTATGTAGTCGATGAGTGGTATGTTTATTATAGGCATCAGAACACTTGGATATAGATTTTGCATGGGAGTCAATTTTGTTGTTGTAAATTCATCCGCAAGGATAATAGCTTGCAGGACATCCTTCTTGTGGACTTCTGTTGAATTCATCGTTCTAATAGGTTCGACTGATAACGATCAACGATTGCAGTTCCACAATTCCTCTCAATTGCGATTTACAAAATCATCTGATAAATGCGTGAAAAAGTTAAGTTAAGTTTAAGTCTAATTATATTATACAATAAGATTACATAGATATGTAGTAAAATCTATCGCACAATGACAACACACAGAAAGCAGACTGTTATATTTTTATTATTTTGGTGATAATGCAAATATAATGACAGGAGGTACTTACTATCGGAATTATAAGTAGCTTTTTTATATAAATTTGTAAGTAAATTCGATAACGTCGAGGAATCAAAGATAAATATCGGTTACCGGTTTTTTTTACCATTCGGTATAAATAATTGGATAATCAACCTACAATGTAATGTTAATTTTGTTCGTTGCCATCATACGCTATACTTCCCGGATAACATGATCCGTTATCGAACAATAAGATTAACCTAATTCATATATCTACATGAACTTGATTAACTCACCAATGTTACGAAGTAGAAAGGCATAATATAACAGCATACAATACGGAAATGAGACGTTTCGACACGTGGAGTAGAGTAATGGCTTTCGCACACCGGCACGATAAGCGACGCAATACGCGATGTGTGACGCGCGATATCCAATGAACGTGCAGTTATAAGAGAATAGCAATGCGATTATTGGATATCGCGTGTCGCGCGTATCGCAAATCGCGTTGCTCATCACGAGAGCCATAAGTGCGCAAATGATGCAGCATTGTGCACATGCTCAGACATATTCCACCGCAAACGGTACCATACGTCGCATTTTAACGGTATCGTTAAAATACTTACGTGACAATTCTGTTGAAAGCTCTTCCATTTCAATAAATGATTTTCTCTTTCAATTTCATGTAAGTTACCTACATGTGTCACAATGAACTATTTAAGATTACATATATGCTGTTATTCATGCTTCAGTCTCTCGTGATATCGAGAAGCTTTTGCTTTGGATATGCCGGGTTGACGCCGTTTCTTTCGAGATCATACCAGTTTTCTTTCTTTAGAAAGACAACGGTTATACATGTTGTTCATATTATAGGTCGGAGAGAAAAGTCGGTGAAGATCTGAAGAACGGAAATTATATTACAACGTATTGTGTATCTTTTTTTCATTTTTTTCTCTCTCTCTCTCTTTCTATCCTTATTTTTTCACTTTCTATCTTTCTCTCTCTGTTTCTCGTTCTCTCTCTCTCTCTCTCTCTTTCTTCTTCTATATTTCTCTACGAGTTTTGCACAAGTTGGAAATAAATATATGTACTGGGAAGTATAGCATATGATGGCAACGAACAAAATTAGCATTACATTGTAGATTGATTATCCAATTATTTATACCGAATGGTCAAAAGAACCGGTAACCGACATTTATCTTTGATTCCTCGAAAGTTGGTAGGTAGTGTAAGGTCAGAGTCACAAAGTTCGATCTGATTATTAAGAGATGGCGCTATATAACCTGTAACAGCCATTGAATCATGAGCGCGCTTTTCCACGTAACCCCTTCGTAAAAAACTCAGTGTGTAAATGAGACGAGGTGTGAATTTGCGGCATATTTTACGGCTTCTCCTCTCGCTTTTCGAGTGCCAAGGTATGTTCCAACATTATTATCGTACAGCAAATACTGCTATCATTCCAGTGCCAAGATATTAACGAAGGACCATTCGAAAAATGATCATTCGACATTGACGACGATTATTTGGTTAGTGAACTATTATATTTGCTTGAATCGAATGCAATGCAGTCAAGTTCGACTCAAAATCCGAATTTTTGAATAACTCGAGCGACTTTCGCGAAATCATATCCACCGTCATGATTGTTTACGGTGTTACGGTTGTCGATAAATATGTTTCACTCCTCACTTACACGTCCGTAAGATACAATTTCTACGGACAATAATTGTAAGAGATGGTAATTTTGTAAAGAGAAAGTATTTTACGCACTTTTACATTTCTAATCATCATCACTTGGATAATGATGTATATACAGGGTGTCCAGAATCTTTTGGAAATGAAAAATTGTGAAGATTAATAAGATCAGATAGTTATTAAGTTATTAATGATTGAAAATGACCATATCTAGAGGCTCTTTTAATTGATAACTTGAAAATTTGCACATTCATTTGCAAAATGGTAAAGGACTTTTTTGTTCAGAATGATCTAATCTGTAATTATATGATGACTATTGTGTCTAGCGATAAATTTGAATATATTGAACTTTGAATTCTAAATTTTGAACCTGTTGCTAGGCACAATAGCTGTTGTATAATTGTAGATTAGGTCATTCTGAACAAAAAAGCCCTTTATCATTTTACAAATAAGTAAGCAACTTTTCAAGGTTTCAATTAAAAGAGCCTCCAGATATGATAATTTTCAATCATTAATAACTTGATAACTATTGCGATTTTTGCAAAATGACTTGACTTTTTTTCTCAATTTAATCTGATTATATATATATATATATATATATATAAAAGTTATATTTTATTTTTTTAACATCATTAATGCATTGCTCTTAGATATCCCAACAATCATTTCTAGATCTTTCGCAAAGCCGAACGTTGATCTTTAGCACTTTGTCTCCGTAATCTGAAATAAAGTTTTTCGGGCAGCAACGACGATTTTGGCATCGCCAGGTCGAATTAGCATTCTTCAAGAGATGGCGTGAGTTTTCGCGAGATGTGCGCGACGGACATGTTTGTCGGAGTACAACGAAATTTCAGTCCGTTCTAATTAAACAGATCACTGCACGCTGCTGCAAATTCTCTATTCTCGCGTTTGTTGGGGAAAGGTGGTAGACAAGAGATGGAAAAGAAAATATAGAGAGACAGGGGCGGAACGTTTCATTTGGAAATTTAACCGCGTCACACAACGCTGTACACACGCACGTATACACGGCGATTCGGTACTTCGGCGGAACGGTTTTCCCATATTTCACGTTATTTACATTATTAACGGACGGTGTAACGCGCGATAGTTGCGCATCGGGAGTGCGGAATGGAGTGTTGAACGATCATTTGCGCGGTACCCCAATTAAGGTACGTAATGGTCGCGATATGCTTGTGTGTTTGCTTACGATGTTTGGCTTTACGCGTGACGTGGAAATGCAACACGGCGCGTTTTTTCGCACGAACCAACGCACATCGAAAAGGGGAAGAGGGGGAGGGGGAGAGAAAACAGAGAGAAGTATGGACGATCGCGAAGTGGATTGTGGTCGCGCGATTAGCGGCGCCTTTTTTTTCAATCGCGCTCGATTGGGCGAAGGACGAGCTCGATTGCCGCGCGGCGACACAATAGGTCCATTTCGCGTCGACATTACGCGATATACGCAGCGATATTATTGCGGTTCAAAATTTATTATATCAAGTCACACATGCGCGTGCTCTCGGCTCTCACGGCAGACCGGCGTCGCACAGAGGTGCGACAGGTTAATCGATTTTTTACATCTCGCCTCGTCTTCTTTGTACGTGATAATGGAAAAAAATATGCACACACGTACATACGCATACATTAGCACGTCGCGTCATGTAAAATTGTTTAAGATATACGGTCTATGGAGAAATTTTTTTCTTCTTTTTAATTTTTAATGCCATAGTGAACACGTGTGGCGATAAAATAGAGCGCTCATATCGTCGCACAGTTTAGAGTCGGGCGTGACGATAAAAATAATTGTGCGATATACGCGATAACTCTGTGATTCTCGTTGATTTTGTAATCGTGCGATCAACAGGCCGTTTGCATTATTTTGTGCTTATTCTTATAAAAAGAAAAAGAAATGGCACTGGGAAGCAAAACGGTCTCGACAATTTTTTTTTTTACAAACATCAGTAACTAGTTGTAAAATTTGAGAATCACTTATGCAAGAGAGAGAGAGAGAGAGAGAGAGACCCGCGATTTCTTGGTTTGCGCAGTTTGGTTTAAGCAGTGATTTTCAAATTTACAACTACACGGATTACCAATGTCAGTAAAAAAAAACTATTGAAAACGTTTTGCTTTCCAGTGTACACACACATTCCGTATAAACGGAAGTCGGTATCTCGGAAGGTCTTCCGCGTGATATCCGCGATGTTTCACCCTTGAGATGATCTGCCATTGAGGTACACACGAACTTTCTCATCTGCATTTCACTATGCCCGACATCATTGAATCGTCGTTGTTATGAACGATTTTCCTCCGCATGTCCGTGCGCGGTACTCACAGTTGGATATTATATCTAAGATCGTTATAGATTCATCTTCAGATGCTGCACGGGTTATCTCATTGGCTACCTGGAGCACCTGAAGATGAATTGAACCCTTTGTTGGCGTGCTTATTTTGGCACACAATGCTTCTGCGAGACTCGGTAACTTTCCTCACACATCTTTACTTGAACATCTATAAATGTGCTTATCCAAATTTGAGCAATTTACCGCGATTGTTCTTTCAATAATTTCATTATTTTTGAAAGAGATGGTTCAAGATATCGGCGTGTTGATTCTGCACGAAAAGAAGTAAACACTCAAAAAAAGTAATTCAGAACAAGCGGAATCATTTAAATTTTAGAGGACTTTGTTCTTATATATGGCCTCAAAAGGATTTCTCTAAGATTAAAAGGAAAATATTATAAACACATTATTCCTAAAGTTAGAGGGATTATATGTTATATGTGTAATGTAAATTTTATTGATTTTAATATAAATTTCTTTTTATACACAAATTATTTAATCTTTTTCTAAGAGAATTATTATTTATTCTTACTGTACTTTATTCTTACTGATTATATTAGTTAATTAAACAAAATTATTATAATGTATAGCGAAAAATAATTTATATATAGGTGTACTTTTAGCTCCAGTTCTACAATAAGCAGACACGAATGAAATAATATCATCATAACAAATAAATTTCCAATCAGTTTTGTTATAGATTTCATAGCTACAAAGATATTCATCATAATCAAATAGAGTTAAAAGGAAGAATATATTATTCAACTTCTTGCAGTAGATCATAAACTGTATTGGAACAAATATGAGTAAGTTATCTCCGTTATATGTTACAGCAACAGACATATCTTTTTTTAAAACGAATTTTAAATATTCTGACCCATGAGCATATGGTTATTTTTTCGTTCATGTCTGGAGGTAGAGCATGATTGAACAAAAGCAGCCGACATTCCAATCAACATATTCTTCTTCATATAAGAGGAAAATTAATTGATATAAGAGTAAAACTCCTCTTGAAATAAGAGGAAAACAGAATAATATCTAATTAATTTTAGATGAATGGTTCACTTTAATCGCTTTATCGAAAGAGGAATCCTTTTTCTGTAAAAGGCTTCGCTTAGAATATGAGACTCTGGGAAAAGTCACTTTACAAATAGAATACTTCCTTTCAGGTGAGACATTTTCGCAAGTTTTTAAGGGAAGGATTCTTTATTTGTACACGCAATACCATTCGAGATTCAATAACCGCGGCGTCTTAATATCTCGTCGATTTAATCCATGAGCGTCAAAGCGAGATTAAGACGCTCGTTTGAACATAAAGATGGGACCGTGAGCAGCAGGTCCATGTCTCGTCATCTCGTCGACGCGCCAGCCGCGTCGCGCCGCGTCTCGTCCCATCGGGCGACTGAAAAGCGCGGCGAAAGCGCGATTTACGCGTTTCCAAAGTTCTCGGTCCGAGGAAGCTTTAGTATCGCAATTATATCG